TCCCCATTACCTGTAAAGCGCTTTGAGTGGAGTGTCCAGAAAAGTGCTATATAAGTGTAAGCAATTATTATTATTATTAATTCACTCCTTATTCCTGCCCTGGAAAGGACGGCAATCCATTGCAGGGCCCACACTCACTGACAATTCAGGGGGCCCATTGAACCAAGCCAGGATGTCTATGGAAGGTGGGAGAAAAGCAGAGAACCTGGCAAAAACTCACCGGAGAGCTCTTTCATGGTCCACAGAGAAGGTGTCCCAGCCCATAACTGAACCCAGGGTACAGGAGATGTGAGAAAGCAGATAGAAACAAAGAAGTAATTTTAAAAGTATGGTAAAATACACATCATTTCAGTTCAGTCCAGTCAGTTCAGGCTATTTCTCATATGCACAAGTGCAATAAAATGCTTGTTTGCATGTGTGCTCCAATTCAAAGACATTAAAGGAATCACCAAAAATATAAACACAGAACAGCAGCAGAAACAGCAACAACAAGTTAAATAACATACAACCTAAAAAACAGAGGAAAAAACCCAAATGAGAAAAATAAAACCAAAAATCTTCTGGGGAATCCCACTAAACTAACTGCTAATCCCTACATGGTTATAAACCCCCTTCTACATCTGTCCCTTCTGTAGGTCACCAACGAAACCTCCCATAACACAGTGACTGAGGTAACTACAATGAGCCAGGGCTCCACCCACACAGACCTGTCTGACAGCGTTGCTCTCTGACTCCGCCCACCTCCCACCCAGCTCCACACACAGAGGGACAGCACACAGTCTGCCAGAGTGGGCCTGAGAGACACCTCAGGACATTGCTTCGCCTGGGGAGGACTGTGAGGAGGATTGTTGTTGCCACTGAAGTCCCCTTGAACATGATGTCCATCACTCTGAAGGAAGGAAGGTGGGGTTCTTCCAAGAACAACAGAGAACAGTAATACAAGATACAATACAACAAAATGCAAGAACCTTTAGCCACAGTTTCAGTTTCTCAAAAAAAAATGGCACTATAGAGGTTTAACTGTTGAATGCCCAAAGAATACAAGTTTTTTGGGGGGACAAACAACCAATATTGAGCCCACTATCTGTCCTAATGTAGACAAGCGATATTATCAGAAGAGATGAGAAAAGGCTTTTTTCCCTCTGTTTTAAAATTTAAAAACCCCTTCCATTCTTTCAAAAAGCAAACAGACGGAGCACTTCAAATTCCCTATTTATAAGCTTACACAATTTAAATAAGCTAGGACTCAGAAAGGTTTTGGAAGTGAAATGTGTAAGACATCACTTCCTGTCTTAGATTTACAAAGACCTGGACAAACAGATGGCCGAGGGGAGGGGCTTTATGGCTGACTTTGAAGTCTAAATGATTCAACATAGTTGAAATAATCATGACACTGACCAGAGAACATTTCTTTCCCAACACACAGCTGCAAAACAGATATTATTGCAAAGAGAATATTAAAACATAATGTTTAGGTATGGGTATGGGAACATATAAAAAGATGTTTAGGTATGGGAAAGTCTTTTCAATATCAGTTTTTGAAACCACACTAAAATTATGGGTGTATAACACATGTATTCTGTGTACATATAATACACATGCTTTTACAGTATCTTCAGTTTTTGATTAATGTAGGATCTATTACATAAAATATAATGAGGAACGTCCATCCATTTTCTAACAACTCCAATTCAGAGCTGGAGCTGCAAGCACAGGGCGTCAGTCTGCCACAGGGCACACATAGATACAAACACAGATATGCACACACCAGCACCAGTTTTCCCAGAAGCCAATTTACCTCTCCTTGGATGTCTTTGGGGTGTGGGAGGAAACCAGAGTACCCAGAGGAAACATACAGTATGTGAACACACGGAGAACATACAAACTCCACACATGTAGCACCCCAGGTCCAGAATTGAACCCTTGGCCCCAATACTGTACCACATTTACACCCATGAAGAAAACATCCCAAAGAAAAAGGTCAGTCACTCTCTCACTCTAATGGTCAGCTGAAAGGGTCATGGGATGTTGGAAATTTGTGCCCTCAAAAGTCTTAGAGCAGCTGCAGCTGCAGCAGGAACTACTACCAAACCAGGAAACCTGAGATTTTAAGCAATGAAAGGGTTTCAGAGTAAAGCAAGGATCCAGATCTGGACAAGTTTGAAAAAAAAAGCTATTTTACAATGCTGAAAAGCGAGCTGTTCATTTTCTTCAAGGACAGATGACTGAAAGTTCAAGGCCTGAAAATGGAGTTAAAACAAGAAAATGGAGCTAAAACAACAGCGCTTTAAAGCTTTTTATATATTAAAGCAGCTTTGTTTTCTGTCACCTGCGATATGCCAGCCTTGTCTTCTAAATGTTAAGTAAATATTTTAGATATTGCCAGTGATAAAAGTACTTCATTTTTATACAAAGGCTTTATCAAACCACTCCTATGTAAAGAGGGAAAAAATGTACTTGAAAGTATTACTATAAGCCTTTACAGATTTTTAGATAATTGATTGCTGTTATTTTCATGGACTTTTATATCTTAAGTTTGTCTCCCTTGAATGGTTTTATTAACTGCGTTACATTTTACTTCTGTAACTTTTCTTACTGAACTGGAGCTTTCAATAAACAGTATAATAGAAATAATGAATCTATTTATTAAACGTACTTATTGACACTTCAACTCTCCCCAGATATATTCCAGGCGACACTGTAAAACTCTGCATAGATGGTAGGGGGGGGGATCAGTAATGAGGCAACATGTACCTGGGTTAAAAGAAAAGAATACAATTGTAGGTGATTACTTACCTCTGGAAAATGTTTTAAAAGTTTGCTTTGATATTGTACAACAAAAAGTTTAGAAAAAACGTCAGTGGGAAGAAATATAGCATTCATTACAAAATGTATGATGGTTTTCCTGGGTAGAAAAGAGATATAACACTTAATAAGTTATAACAAGCTGTACATTTTCAAGTTCAAAGTGTTTTTTATTCTTGCCCACTCATCTAATGGCAAGAAGCAGGTATTTTTCAAAAAAGAAAACAACAGACGTCACTCCTTCCCACATTCCCCTTCAGAAAGGAGGAGCTGAGGAGGAATCTGAAGACAAGCACTTTATGGGGCAGAATTAATGCAATAAGGAAGACATTTACCGCTAACTGAGAAGAGATAAGATTACGGGGAAGTGCAACTTCAGATTCTTTCACACAAACATGATTAAAAGAAGTGTATTGATTGGAAAACCGCTTGGGTCCAAGATGTAATGGATTTCTGTCTAGTTCTGGAAACGGGCTGCTAGAAACCACACTAGAGGCCTTTTCATTAACCCTTGTGTGGAACCACTGGCCATCTCTTTCCAAGATCTTTGCTTCTCATAAACTCCATCTTTGATATCCTGCCCATTCGAACACTCATTCTCAACAGAAACAATCGATAAACAAAAGAGGTAGCAAATTGTGGAAAATTCTGCAAAACCACAAATCTAGCTGCCATAATGATATGAGCTGAAGGCACATTATGAATATTCCAGCACACTGCATTTTAAAAAAATGTCATTATCTTGCTGTGAGCGTGCTGGTATTCAGGGTTTCAACCTGTTATTGCTATGTATTGATATGCAGGGATGGTCATTCAACCTAGGATGGGTAGCTTTAATAAAGAAAAGTTTTTTTACAAGGTAGTCTTAGCTACCTGCAGGTACAGCTGCAGAACTCCGACAGCCTGTATCCCCTCTAACACAGCATAATGAACTGGCTTTTTCATTTTTTTTGTTAAACTAATGATGTGAAACTAGTCAGACTATGAATGTAATTGCAAATGACAATGCAGTATTTCATTTGTATTTTAGCAAAGCTTACAGTATAACAATCACAGTTTGTTACATATTTTACTATGCAATTGTGTGTGCAACATTTGTGACAGTTGCTTTTCATAGAAAAGTGTTATTTCTGATTCATAAGACTGATCTAATTTTTATTGACTGCTGTATTATTGATATGATTTTAAGAGTGCTATATCTAACGATCCATGAAATTCATGTGGGAGGTGCATGTTTCGACACTGCAAAGAAAAAAAGGATTTTGTATCTATGAACATGACCTCTGCTTTTACTGTAGCATAAGTGGAAAATATACTGAGCACCACCAAGCTTGATCAAAAACAACAAAGTGTGTTTTACTCACTGGATCACGGTATGTGAAAGTCACTCATATCTTCTTTGTAGATCTAAATTATTTTGGAAGCCTACAGAACATTTATTAAATGTACCTTTTGTACAATTAACATTATCTACAAAAAAAACTCCCATCGTCATTTTAATGATGATGATAGTGTTTTTTAACTACATTTCCTTGGTCATGTCCTTCTCATAAAATCAGTCAAGAAAATTAGGTTATGGTCTCAGGTTGAGGAAACCTGATGCTAAATGGATTGATTCTGACTCAGTGCACTGACAGAAATTTCATTACAGAAATTGAGACCCAGCTCTGATCCAACTGGAGCTTCAGTATCTCTGTGAAGGGGGGAGGGAATGATGGAGAGTTAGGGGTTGGGGGTTGGCTTAAGGACAGGTGCTGGAGAGCTGGGTCTAGTCAGATTTCTGGGGCACTTTTGGAATGTGACCACAAGTGAACAATGCAATATGATAAATGCAGTGTTTCTGCTGTGGAGCCTATTCAGATGCGCGTAGCATCGCAGGAGAAAGAAGGAATATGAGGCAAAGAGAAGTATGTAGAAGTAGGTATGCTATTTTTTCAGCCCATCCAGCCCTTTATCTGTTATTAGAAAGCCACTTATTCCTATTAAGGGTCCTGGCACCGTAGAGCCTACTGTGGAAACTCCGATCCATCGCAGGGATATGCACCATTAACAGGGGCAATTCCGAGACACTGGTTATCCCAACTAGCATGTCCTGTTGATCTGATCACAGTGCAGAATTAAGGTCTTTGCTGTGCCTATGGATGCAAGGTCAGAAAGCAATTTAAGGGATACATCTCCAGCAGCTCTGTGGAAGAGACCCTAAACTTTATAAACCTTTAGCCTGTGCAAAAGCAGGCAATGAACTATGATATTCCTAAGGCAGAGAGGAGGAGAGAGACTTAAAGAAAAGACAGGACTCTTAGTTCCAACATGCTGAAAACCAGGACTGCAGTGCATTAGTTTCTCTTCTCTTCATCCCCAGTTTTCCCTACTCCTAGCAAAGGACGATACTTATATCAGTACTATATAGGTGAGAAGCTTTATTTGCCCTTTGAAACTAAATCCCAACACATCACTCAACAGAATAAAACATACTGAAGTGGTAGTTGTTGCATTCCAACATTAAAATGTTAAATCTGACTTAAGTGTGGGGATGTTTTTTTATTAAATATACATGAATTGAATGATCATATCATTTGGTGTATTTAAAGAGGGCACTTAATCTGCATTTAGCGATTCAAGGCTTGTTTTCGTTGCTATTTTATACCTAAAGTTCAGTTTTGAACAATTTGTTACCTTCTCCAATCAATGCTTGTTTATAAAATGTAAAAAAATAATGTACTGTACAAATACATTTATTGGAACAAATAAAACAAACATTAATACAGATCATAAATATCACAATGCTGATCTCTACTCCCACCACTGGATTTTTATCCTGCCTGTACATGTTTTGCAATATTTATTAAGGAAAAAAAGGATATCCTCCACCCCCATCAGGAGAGATCAGAATTTGAGCACAAAAATGACTACAAATCTTTTAAAGAATCTTTACAATACTTGACATAACTGCTGATCAAAATATCTTATTTCTGCACAGAATTGTTGAATTTTAAATATAAAACTTACTGAACGGAGATCTGGCCAGAAACTACCTAAAGCAGCAATACCATGTTACAGACTTCAAGAGGAAACATTTAATTAAATGTCATTTTTATAAATATATACTTTTTCAGTAAGTGTACCATGACCATCATTCCATCTCAGATTTGCTTTCCTGTAAAGTATATTTGCTTTGTGATTTGAACCTGAAGTTTTTTTGTGTATGGCAACAAGCAACAACCAAAAAATTATGAAGATGCACAAACTTTCCATAATGCTATGAAAATAGTGTCTGCAATACCTGACATTCTGGTCACAAAAAAAACTAGATTTGAATATTTTTTTTCAATTCTTGAAAATGTTCTTTCCTGGAAAGGTGGGAACTATTTCTAATCCAGCTGCAGTATGCAGGGCTGCCTGGTACTGAAGAAGGCACAGTCGTAGGAGGGAAAAAGTGTCCGTCTGAGGAGTGCTCAACGTCTGTGCAACCAAAACAGCTCCTGCAGCGCTGATCACGCCATTGGAAGAGGCGGAACCAATGGGAGAGAGAGTCCGCCCTCCCACAGGTCTGGCTGTCTGCACAGGCCTCCTGCTTAAGATGCTTTTCCCAGCTGGGGGCTCATCCTCAGCACCCAGTCGACCGTCTCCTGCAGGAAGGCCATGCTGTAGTGAGCAGCGATGTTCCGGAACACGCCGATCTGCTCGGAAAAACTCTTGGGGACAAAAGAAAGAGAACATGCTTCACGACGCTGTTACCTCCACCAGCCCGTGCTCACGTTTTTTCCCCTTACAGATCTCCTTTGATGGAAATTCAAAACCACCAAGGTGTTCTGGCTATGTCCACCCGTTTCGGAATCGACAAATGCGTTTCTTGCATCGCAGCCTGAAGCTACAAACGCCGCGCCTGACGCTCGCCTCGCCCGCCCACCTTTGAGCCCGATCTCGCACACACCCGAGTGTGGGGCTCAGTCCAGATTTGCACCTGCAGTCTCCAGGTTATCGGGTGCAGGACTCTGCATGGGGATGGTAATACACCCCACCTTGCTAATTCTTAACACCAGTCGGAAATAGCAGACTTGGGTGTATATACATTTACGGAGATGTGATTAAAATTTAATATAAATTCAACCTAAACTGAACTAAGTTTGGAATGTCCTCCTCAACTTTGAAGCCCTCCAGTTTTTTTTTACTTTGGGCTTTGCATTGAAAACTTCCTTTCTTGTTCATAATTTCGAATAATTCACTTATATAGTGCTTTTCTGAACACTCCACTCAAAGTGCTTTTTACAGTATAGAGTCCCTGTCACTATACTGGGGGCATTAGGACCCACACAGACTGCGGGGTGAGCGCCCCCTACTGGGTCCACTAACACCTCTTGCATCACATTGGTCTGAGACTCACCTTTGTGGACAGAGTGAGAGTGAAGTCTCCAGCACAGCTACAGTAGACAGGCATGTTGGCTTCCTTTACTCCTTTACACTTGTTACAAACCTACAGGGAAAACAAATACACCCTGTAACGAGGGAGACTTCACCCAGAGGTGTTCTAAATGCCCAGGAAAGGGATGACTGGATGTGCTGAGAAGGGGTATCTGGGAAGGAGCGCACAGGTAGACTGACCAGGTCCTGCAGGGTGTAGGTCATCAGTTTTTTCTGCAGTGCCTCCACCAGAGCCATTTCAATCCCCTCTGTCTCGTACTGAGCCTGGCAGTTGGAGCAGAACCACTGTGGCAGCACAGAGCCATCCTGGGGAGAGAGAAAGGTGTCAGAGCAAGACAGACACAAGAAGGGACGGGGACAGAGAATGCAGAAACCCACAAAAAGTGGCAGAGAGAGGGGGGGAAGAAAGTGCAAGAATATCCCACTCTGTCTCTTAATCTGTTTTTAAAGCAGAATCAAAAGAAAGATAAGCTGGTCTCCCTTGTACGGGTTATACAGAGGCCAACCTGCGCCACAGACGAGTCCTTGCAGAGGTCCAGGTCTCGGCAGAAGTTACATTGTCGGCAGATGACCTCAGGGAGGATGTAAGACTGGCAGGGATCTCTGAACTGGGCATCTTCCGCAAACTCGCCCACGTCCACCAGGCGCAGGAGGTCCCTCTTAAGTTTATTCACCTGGTTGGTGATGTTGGAGTCCAGAGAAAGCACCTGGGAACGAGCAAGTATTGAACTGACAACAGCGCAATTGCTTAAAAAGCTATTCCAAGTATTTACTTACATTAAAACACCACAACATGTTGTATTAAATAAATGCACATATATTTTTGAAGTGTGATTGAACCATCAGGTAAAAAACCTCATATCCACCAGTAGGCCATTATCCTACATTTTCTGGCAGTTACCTACCTGGCAGACGTATTTGATGAACTCTAATGCAGGGTTGTTCAGGGGCAGGTGGGAACCTGGCAGCACAGGGAACATGTCGGAGGGCTGGGTGACGTTTCTGGTGCCCGTCACTTTCTTCTGGATCTTCTGGGTGATGGTAAAGAAGCTTTGGGTCAGCTCACTGGAGACATACTCCTGGGAGAAGGTGATCATTCCTAGGGGCAAGAGGGAAGAACATGCATTGTCAAAACTGCCACTGCCTTAAAAAAAAACTCAGGACAACTTACCAATTCCAAATACAGAAATGACGGTCTAGAGTGACCAGCGAGACTTTAAAAGAAGAGAATCTTAAAGGCATCACAAGATTTTGGAGTACATCTTTTGAGCAGATCTTCTGTACAAAGAGGGGCTTTATAATACAAGAGTTAACACTGATGAAAATGGAAGTGTCAGTGCATTTCCAGCTGAATTACCTTGACCTAGAGTGTCCTCAGTTACCACACTCTGGGATGACAGGTTTTTAGACTACGTTCTTATGTCTGCAGCATTTTGAATCTTTGGCCTTATTAATTACTCCTAAGCTTCAAAACAGCAAAACAATGCTTACAATACAATTACTCCACTCTCATCCGCCCATCTCTAAGCACACACCGGAAGAAGGCTCCACAGCTGAAACGTTGCCTCTCTTTTCTTTTCCTTTCCGCACAGAATAAACTTTTACCCTCTTCCTTTGCAGCCTATGCATGCTGACGCAGCCACCTACTTGAGCATCTTCTCTGCAAACCTCCCCCTGCTCTCTTTGGACCTATTACCTTGTGCCCATCTCGCACAGTGAAGCTGAATGCTCTGAGCCTAGCCCAGCAGAAGCACTCACCTGGCAGGGCATTTGCATCTCCTGCGGCCTCCTGGGAAACCTGGCTGCTGCCCCTCCTCTTGATGGGCGTGGCTCCTGGAGCATTGCGGCGAAGCTCCTCCCTCATGCTGTGATAGACAGCGGCGATGTAGGCTGACAGCATTCAGAGGGAGAAACAGCAGAAGAGACCAGGGTGAAATTCAGGTTCTCACACTTTTTATGGACAGACAATTTAAAGACTTCCAAGGCATTACACAGACAATTTCGATAAACTACACTCGATAAATGTACACTATTTACAAGGAAATCCAATCCTAAGTGCTGACATATTGCTCCTTATAGTGATCATCAAAAAAAAAATGGTGCCTTTTCTCTAAATTCATTCAAGCTAAAGTTGAGAAAAAAAACTGCACTATGCATTATGTACAGCCCTGTGTGTGAACATGCACTGAAATAACATTAAATGGGACACTAATAAGGAAATTCATATTACAAATCAAGTTTAGAATCATAAATCACAAAGACCTCCTCTAGCCTTCGGAAAAATTACATGCATTCACAACTGGCTTCAACATGGAGCTGTGCTTAGCCTCAAAATGGAATGCCACTTGACTCTAGGAATTTCAAGGGCAGATGGGCAGACGGCCCTGGTGAATGTTCCCCACCCCATGGGGGACTTAATGTCAGACTGCGGTGCTTAAAATTTAAATGGTGTCGGCTAATTGTAAAACTGAACACCCCACAGAGATCCAATATATCTGATACTTTATTAGATGAAATTTAATAGCGCAGATTTCTCCTTGCTATTATTTCTCAAGCAATAAACTGCAAAAATGTAATTGCATGTATATTTAAATAATCATTCAATAGTTGTTTTTGCAAAGTTATTGTATTTATTACATTTAAAAACCTTTATATTTAACATTAAATATGGAGTAAGCTGAAGCATATATGTGCCAGTACTGTAATTATGTACTTCACTGATTCTAAAAAGCTAGCTGTTTGGCAGCGCTGCCTGTAGGTGTCAGTGTTGCAAGCTATACAGATGTTGCACAGCTGGGCCAGGCCTACCTGAGACGATCATTAGGAAATATTTCTGGCAAGAGGCATTCTGGGGGAGGTATTGCATGATGTTCCAATTGCTCTCAATGAGTTCCTCTACGTTGTCCACATCACCCTCTTCTTCCTCCTCCTCTTCCGACGGTCCTGCCTCATCCTCACTGTCCTCCTCTCCGTCCGCTTTCTCCGCCACCTTCGCGGCGCCCTCCTGAAAACAGCGCAAATATCGCAATCCGTCTCCACACCCGCACCTCCGCCCCCATCAGTATCGTGTTGAACACGTTTTAGAACAAGAAAGGAAACAAACCCAAGAAAGCAAAACAATCAGCTTTTGACTGCAGCATGAAAAAAGCGTCTGCACTACGTATCATGTAGGAGAGGCAAAAAATCCCAACGCAGCTCGGCAACTAATAATGTCTTGCACTTATGTAGCGCTATTGCACTCAAAGTGGTTTACAGGTAGTGGCACAACTGGCTACTTCTGATAACCGATATCCCAGCAGGTCACACACTACGAACTGCGCGACGCGGCGGTTTCCTCATACCTGTCCGTAAAGAACGCTGGCCGGCAGTTTGCCCTTCACTCCCCCATAGTTAGCCAAGTCCATCCACAGCAGGAACTCCCAGCAGCGCGAGAAAGTCATGGACAAGGAGTGGAAAATCTCCCGCGAATGGATGCTGAGCAGAGGGAGGGGGAAACGAGAAGCAAAGACAAAAACCACTTCAGGAAGGAAACTCGCAGAGACAAGCGGGGGACAAGGCATCTGTTCTCGGGTAAGACCATCGACATTTTACCTCCAGACATCCCAGAGGGCTCCAAGACCCCGAGAAGCAAGTATGGGCTGGGGAATTACCTGTTAGTGATGTACTCCACATACGCAATGGCATCGTCGATCCTGCGCTTCTTGGTACAGAGGATGATACGGTTGAAGTTGCCATAAGCGACAGAGGAGCCCAGACGCTTAAACTCGGCTACGAGCCTGAAAAAGACCGAGGCGAGAGAGTCATGACTGCCTTTCAAAACGGCAGGTGGGAAAATGGGGCCCTGGAGTTCCAATTTCAAATATTGATTATTTTCATGAGAAAATAAAAAAAAAAAGAATTGAGAGCTAATTTTCTGTGTCGGTGTTCCAAGCCAGGAGCAGAAATGAACGTTTTTTTATGCGACTCTTCATTTTCTATTTGTATTAACTCTTTGTTTCAATTAACACCCCACTCCGTTTTGTCTCACACTGTCACAGCTCCAGGCACATTCCATATTTATTGCGCGTGAATTCTGTAGTCCATGTGGAAATGGCAGAAGTGTTTAAAAATAAATGCACTCGAAACTACTGTAACTTAAAAAAAAACAAGGAAACAAAAACGCCAGGTGTGTGTAGCCAACAGTTGGCAAGCATTTGAATTAAGAACAGTAGAGAAGAATTGAGAATTTAAGAGTGCTAATCCAGTAAAGCAAACTGCAAGCTGGACTCACTGCAGGAAGACCTTCTTCATCATGTTGTGCAGCGTGCGGTGGAGTGCTGGGTCATACAGCAAGGAACTGGGGGAGCGCAGCCAGCGGTAGAAATGCATCACTTGGTTGTCAGCGTAGACGTTGTGATACTGCGTGATCTCCTTCACCCAGCTCACTACCATGCTCTTCAGAATCCTGCAGAAACCCCACCCCGCCACAGCCTGTGAGCGCAGAACCGTGCCAAACACTTCAAGAAAACTCAGTGTGCATGTGTGCAGAGATCAAACAAACAAACTAATTCACCTACTTAAAGGGAACATTTCATTGATCACTTGGCTGTACTGAAACTAGAACTACATGCATAAAAATTCAAGAAATGGTACAAAGATGTCTTCTTTGGGGCGGCACGGTGGCACAGTGTTTAATATTCCTACCTCACGGTGCTGGAGCCCCGAGTTCAATACCAGGCCTGGGATGCTATTTGCGTGGAGTTATCTGTTCGCCCCAGGTTTGTGTGGGCTCCTGTATCCTCCCACAGTCCAGAAACACACTGGTAGGTTAAACTGGCCCTGGTGTGAGTGTCCTCTGCCTAGCGCTCACTTATTGCCAGGATACTGTGGCACAGGGGAGCATTTTTTTTCTAAAAGCAACGCTGTAATCCCACAGTTATTTTTCTCTCTTTATCTTACCCTTCCACAGCCGTGTGACAGCGCGGTGACTGCATTAGCGGCTGTAGCCGAGACCGATTTCGGCTCAGCTATGAGAATTCCTCACACGGCTGCACGGGTGTTCAGCCAAACCCTCGCTGAGAGCAGTACAGCCCAGGCGCCCTGCTCTGTTCCCCAAAGAGCATTATTTTTTTTCTTTGCTCTTAAAGCACTTTTTTTTTTCTTACTCTTGCACTCCCAAACACATTTAAAAGACGGCCTGTACACCTGCCAGGCTGATCTCATGCTGGTGCCCGTCTACCGCAGCTCCCAGACCCGCATTGTTACAATAAGCTCAGGCTCCAGTTAGAAAATGGATGGATGTTCCTTTTTGTCCACTGTTCAAAGCAAAGATATTCCTTGTTATTACCTAGAATCCTTGTTAAATGGTAACTCTAGTCTTGGCTTTTCACTACAGTAAAAACAGGCCCAATTGGATGGTCTCCCTACAGCTAGAAAAACATCAGTCCTGTGCTTACAGTCTCACTCACCTGACGTCAACTGGTCCTGTACTGGATGGACATTATATACTGCTTGAACACACAGTACCAGGGGAGTGGAGGGTTTGAGGGCAGGTGCCAGTTCCATCAAACCATTACCACACCCTTCTTCCGTCCTGGCTGTCTGGATTTTAGGGGTCCCATGGTTGAAACGTTTGAGGGGGCTACAACTATGGCCAAAGGGGCACAGGGAATTCTGGGAGATTGGGAAACTGTGCTGTTCTTTTAAAAAAAAATGGGTTTACAAAAAATGTTCTCAAGATTTCTCATTTGCAACCCGCTTTCATTAATCTATGGGTATAAAAGAATTTAAACTCTGTCGGAGTTAATTGTCAATCCCACTGACTAGCAGAATGGATATTCAAGCCTTATCACCTCCAGATTCGAACCGCTGTCAGTGTACTGAACTCCTTTGGAAAACAGACTGTTCAGCTCAACAAGGGCACTGTTACAGACACGAGTAATTCGAACAGCCTCTTGCTGGTTTACCTGAATGTGTTGGAGCAGAGTGCTGTCTCGTCGTAGCTGGCCAGGGAGCTGGCACCCTGGTTCCCAGACATCATATCCTCCAGGGAGGCCTGCTGGATGACATCGAAGCTGACGCCCAGGCTGGCGCCGCCCTCCATGTCGTTGACGTGCTGGGACTGCAGGATGGTGTTCACAGCCAGGCTCTGCAGGTCCAGCTCCACGCACACTGCACACACAAGACACAGGCCCTTCGTTACTGCCACTCTCCACTGCAGCATCTGAATATACCCAGAAACACACTGTCAAAAAAGCCCTCTGTCACAGCTAGACATACTGGGGCCCCATACTTTTTCCTCCCATTTCAAAAAGGCTTTGCCAGTTTAACATCTGCCTGGGGACAGGCATTTCAAAAAGAGAGCTTGGCGTGAGCGTGATGGAGCTGACTGTATTCTGACTCATTCGTTCGGCCTCTCCTGGACCTGTGGAATAGCAGCCAGGGGCGTTGATCTCCACGGAGCTCCGCTCCTCGTTCTCCATCACCAGCCTGCTGTCGTCGGCCTCCTTGCCCCCCAGGTCCGGCCGGGCAGAAGGGGAGAGCCACAGCAGGTGGTTGTGTCGACGGAGGTGTCGAGCGAAGAAGAGGTCTGAGCCGAAAATGGACACGTCTTCAGGGAGGTTTCCCACCGGCAAGTGATAGTACCTGACAGAGAGTGAGAGATCAGGGACATCAGCAATATTCACTCTTCTACACAGACATCTCAAGGTCTCATTAAAAAATTAAAATGTTAAAATCATGAGATTTTGTATTTTAACATCAAGCTGTTTCAAAACTGGAATTCTGCATTCCTACAAAAATATACTGTATAATCTGACCTACTATATAAAGCCAGTGTGCAATGTGTTCTAAATTTAAAACCCATCACAGAAATGGTATGGTAATGGTCTTCATTAGACTTATGGTTACAAACTAAGACCGTTATCAAAATACTTTAAACAAGATCCTCTTTGATATTAAGTCTTCCCTGACCCATGGCAAAAATAAAAGTTTAATATCAGCCTTCAACAGAATTAAAGGGGAACTGCAATTCCAATTTAATAACCGGTTATTAAATCTCAGTTTTAATTTTTTACAAATTTCAGATTAAGCACAAAATCGTGAAATTTGTGAAAGCGCTGCAAGATGCCATGTTATCCCAAACTCGCATTTGAGTTCCCACGAATTGCAACATGTGGCCCCTCCCTTCTCACTAATCTTTGTAATCACTAATGTGATGCAAGAGTGAATAAGTACAGGTTGTGCAGCAGACACTTCATTGCAGAAATGTTCCTACAGTACGTGATCTGCACGCTTAAGCTTACAAGTAGAATTTGTCAGTAAAACATGCTATAAACTTAGAGCAATATTTCTATTGGATTAAAAGAGATGAATTCACAAGCCTGTATCGCCTTCCATCATTGGAAGTTTTGTTACCTAATTCTGAACCGCAGAACATGGCGCTGTGCATACCTGGAAATTTCGTCTATTTCTGACATAAATTGGAGGTTTTACAAGTTACTGTGAATGTTTTACTTTAATTGTGGTTTGAAATGCACTCAAAGCTGATTCTTTCTAACCCCTAAATATAAAGAGCGCTGCAGCTCCCCTTTAATTAGGACCCAGCTTGTTATGAAGCAGCTCCTAGCGGGGCTACAGACCGAGTGTCTTTGGGTACCTGGCCATGTCGAAGGCCTGCGAGAGGCAGCTGTCCAGGTTGAGGTAGTGCCGGATCATCCTGCGGGCCCCGTGGCGCTGCCAGTCCAGCACGTTGTAGTTGATCTCGTCAATGACGTGGACTGGCACCACGGGGAAGTCCTCCAGGACAGACAGCCCAGCTGCCAGCCTCCGCAGCTCCCAGTTGGACTGGACCGCGATCAGCGTGGGTCCGCGCCGCTCGTCCTGAGCGCACAAAGCGGAGGAAGAGACGATGCGTCCGGCTTACCGTGCAAACACGCCGCCAGGCAGCGGAAGCCGACAAACGCGGACGATACCTTGTAGTTGAGCAGAGTTCTCTGAAGGGCGCGGTAGATGGCCTTGGGGTCATTTTCGGCTCGCACCTCGAAGTTGTGCTTCTCCGGGGGGAGGAGCTCCTCGCCCATCTTCTCCAGCAGAGCAGAACGCTCGACGGAATACAGCGTGCCGAGATTCGGCATCTGGTTACTGCGGACCTGAGGGAGGGGGGCAGCACAGAGCAACCTAAGCACGAACCTTCCCGCTGCTTTCATAAGGAAACAAAAGTGTATTTCGGAAAGGTAAAAACGGGAGGCTTTGAAGATAGGGAGACTGAGCCTTAAGTAAAGTAAATGAACAACAGTATCCTGTCTCCGAATCGTTTCTCCAAGATCGCGGTCAGTGGTTTTTTACATCGATGTGCTGCAGAGCTCCTGTTGACTCCTGGCAGCCTGGCAGGCTGTTAGCGGGGTCCCCCACTCACCGTGTCCAGGACGAAGACGCTGGCCTTCCGCTGGGAGGGGATGAAAAGACCGAAGAGAGCCTTGTGGCCCTGGCTGTGGTGGTACATGTAGATGTGGCGCACACTCCCTGAGGGAACATGTCAAAACAGCTGCTAAGAAGGTGGAGTATTGTATACATTTTGCATGCAAGATGAAAAAAAAAGACTAATGAAGAAGGCATGGCTTTGGTCAGAAGGAAGAGAATCTAACTAATGTTATCGTGTCATTATTGGGGAAGCCCAGCATTTACTTGCCCATAACACAGCAGGCACATTTGGGGAAAAAAGCATCTTCAGACATGAATACAAGCAGACATGTAGTAACAGCTCTAGCAGATAAAATTTAACTCGTGAAAGGGGAAACACTCTCCATTCCCATTTTGAAGAGGCAGCTCTGGAACAGTAACTAGCGCAGACATACCAGGCTCCAGGTAGCTGAACTGGGCCAGCGACCTCATCTCCAGGTGGTCCAGGTCAAAGGTGTCGGCTTCGCGGTTGGCCAGGTCCCTCGCCAGCTGCTTATTGACCATACACACACAGCCCAGCTGCACCAGTGCCCGGAAGAGGAGGGGAACCTGGGGGAGAGAGCACCCATGCTCAACTCTCACTGCTGTAGCAGCTTACAAACAGGGTCGCTAATGCTAAGTGTTTGATTTTTTTTTTACATTAGCAATTATACCCAAAGGGCTTTTGCACATTCCAGGTGATCCCATATACCACCACCCCAGCAGTGTGTTACCACAATTTAAGCTTCTATTACAGTGGCCTACTAGACTGTAAGGGATGGCTGTGGATTGTCCCAGGTATATCTCATCTTTGCTAATCCTTGCAAGAACTTTCCCTTCCACTTGGCTTTATGTTTCTTACACACAATCCCTTCTAAGGAACAGTTCTCCACAGCCTTGAAAACTCTGCCCAGTCTAGACTTTGGCCTGAGTGCCACTTTTGGTATTATTCTCTTCTTTGAGCTGTAGGCTGGTTTTACCCGTAGACCTGAATCCATGGGACTGACCTGAGTCTCATAGACGCCTTCAATGTCGGGGGCAGAGAGATCTGCGTTGATCTCGTTGATGTGCTCTTGGTACATGTCCTCAGGGACCGAATACTGGTACAGGTGGTACACCATATTGGAGCGTGGCAGCATGCGGTTGACCTGCAGGACCCCAAACAGGCTTTAAGGGACACCAGACCTTTTCGCTTCGAACAGGCCAAGGCGCAAACCCACCAGACACTGCGCTTTGTTTTTTTTAAGCAATCATGGGTCACTAAGCCTCTCAGCAAGGCGTTCCAAAACTGTGTAATGCTCTATTCCTGCAAAAACATATAATCTGACCCATGAAGACAGTATGAACATTTCTTCTGAAATGTGTTGCATGTTATAAAATAAGATGATGGCATTGAAGGAGAAAAATTAATTTCCTTTGTTGATGAATTACTTTGATGCAGCTGGTGGAACCACTTACCTTCTTATACATGGGCCCCTCCTCCTGCTTGGGCACCCGCTGGTTGACGTAAAAGACGCGGGGGATGTTGAGCTTCATGCAGTGCAGGTCGCTGCCGATCACCGCCCACAGCTTGTGTAAGCCTGGGTGACTGGTCTCCGCAATCTTGGGAAGCAAGGAAGAACAAGCAGGTCTGTCACATAGTGCCACTCCGCTACAAGAACATCGATACAGATCTTGAACTGGAGCTCTCTGGGCTTGTGCAACTTCAACAGCTCAGGGACTGGAAACACCAGGTCACCCAACGTCCATGTGGGCCAAGCCCATAAGAACCGCAGCTAAAATCTGTCCAGGAGTCCCATCCTCAAGCTCTCCTGCATCCTGGGAATCTTTGCCGTGCGACAGCCTTGACTCCTGCTCGCTCACCTGTACGATCTGCCAGGGCATGTCCAGGATGCTCCGCGCGGTCCTGCGGAGGAAGCTGCCCAGGCCGGTGGTCGGCCCGCCCCTGATCACGCCCCCTCCCGCTGGCTGGGCCCCGCCGTCATCCAGCCGCCGTTTCTTCCTGCGCTCCTTCCTCTGCCGCGCCTGCAGCTCCCACTTCTTCTTGTGGTACCGCAGCCACACCAGCCTCTCCTCCTGCAACGCCGAGCACACGCCTGGGTTCAGGCCTCGGAGAGCGCTGGTCCGATACGGTCTAGCACAGACCGCGCCGGGGAGCCCCACCCGCCCCACTGCGGGGCAGCGTAAACCCACCTAAAACTGCCATTCCGCCCCTCTTATAGATCTGAACTGCAGCACTGAGCTTCAAAGCTCCAATTCTGTTCAAAATCAGCCCCGTGGGGCAATTCAGGCAGCCAGCAGTGGAAATACAGCCCATTCCAGTATGCAACATGGTAGGATAAACTTTCCAAGCAAAAAAAAAAAAAACAACAAAAGGTCTATAAAATGATAATAGGAGTAACGTGCATTTTAAGGGCTCTGTCCAACACTACAAAATAAAATAAATCCATAAGATATCTAAGAAACTATTAAATTACATGCACATTTGCAGAAGGGGCTCTATCCAATACATATCCTGTTGATAAAACTTTCTTCACACTCATTATCTGTGAGCCCGACAGCCTCTGGAACAAAGTCCACAGCCAAAACGTGTTTCCTTTCTTCTCTTTTCAGCATGGAATAAACCTTTAACTTGTTCTTTTGCAGCTTACGCATGCTGACGCAGCTAAATTTTCTTCAATTTGTCTTGCACAGGGGAAAAACCTCTTCCTGAGGCAAAAGGTCAAAAGCCAGGGGAAGACTAGAAGATGGAAAAGCTGTATGTACCCTGGGAATGACTCGGCCTGGAAAGATGCTCACCTGAGTGCAGGCCGCACTCTAAGATCACAGGTTTAAGACTGGATCGCGACAGTCGACCTGGTTTCGCAGGTGGCCGAGCACCTCCGAGTGAAGGATGGGATTAGTGAGCCAGAGCTCTCTCGGCCCCTGGCAGGCATATGGTACTAAACACTGAGGGATGGGCCTGTCCTCCAATCGCACCTCCAGCACAGGGCTGATTGCCCTAAGGAGACCGCACGTACTGGTTCTCCCCTGCGTGCCTGTCGTAGGCTTGTAGTTACAAGCCAAGACGCAGACAACACACCCCTGGCTAGTCCAGGAGTGGGCAGGTATAGCGAAAATCAAGGGCGATTCTAAATCTTTCGGAAAAAGCGGCATGCCTTCGTTTTGCCCATGGGTGGAGGTGGCCCGAGGATCTCCCTCCAGGACTGGGTGAGCTCCAGCTCCTGGGACTCGGCCTGGCTATCCGTCCCCAGGGACACCCGCTTGCGCTTGGTACTGATGGGAATGGCCGGCTGCAGGGGTCCCCGCTTCACCCCAAAGTCCTCCAGGTCGCCTATCTCCCCAACTTCTGAGCACTGGCTGCTTCCAACTGCCAGCTGGTTAGAAACCACCTGAAACAAGCAAGGGAAGTTGAATGATACAAGAACGCCAATTTCCCTGCACAGCACAGTAAATAAGCAAAAGAGGTATTAAAAACTCTGCATACAATGATTGGAAAACACAATTCATCATCCTTTGCTCACAATATGCTGAAAATGCACTGCAACCTTCATAGACCAGGCTGGACAGCTGGTCTAACAACAGTGTACCTGTCTCTTGCCCTCGCTGGTGAAAAGCTCGCTGATCTTCTTCTGTTTGTAGATATCATTTTTCTCCAGCAGCTTCTTGTGCAGCCAGTCCGGATGCCGCACCCTGGGTACAGGATTTTTCACCTGAGGGGTCAAAGGGCAAAGGTCAGGAAGTGCAAGCTGCCACAGACACACAACACGTTCACTTCTCCCACTCAAGCTGACAGCTGGCTTTTCTGACAGGAGATGTATTGGGAACATCACCTGACGGCACAAGAAAGCCATCTGAACCTGTTCCGACACCCCAGCCACACAAGACAAGGCTAGAGCAATAGAAGAGCTCTTGAGGCTGGTACCTGCTGCAGGGCAGCTGGGATGGTGATGATTTTCTGGATGGCGCTGCCAAGTCTCTCAATGTAGTAATTCCAGTCCAGAATCTGTAAAGAAAGACCAGTTATCCGTCCATGAAAAGTCATGGGTGCCGAGACAGGGAGGAGATGAAAAATGGAGCAGTTTGCCAAGCTTAAACAGAATGGCTATGAAAATTTGCCATTTTGTTACCAGAGGTAATGACGAAGGTCCTGAAACATTTAGTTTTGACCGACAGCAAAACCCTTCTTGGAATCAGTCATGTTATTCGCCAGATTCCTGAATTCTATGCTAAGCACGGACATTACACAGAATTCCACTTGCCACCGTCAGGCTGTAACAGGTGTCAGAGGAGGAGACTTACTGTGCGGATGTCCAGGTCATGCAGGGCTGGCATCTTCAGCCACTTGCGCAGGAAGTGCTTCTTCACGCTCGGCTCTGCCTGGAAGATGGCCAAGGGGATAGCCCTGCCAGAGACATCGCGACAGAGGAATCACAAGGCGTCGCTGGTGAAAAACCCTCCCTGCTTCCGCAAACTCCTGGAGACTCGCCGGACAGCCCCAGCCATTGTTGCCTATACATGCACGAGACTTTTCCTGCAGTCCCCATCCTGCGCCAGTGGCAACGACAGCGGGTCCAGTCTTGCGCTTACCTCTCGGTGACCGGGGATCCCTCCGGTTTGCGCGAGATGACGTAGCGGCAGCTCAGCCCAGCGTCCTTCACCATCTGGTCCCCCAGGAACTCGGCCAGCCGCTTGGCCGTGCTGATGGAGGTGGACTTCTGCTCGCCGTAATCCTCCAGCTTCCTGGACATGGAGCGGTTCTCCGAGATCAGCTCGAACAGCTCTGCGTCCGGCATGTTAGCCGCCTAGGTGCGAGAGCTGCTGTCACAGCGCTGTCGTTTCTCGGACCCTTAAACAATCGTTCACAATTCAGAAATCTCGGGGTGAAGGCGCCCCTATTGTAGTGTTGTAAAGGAAGCAAAAAGCTCTGCCACCTATCAGGTCAGCATCTGAAAGGGACGGCGATGGCCCACTCAGGCTGTCGGGAGCTATAGGGAGATACCTTGCTGTAAAGCACGTCCAGCCAGTAGTCGGCCACCTTGGCCACAGAGGAGTAGACCTCCTCCAGTGTGGTGCCCTTGAGGAAGGCCTCAAACACAGAGGACTGGAAGATCTTGATGAGCTGCAGCTCCCCCCGGCGCTTCACTTCGAAGCCCTTCAGCTCCGCCAGGGAGCCGTCCTCATTAAACACCGCATACCTGCAGGGGAGAGGGGTGGCAAGGCTAAAGAGCTCGTTCGGGAGGACGTGCACACACCGCCAGCGTGACATTCGGCAGCACAGCCTTAAAGTCCTCACCAACTACAGCTCCCTTGTGCAAACATTTAGGCACCCCTGGTCAAATCACATATCTCAGTGAATCTCTATCTGTCCACCTGACTTAAAAAGGGAAACAGCAACCCTATTTTTAAATTTTGGGGTTAGAAAGAATCAGTCCCAGCAGGGCTCCATCCCTGCCCAGGTCACCCCTGGTCCCCTACCTCTTCTTCAGCTTCTTGCCCTCCTCTTTGGAGGCAGGCAGGATCATGGCAAGGTAAGGGCCATCCACTTCAAAAAAGATGCTGTTCTCAGATCGGGTCTCGTAGGTGAGTGTGGCGGGATCTGTAAGCTCCTGGTACTGGTGATTGGTAAAGCCCTCCTGAAGACCAAGCAGACAGGCAGAGAGAGAGGCTGGTAAAGTGAACAACCCCGTGTTTCACCAGCCTGCGACATTGGATGGGCTTTATAGGGGAACTGCACATGGATTTTGACGAGTGCATTTCAAGCCACAGCAAAAGCAAAATGCACACAGTAACTTGTAAAACCTCCCATTTACATCACAACATAGCCGGAATTTCCAGGTGTGCGCAGCGCCATGTTCTGTGATTCAGAACGAGGCAACAAAACGTGGTGACATGAAAAGGCCCTAATATACTGTAAACACGCAGGCTTGTGAATACATCACTTTTAATCCAATAGAAATACTCTCTCGATTTCGAGCCAGTTTTGCCAACAAATACTACTAGTCAAATACTCTGCTTATACATCACGTTGGATCATTTCTGCAGTGAAGGGTCTTCTGCACAACCTGCACTTATTGGCTCGTACATCACAGTCCATTAGTCATTACAGTGACTAGTGAGCAGGAAGGGGCCGCATCACTTCACAAGTGATGTTTGTGCTTAATTTAACATTTGTAAAACTTTTCTCTAACATCAATGAATTTATTTGAAGGAGATTCAATAACCGGTCAGAGAAATTGGGAGTGCAGTTCCCCTTTAATCCACAAGCCACATACCAGAACTCAAACAATATTGGTTGATCCTTTTATCAGAAGAAAAAGAGTAAGTGAAAGGCAGCCATTTTGGGGCAAAAATAACAGCTGTTGATTTCTGCCATGGAAAAAAACTGGCAGAAAGGTGTTGGTTTCTCCAATTTTGGGATAATACATCCATCCACATAAAAGGAACTAGGACTTACACATTGTCTCAACGGACTCTGGGAGACCAAACATGCTCTAGAGCCGTGACTGTACAGACAAGCCTCACCTTCACCATGATGTTGAGCATTGCCCCGGGGTACGAGATGGTGACCTTGGGCTTCTTCTCATTGCTGGATCTGATGACGAAGTTCTCGGGGAAGGTGTTGGGAAGCACGCACCAGATCCCATCGGTGTCCAGCTCCAAGGGCCGGCTGCCTCACAGACACACAGTTTACTTTACAAGGAGTCCAGCTGTACTGGAGCTTCATAAACAGAATACAGTCCTGTCACTTCATGTTTCTTTAGCTCCTCCTGGCTACAGACGTGCATCACTTTATACTTCCTAACGAGAATGTTAGATAAAATCCTTTTTTTGTGGATTGTTTAAACATGTTTAAGCAAGTGCTGGAACAACTGTAACTTAACACTTTGCTGAACCTACAGGTGCTTGAGGCCCTATTTCTCCCAGCCTGTGGCCAGACTCTGACCCTCACCCGATCTGTTCGATCAGCTCCCTGGCCTGCGTGATGATATTGGCGCCAGTATAGCACACGATCCCAGCCATCTCCATGGAGTACCAGCGCGCCCTGTTGGACAAACCGAAGAATAGCATCGCCCGATAAGAAAGCAATGCAGCACATACTGTAAATTCATCTTTATGCTGAAAGTAGGAAGCATAACTCAGGTCTTTGAAACTCCGAAAGCGACTTTCCCTTTCCATATGTAAAATATCCGTATCGCCCTTTTTTCCAGGAAAGGAGTGGATGGAATTTCCAGAGAATTTAGAAAAAGGGTTTTTCCATTTCAACTAACAGTATTATTGCCTCATGTACAGGAATCCCTACCAGACGGGTGGATATGTATGATCGCTTGTTTTAGAAATATGCGTTTAACTCCGGCTCTCCTGCCTCCAGGGCGTCGTACCCCTTGCGCATGACGTAGCCGTAGAAGGAGTTGAGGATGCACTTGTGGGCGAGCTGCAGGGACTCGTACAGGATCTCCATGTTCTTGCAGCGCTTCACCTCGGCCGCGTCCCCGCACTCCTGCGCCGCCGACAGCTTCTTCTTCCAGACCTGCGGCAGGGGACAGCGGAGTGAGAGACAGCCCACACCCACACGGGGGTTAACACGCTGTCAGAGCTGCAGGACATGGATATGGGAGAAACGGCACAATGGATCACTTGTTTAAGCCTTCATGGCCTGTCGGGATTTGTGAAAGTCCCGCACAGTAGGGGAAAAAAAGCAGTAAGAAGCCTGAATTCTTGATCTAGGCTTTTGGCCTGACAGGACAGCAAAGTCATGTCCAAACACGTTAGACGGCAGAATCTAAGACAACACTGGTGAGAATCTGTCTCCCAAACAGTCAAATGCCACTAACAAACTGAATATCGGTAGCGTCCAAGGAGCACGCTGTGCAAAGTTTTGCGTTGCTGTGCACAAATGTCTTTTTCCACTGAATTCTTGAGTCACTGTTTGAAGTTGAATTATTCTATGAATATATCTTAGATAAGATCACTTTATTAGCCATATACAATTTCTTTAGGAAATTGAATTAGGAATTCAATTAGGAATTCGTCTTTCACATACCCCAGCTTGCTCTCCATGAGACACAGACACACAGACAGGGAGAGAAGCTTGGGGTCAGAGCACAGGGTCAGCCATTGTACAGTGCCCCTGGAGCAGTTGGGGTTAAGGGCCTTGCTCAGGGGCCCAACAGAGTAGGATTCCTCTGCCGGCTGTGGGATTTGAACCGGCAACCTTTACCACGGGCACAGATCCTTAGCCACAGAGCCACTGCTCCGCCCCATCTTACCCATCATCCGTGAAAAATGTATAAAACTAATACTTTTATTTAATAAACCAATATTATTGCTAATATAATATAATATGACCATGCACGTGTGGTCATAAATCAATCATTTCACAGCCTAATAACATCAGCATATACAGGTACATTCACACAGGGACAGCGAGTCCTTTTCAGACTTCTGAAAACTTTTAAGAAAGCATTCCCGCAATTTAAGAGCATTTTACTTTTCTCTTCATAAACTTAAATTAATTAAATAACGGATTAATATATAAATCAGTTTTGGGTAAAGCCCATCTACGATACCAATCTGCTGATAATGCCACACAAGCAGAGTCTCGCCACTGACGGATGCAGTCTCTGTACCTTGTGCAGCCCTTTGAACTCGTATCGGCGATCTCGAAAGGCGCGAACTGTGTCCACATAGAAAGAATTCTCTCGCTGGCAGATGGTGGTGACCCGCTCCTCCAGTCGGGTCAAGTGGACCTTCTTGTAAGCCTTTCGGCAGTAGTCTGGGGATGACATGGGCACCGAAAAAATGAAAAAGACTGATGTAGCAATATCAAAATGAACTTTTTAATGCCACATCTAGAAAATAGAGATTAATGGAATTAACTTCCATGAATTACCCGATTAATTAAAGGGGAGCTGCAGTCCCAATGTTTCAGACCAGTTATTAAATCTCAGTAACAAAAAACATTAATTGATGGTATAGAACATTTTTCAAATTAAGCACAAAATTGTGAAAGTACTGTATATTCACCATATTGTGGCAAATCCCTGGTCTGGCAAAATAAATTTTGTTCATTTTGTGATTTTGTAAATTGGGAGGTTACTGTGAGCATTTTACTTTTATTGTGGCCTGAAATGTACACTGATTTATTCTAACCCTGAGACTTTAAAATAGCGTTGCAGCTCCCCTGTAATGGCGTCCAACAGACGGGAAGAAGCTGGGCCGAGCGTGCGGGCCTCACCAGCCAGGCGTTTCTTCTCGTGGCGCGCCTGCTCCTCGCGGTTCAGCTCGTGGAAGGCCTGTGGCCGCCCGTTGGGGAAGAGCGGGGGGAACTTCTCCGACTCCAGCTGCTGCTGGATGCGGTGGAACTCGCTGCGGCTGGCCGGCACTGCGAAACACAGGCACCCACACAGGGTTAGGCCCTGGGCGCCGCGGCAACAAGCGACGGCCATTTTGCTGGGAGTCCACCCACTAGCAGCCCAGGGATACTCACTGAACTCCCCTCTCCACTGCCAAGTCATCTTCCTCTGGCAGTTGGCTCCCGGTTTGTTGAAGTCGCAGGCAGCACAAGTGACCTCATCCACCATAGCCGAGGGCTAGGAAAGACACGAGATGCCACGTGAAACAAAAACCCATTTAGCCCTAAGGACCCACTTTCCTGAAGGAAACACACTGAAAGATACAAACACTGTCGTGAGCTTGAGGGCTGCATGACTGGATAGGTGCGCCGGGGACTCCCCCAGCAGAGGCACACAAAGAGTTCAGCATGGCCAGGGATTGGGCTGGGAACTGCCGGCCAGGGCTTTCTCAGCTTGCAGGGAAACAGCGCCCCCTGTGGCTCCCCGGGCATCTGCAGCTCGTGGCGAAGTGCCTCTTCTCCAACGGGCGCTGAATTTCTTTTACATGGCTGTGGAGCTTGCAGTATGTGAGAAAGATGAATGGCTGCTCACCCGCATTCTCCCCACAGAGAGCCACAGTGGTCCGAACCAGAAGCACCACCTACCTGCAACCGGTTGGTGAGGATGATGTTGGGGTACATGGCACCCACATCCAGATGGTAAATGAGAGGACACTCAATCCTGTTTGGCACCTCCTTCAGGGAGATCAGCTTCTTCTTGATATCCTCACACACCTGAAAGACAACGATTTCAGGCCCATATAAAGGAATAGAGCTTTGCAGTATCTGCCTTGTGTGCACATAATACTGTAAATGGCAGAACTGTTCTGAAGACTGACATGAGCTTGGCAAAATGATCCTGGATTCAACTGAGAGCACCGTTCACTGCTCAATTCATGAGTTGAAACGAGCCCATTAAATGACATTCAGTGTTCCAAGACAACTTCATCCTTTCTGATGTTCGGAATTCAAGGAGAAGAGAGAGTTTTGAGAATGAACTGAAGAACACCGATAGGGGATGGCTGTCAGTCCTGTGCTGAGACACTGACCTCACTGAAATTAAGGACCTGCTCCAGGGGGATCTTCTCCTCCTCTTCAATGGCATGGCGCAGGGTGTGCTCCACTCTCTGCAGCAGGAAGTCAAAGGCCGCTGGGTTCTGAAGACACAAACAGCGTCAGTGGATTTCCAGACCCTGGCTAACAACAGGGAGGTGAAGCCTTCCAGGGATAACAGCAACCTCAACATGAAATGAAGAAGCACTGGGTAACGAATATGCAATCATTTCAACAACAATGTACATCAGACACTCTAAAGAAGCAATTACTTGTGCTTTTCTTCCGTTTTGGGGTTTGAAATGCGTATGCAGAGATTTGACCCACTATATTGGGACAGCCTCAGTTAAAATGCCTACATCTCACACGCAGTGGGGGAAGGGGGCGGGAGCAGGCCTGTACCATTTTGAAGCGACAGGGGATGTCGCTGCGAAAGACGCCCGACTCCAGGGCCTCCACGTGGCCCCCCACGTACGTCTCGGAGTCCAGCACGTGCCCGTCGTCTGTCAGTTTGTTGAAGACCTGCTCCTGCTTGTTGGGGAAGATGATGTTGGCGTGGAAGGCCTGGACCATGAGCAGAGCCTCGCAGAGCGTCCCAGAGCCCTTCCGGAGCACCTGCCACACACGGACACCAGAGAACACGTCGATTCCCCCATTTTGCACGGCCATCAGACACTGAAACCACATTTTGCATCTCCTCTCTACGTAACTTGATCCTTCTGTCCACTGTGCTCATTTTGCAGAACACCCGTTTTCCAGAAGTTTCTTTCAAGCAAGTAGCTAATAGCTAGATAAGCCCCTCCCACTCATAATCATCCTTAAAATATCCTCTTCGAGGGTCTTAATGTTCCTAAAAATACATTTCCGTCACTTTTCACTCCTATAAAGGCCCACACAGACAACGGCACTGAAGAGGCAACAAGCAGATTTCCAAACCTCGTCTGGTTCCATGGGGATGATGGTGCACAGAGCGAAGATGAAGGGGTGGACATACTTCATGTAGAGGTAGTAAGTGGCGACAGCATCCGACACCGAGTATGTGGCCAGAGTCTGGAGCAAACCAGCAGAGTGCAGTTAGTAACCTCGCCACCAGCCAATTTCAGCTGGACACCGACCGGAGTCTGACGAGACTGGGAAACGTCTAGTTAAACTCAGAAGAGCCTGGCGACAAGAAATACCTGGAATTCCACTTTCCACCCAACACATATCCATCTCAACGACAAACTTTTAAAAAATCATTCTCCGTATGATTGATCTTTACAGTTAAGTGCCCGGAGTTCCCTAGCTACACAGGGATATGTAAAAAAAAATGCACATCTTTGCAACTGGACTAGAGGACAGACCTCTGAAGAGGCAGCCCAAACCTGCCCCCGCCCCCCCCCCCCCCCCCCCCCCACCCTTCCTCCCCCCCCACCTTACCTTTACAGCCTGACCGAAATGTCAGCTAGCACGACTAGGCCCCCCGCCCACTCATTACCTGAGGCTCCTCGGTGGCCATGCGGCACATCTCCTCTGGATCCAGCTCCACGGGGTCGTACCCCAGCTTGGCCTTCGCCGCCGCCTTTAGGTTGTGGCTCCCCACGGGCAGGTAGCTGTCGCGCTTCACCCACCTGAGACGCAGCGCCAGATCATCGGGAGGGGGTTAAAAGGGGCTTTTGGAACACGTGTGTCGTTATCCCGCAGTTAAACACGCGAAACCTTCTCGAGCGGCGGGGATGCCCACGTCACTGCAAGATTCCACATTCTGCCATTTCTGACATGCCAGAAATCTATCCCAGGACACTAAAGTAGAGGAACCGGCTCCAGTCCTCAGGGAACAGAGCCCTGTAAGGTTAATAAGTATTCACTTGTCAAAAAAATGCTGCCGCACCCTAAGCCTATATTACGTTAAAAGTAACAAGGAAAAAATAAAAAAGATATCATTTACAAGAAAAATCAAATTTAACTGCAGCTCCCCCCCGAGGACAAATTGGTGCTTGAAAAGCAAAGAACACCTGCAGTATCTCACTGCTGAGAGGCATACAGATCACAGCTGCCCCCCGGCCCACCTGAGGCAGTCCATGTGGATGGCCTGGCTGGCCTTGTACTCCCCTTGGCCGTCCTTCTGAAAGCCGATCTCGCGGTGCATGTTGAGCCCGTGATGGGCCGCCCGGGTCTCCACAAAGGGCCTGGGAGGAAGGAGGGAGGGGGGACAGAATGAAAATCACAAAGCCGTGAGCTGATGGGAACGGACCGTTCCGTCCGCACGGTTTGGTTCGACAAGCTGTCGGACAGCTCAGGGGCGCGACGCCTGCAGCAGGCACAAGGAGCTCCACAGGGCGTTGACTCACCAGTCAAAGAAGTCTCCGTTGTAGGTGACAAAGATGTTGGGCTTGGTCTCGTGGATGTGCTCAAACCACCTCTGGATCAAACTGGCCTAAAACCAGAAAGCAGCAATTGATCGACCGCCATCTCCCAACCCCTCCGTCTCTGACCGCTCCAAGGTTAATCCTCTCACCTCATCAGGCTCATTAAACACGGTGAAGGGTCCCTCATACTCTGGTTTGGGGGTGAACTCAAAGTCCTCAATATCCTCGGAGACAATTTCCCTGTTTGTTATCAGGTATCCCTGCCACACAAACAAAGCCTCACGCTTAGTCATAGTACACACTGGTTTGGGGTTTAACAGTTGCTAAACCGTTCCAAGAGAAAGGATGGCTAGTTTGGAGTAAAGACTATTTTTACAATAACACTAAACAAGCCTAAAAATAAGGCAATCAATAATAAGAAAATAAAAAAAACTTATGAAGATATTAAAACTAACTGTTGAACCAAAAATACTCATGTAACCCACATTGTGAAGTAGTTAGCAACAAAACAATCAACATGAAATGAGAGGCGAAATTAAGCTATGTACTGGAAGAAATAAATAAAAATATTGCATTATTGCATTAAGTTGTGGAAAAGCACTCCAGAAACACCTCTCTTTGGGAATACTATTACAGAGAGGAGTATCACAGACACCTGTCCATCAATCATGTACGAGATCATCATGATCTGGTCACTCTCAGCATCGGGGAATTTAAGAGGCAGCTTGGTGGTCTCGATGTCAAAGGCCAGCACAACAGGGTCCTGCAAAGTGACAGGGAGCAGCAAAAGGCAGGGCAGGTTAGCATTCCAAATGACCTTTTCCACTATTAAGCTAAGGTATTAATCATCCCTAAATGCGATGAGCTTCAAATGACAACATCAACATATAAAAACAAGCTTTCAATTGTCTTCCGTACCAAATGAAAAGCATGCCGCAGTCTTTTTCAAAATCGAGAGATCTCCACACACAAATACAACGTGTGGTTTTAAAAAAATACAAGCACCTTCAGAAACGCAACGTCCCAGATAAGACTGGGAAATGTCTAATATTTTGCTTTGCTTGCAATTTCAGACACTGAGGAGGACAGCCCCCGTGGTCTCAGCGACACTCACCGGCCGCTCGACCAGGTCATCCCTGCGCACGATCTCGGGGGGATAGGCACTGCCACGGTAGCGCACGTTGTACCAGTGAGCCTAAAAAACACAAATCATGGTATAAGGAGCAGCTTTCCATGCCCAGCCACATGCTCACACTCTGCACTGCGGCTTTAAAAGCAAGCAGAACTTGCTTTTAAAACTTACCAGCAGCCATGTCACCCTGCAACTCACACCTGGCAGCCCACTGAAGATCAGCAGGTGTGAGCCTGGTCAGTACCTGGATGGGAGACTCCTGGGAAAAACTAAGGCTGATGCTGGAAGAGGTGTTAGTGGGACCAGTAGGGGGCTCTCACCCTGCGGTCTGTGTGGGTCCTAATGCCCCAATATAGTGAGTGGATACTATACTGTAAAAGGCACAGTTCTTTAAGTGAGACGTAAAACTGAGGTCCCGACTCTCTGTGGTCATTAAAAATCCCAGGGCATTTCTCGAAAAGAGTATGGGTGTTAACTCCACACCCTGGCCAAATTTCCCCCTGGCCTTTACCAGTCATAACCTCCTAATAATCCCCATCTATGAACTGGCTTCACCACTCTGTTCTCCTCCCCACTGTTAGCTGGTGTGTAGGGAGTGTACTGGCGCACTATGGCTGCCGTTGCATCATCCAGGTGGGGCTGCACTCATCTGGTGGTGGAGGGGTTCCCCACTACCTGTAAAGCGCTTTGAGTGGAGTGTCCTGAAAAGCGCAACATAAGTGTAAGCAATTATTAACTTTTGTCCAGACATCAGCCTCATTTTCCAGCCATACCACAAACACTTACCACATGGATCTTGAGGTCGATGGACAGACGGACATGATAGGGCACATCATACTCCCGCATGTCCACAATATTGTCCAGCTGGTCTGTGATCTTCTTCGAAGCCCCATCTTCATCTGGGGCCACCACATTGCCCCCCGATAGGGCACTGAAAGACAAGAGTCTACTGATTCACCAAATACAAAAACCAGTCCAAATAGGAAGGTTTGCAGAGAGGTAGAGATCTTACTTTAGATGACACAGTACTGTAACTGACCCTGGAGCAGAGAGGTTTATCGCTTTGCAGCTTCACCAGGTCTTAAAGTAACATTAATAATATGTGAATTAATATAGATATGATATTCCGAGTGGTTTTTTTTAATATAATCAGTACCTCGACAGCATGGCAGTGTAGGCGTCATTGGACTTCTCTCGTTCCCGATTCTTGCGCACGGCGGGCGAGATCTCCCTTTTCACTTTGATGAGGTCATCAACAGTGTTGAAGGACAGCCTGATATAGCTCCTCTTCAGCCCCACCAGGTGATTGGGCTGTGAAGAGGGGTGTGCGACACCAAGACAGTGACCCACTGCTGCACTGCTGTACTGACTGCGTGCACAGCTTGAGAAACTGCATCACTACCAGTGAAACATCAAAACCCTGCAATTCTACAGAATGATTAAACCTGATGGTGTGTTGAAAAACACCCTAACATTGCTGACCTTTGTAGATGTATTATGCATAAAACACTGCATTTCTCATTGAGAAAGGCGAATAAACCTGCATAAGCCAAGTACATATTTGTCGATAGGACAAACGCCTGATTTTCATTTGATTTCAGATTTCTTTTTGCGACTCACCAGATCCAAGTCCTCCTTGAGAACAATCTCCAACTTCGCAATCTTCCCCTGGAACTTCTTCGACAGGAAGGAAATTACCTCTCTCTCGCAGTTCTGTTTCACAAGACAGACAGACATGCTTTCTGGTGAAAACGAGGCACTGTTATAGAGGCGTGAAAATATATCTGTCTCCTTCCCTTCTGTTCTCTGCTTGTGTGGAATATGGATAGCTGATATTCTGCTTCTGGAATAAAAATAAGATCAATGACTGCTAGCCCCAGCAATTTACTTTTGGAATCTTGACTCCCTCATTGCTCTGTGCATTAAGGAGCTCCAGGACCCACCACAAACAAACTCAACAACAGATATACTCACCTTTTTAGTCGCTATGTAGAAATAGGGTTTATATGGGAGCGCCACCTGGAATGAATGAATTATATATTCAAGACAATGTACAGTATTTACATTTAGAGAAAATGTTTCTATGCTTTCAGCTACAAAAATAAGAAAATAAATATTTCTTGGCAGCTCAACAAAAGGCAGTGAACTCGCTGGCATTGTCATTTCTAAATTAAACTGTAAAGGTCTACCATTTAATGCTTTAATCCCTTTAGAGAACTGAAGAATGAAATATTTTATGGATTTCTAACCACCTAAAGACAATGATCCTTGAACTACAAGCCTTGTGGTTTATATACAATGATCTCTCACACCTTCTTGATTACTGGACATACTGTAGCCACTGTCCTCACCTTGAATTTGCTGCCATCCTCCTGGATGAAATAATAGTCTACACAACTGATCATCCTCTTGTCTTCATCCAGCACTTCAGCCTGCACAGACACAGGGCATTGCAGACACACAGAGTTAATCACAAGTCACAGCAGGTGAACAAGTAACTTGCATGCATATACACAGATCAGCATCTATGTTGCTATGTTGTATTCTTAGCCCAAATATATCCGAGGTCATTACAAAAATAAAATAATAATAATTAGAAAGTTAACGGTCTAATTAAGAGAACTTCATGAGGGATGAGGAGTTTCTAGATTGAAGTCACAAATGCCCCTATTTTGGGCATGTCTGGCACTCTGCAATAGTAACTCGCTCTATGGCCAGAGAACTTTATATTCACTTGAGCTTACACTCACTGGTAACACACAGCTAACAATATAAGAAAGGTTATATTATTATAGATGCTGCCATTCAGCCCCATACTTTAGTAGCTAATTAGAGTCCCCAAAAGCCCACATAGGTGTTTTTTGATCCCTTTGGCCACAACGCAGGTACAGCAGTTATACAATGCCTCACAGCTCCCATCTCCTACAATAAATGGCCTCAAGTCTTAAGCAAGTCTTAAACCCGGGCATACCGGGTGCATGTTGATAAGCCAGCCCGTCTTCTCCCCGGGCTCCTTCATCCTCTCGAAGCCGAAGCGAGCATCCATCTCGTCGGTAAACTGGCTGCGCTCCAGGCGCTTGAGGGCTGACAAGGAGGTGGTTTCATCCCTGCGGAGAATTGCAATAACACTATGTCTCAGGGCTACCATAGGTGACAACGCCACAGTCGGCACCTGACAGTACCAAGAACGCTCTTCAGTCACAGGCTTGAGCTCAGCTCTGATCCAAAGCATGCATGCAGCGCATAAACGTGTCGGAAAAGTCAACCAAATGATTTGCCCAACCAAGCCACTAGTGGGGATAAAAGTTTGAAGAGGACACACAAAAAACCCTGTTATACTAAACATACTACAGTGAGTTTGGAAATTCCTCTAAAAAAGGAACCGCCGTGAAACTCCATTTATGTTTAATTCTCCCACTGTGCTATTTTGCTCCCGCACAGAAGTATAAAAAAGTGAAATAATTAACTTACTGCTGATTTTCCTGGTCACCTCCTTGTCCCCGGTCTGCTTTAAACCTCCCGCTGTTTTGTAGAACCATGTCTTATTTGAAACCAATGTTTTTAATAGAACACTGTGCATGCAGCTGGGATGACAGTCACACAACACATGCACACAGTAAGAACTGGATCTTCGGCTTCTAATCTTAGAATTTAAATGCGCACCTCTGAAGATCTGAGTTTGCCAATGGGGGGGAAATCAAACTGACTGCATGCCCCCCAATGCAGCAGTTATAATTATGACTCGAGCTCAGTTATACGGTAAACAAAAAAAGATCAGCACTAACGCGATCTTAACTTCTCACAGAACAGAACTTGGCGCGCTGATTGCCATTTCTCGCGAGAGAGGACCTCAGAACCCGCGAGTTTAGTTCAATCCCCGCCCCCACGTGGAATAAACCCCGCCCCCGTAGGAGCGTCCTTAAACTTTAACCAATTAGAGTTCGGGCGTTGGTCCCCCTCCCACATGGGCATGCCACATCCTTTCACATTACCGCTTTAAAAAGGGAAGCCGTTTTTCTGCTGAAAGAAACCCGTGGCAGCCATATAATGTAATGATCTCATACAATTTTAAATATAGAAATCCACAGCTTATACTAGCAACTAACTAAATGTTGAATACTTAGCCACGTTATTCAAGATTTTGTAATGTAATGGTATTAGATGGTGTTGCTGAAAATCCAAACATGCACGAAAGGCCCAAGTGCTCATCTTTTATAATGTGTACGGTAGACGAGGCGTGTTTTATGCTGTCCGCACTGTGATGTGCAAGACTGAGCCACTCGATTTGGCTTTGCACCAGGGGGTCTTTGTAAGTGAATGTCAATAGCTTACTGGGGGTTACAATGCCGGTGGAGTCTGTGCCCATCCGAGATTCGGCTTTCTACCAGCGTCTGCTGCAGCACTACTTGAATTTATTGAAAAAGTACCCGATCCTCACCAAATCCGTCACCAGGTAAGACTCGGTGCCCCTGATTGACTAGAACACTGCTCTTCGTTTCCTGAAGTTTTCAAGCACTTGATTTCAATAGTCCTTTCTGCTGTTCTGTTTGTTTGTTTATTTGTTTGTTTGTTTGTTTGTTTTCCGTCAGTATTCGTCACTATTGCTCTTGAACCTAAACGGATCCACCACTTTAAGAGGGTGGCAAACGCTACCCGTTCTTAAATTCCCCCATGTGCACAAACCCGATGACGGTTTATGCAAAGTAAGTTAGGGATCCGTTTTTACGGTGACAGTGTATTTCCCACGTTGAGCGAACGTGACCAAATCGTTCAAAAGCAGCTGGTACTGTGAAACTGGTGACACAGTAGCCAAATCCTCTCTATCTAGTAAGCAACACGCTGTTGGTAAATGTATAGCTTTGTTGTTGTTTCAACCTACGTGTCTTTACTCAGTCAATATAATCATTTTTAAGGCAGATGCACCTCGAACTACCTACTTATGTATAGGAAGTGAGAAAAGGGAGTACCGGACGTGAGAGATACTTAGATTAAAATGAATCCGCGAGAACATCTCTAACACGAAAGTGACTTTTGGACCCTGACCCATATTCCCACCCCTATCCTCTGCCAATCTGTTAGCACTCTGCTGAGATCCTCCCCTGTTTAAAGTTAGGTGGATTTCGACGTTATCAGCAAGCCCCGCACCGTGTTCCCCTGCTGGGAAAGGTTGATCCGAGCATCTGACGCAACGCGAGGCCGTTTGTTCATTATAACGATGTAATGAGTGCCGTCCCCCCCCCCCCCCCCCAGCGGTATCCTGTCTGCGCTCGGGAACCTGCTGTCTCAAGCCCTGGAGAGGAGAGGAAGAGACAAGGCTGGCAAATCGGGGAAGGAGCTGGACCTTTTAGGACCCGCTCGCTTTGCAGTTTACGGGTATGCTGGATTAATCGGGAGTCCTCCAGTCTTTTTCACTTGGTTTCTGATTTTTCTAAAAGAATGATCAAGGCATGTGTATTGGGGGTAACGCCTAGATTTATTGCAGAATGGTATGTGTTTTTTCATTGGGCTCTCTAATTTAGGCTATTGCAGTAATTTCAGTGCATGTTAGATTAGCATGATTCAGTGAAACTCTAGCCCCGTGAGTCCAAGCATGACGGGAGTTTTACCTGTTGGTTTTCCTCCAGGCTGTGTGTCACGGGCCCTGTGAGTCACTATTTCTACCAGTTACTGGAGCTGCTCCTGCCCACCTCCATACCGTACTGCATGCTGAAGAGACTGCTCCTGGATCGCCTCGTCTTTTCTCCTGCCTTCCTCCTGCTCTTCTTCCTCGTCATGAACATGTTAGAGGTCAGCCTGCGTCCCAGGGGGCTGGAGATTCTGTCCTTCAGTTCCGTTTATTTGGAATGTGCATTTCATTGTGCACTAGTGCGAGGAAATGCTTATTTGCATTTGCATTTGCATTTGCTCCAATACAAAAGACAATAAAGGAATCATCAAAAACATAAACACAGTAGCACAGTAGAACAGTAGCAGCAACAACAAGTTAAATGACATACAGCCTAAAAAAACTCAGACAAGCAGTGTGAGAAAAACCCATCAATGTGAGCCAGTGGTAGGAGTGGAGTTCAGTAATCTGACAGCTTGTGGGAAGAAACTGTCTCTGAGTCTGGAAGGTTGTGCCTTTATGCTCCTATAATGCTTACCAGAGGGAAAGGGGGAGAAAAATGAGAAACCAGGATGACTGGTATCCTTAACAATACTTCCAGCCTTCCTGAGACAGCGAGTTGTAAAAATGTCCACAATAGAGTGGAGCTGTAATCCAGCAGCGGACTGGGCTGACCTGATCACCCCCTGTAACACCTTCCAGTCATACAGCGAGCTGCTGCCAAACCCCACTGTATTACCACACATGAGCACACTCTCAATATGCTCACCTGTGAAAAGTGGTAAGGACAGTTGAAGATAGACCACATGTTTTCAACTGTCTGAGGAAGCAAAGGCGCTGTTGTGCCTTCTTTGTAGCTCCAGTTGCATGCTGGGACCACATTAAATCATTAGTGATGAAGGTACCCTGGAACTTGAAGCTTCTAACTGTCTCTACAGCCACACCATGGATGTGAATAGGGGTGGGATCCCCACCCTGCTTTCTAAAATCGATGACCAGCTCTTTGGCTTTGCCTACGTTGAGGGAGAGATTTCTTTTTTTTTTCCTTTTGGAGAATCATGCCATAGAGCTCCCATGGTACATGTCTGGCACAGGACAAAATGTCTGCCTGAGCATGATTTCCCACACAGATAGTCATAAGTAATTGGACTGTTGTGATCTGAAGCCCCACTTTATTTTGCCTTTGAAGGGTAAGAATTGGTCAGCGTTCCAGGAGAAACTGAGAACAGGGTACTGGTCGGCGCTTAAGATGAACTGGAAAGTGTGGACCCCCTTTCAGTTTGTCAACATCAACTATGTTCCTGTGCAGGTGAGTCCTAGATGTAGGCACTTGGACTTAACGGATTGAATTTGTCTTCGAATAAATGGTGTCCTGGACATTAATAGCTTGATTTTCTTTGTTGTTGTTTTTTTTTTCCAGTTTCGGGTGCTCTTTGCCAACCTTGTGGCTTTGTTTTGGTATGCCTACCTCGCTTCAGTGCGGAAATGAGGCCAGTAAGGTCATCAGCTAATTGGATTGGATGAAGAGTGTGGTGATTATACACAGTGTGTCTTTAACCACAGGCCTTGCAGGGTGTAGTAACACTAACATACACACTGGGACACAGACCAGGACAGTGGCCCTCTGATTGAATCCTGCTGCGTGTACTATCTGTGGATTAAATTGAAAGGTGGGAGAGGGATGCGATCTGCAAATGGGAAAAGAGCAAATAATTGGTTAGGAGGATTGACAACTGGGAGAACACTTTAGTGAACTGCTTTCGAAATCTGAATTTGGTTCCACGTTGACTGAAAGTGTATAATTTATCATTTAAACGGACAGAGACTGACTTTAAAAATGTGACTTCACTCATCATTCGCCTTTGAGGGCCTTATGTCGTCCACTGGCCAGCTTGTAAAACTTATTTCTTCTGAGAAAGGTCATAGTTAACATGTAATTTAAATAAAGATGAACATATTTGTTTAACCACTACTTAATCTCTATTTTAACCTGAAAAATATCAGCAATGATGCTTAAGGTTTTTGTATTTCAGTCATTTGTGTGTATAGGCAAATCTTGAGTGTTATTTGGACCTGGATAGTGACAGTTTATGTGAAATAACCAGTTTAGTCAGATATTTTGAATTTCACAGATGTCTGAAGCATTAAAAAAAATTAAGATATAAACCTAACTGTTCTCTTATCACATTTGCTTTTATTATGTCTCCAAATGTACATTATTTCTAATGGAAAATGTTTTTTACTTCAAACATTACAAATAAAAAGACTTATTTTCCTTGTGGTTAGGTTCAAAAGCTTTATTTGTATACCATCCTGATTATGTTCTGTAACACTTTGGAAACATTACTTTATGCTAGAGTTGAAAAGAAAATACTAGACATTTGAGTAAACCTTTACTCTATCCTGTTAGACTATTACATTTTCCACATTGTATTGTTACTTTGTTGTATGATAAGTGTGATTCTTCCAATAATTTTAATCTTAAAATAAATTGTACTTGTCGGTGTAGGAAAGGACAACATCCTGTTTAATGACGAGACAGAAAGAGAGCATCATGTTTTATTCCTTCTCCTAACAACAGAGGGCAGTGTTTATGCATAAATCAGCAGACAGATTAGCATTATGCATAGACTCCTCTTCAAATTGACAGTGTGTAATTCAGGATTAGTAAGAATTAGACTCCATGTGTACAGCACAATTCCCACTTGCGTAATATCGCTGTCTTGCAGTACAGGGGCTCTGGGTTCAATTCCTGGGGTGCTGTTTGTGTGTTCTTCCGTGTTCGTCCGGGTTTCCTTTGGGTGCTCCAGATTCCTCCCACAGTCCAAAAACCTCCCTCCCGTCTAAAAATGTTTTCCTTAAACTTCTTCAACATTTCATCTTGGGAGATCGTATGTGTGTGTCCGACTCTGAACATTAATGGAATAGAGAGGGATGCTTTTTTATGCACAATCAGCGTATCTCCGGGTTTTAGACCATAAGCGTCCACATGGACAGTGCCTTGTAGTCCTGTCCGGGGCCAGTTCTGGCCCTGCTGCTGCTTCAGATGCTCCTAGCTTGCACATTTCAGCAGTGCTCTACACACTCAACTTTCAGAAAAAGCGCGATCATCGCGACCAGGCAGATTTAATGCTGCAGAGCTGTGAAGGGCGATACACAGTGGAGTGTGATAGTTAGCGCTGCTGCCTCACAGCTCCTGGGTCCTACTCTGAGTTCTGCAGGGGGCGCCTTCTGGGTGGTGCTTGGTGTTGTACATTCTGGCGCCGCCAATGTTTAATGAACGAGTGCCCAGAGCCGAGTAGTACACAGCGATAGAGGAATACCACCCCGTGCCGTCCTCAAAAGTAACGGGTTCTGTACAGCGAATCCAGAATAAGAGATGAGATCACTTTATTAGCCATATACAATTTCTTGCCTTAGGAATTTGTCTTTTCCGCATACCCCGGCTTGCTCTCCACGAGAGACAGACACACAGACAGAGAGAAGCTTGGGGTCAGAGCGCAGGGTCAGCTATTGTACGGCGCCCCTGGAGCAGTTGGGGTTAAGGGCCTTGCTCAGGGGCCCAACGGAGTATGTCTGGATTAAAATTTGCAAAACCATGACGGAGTGGGAAGGGTCCGAGACCCAGACACGACACCGAATCCAGAGGTGGTGGATTCAACACCATCTTATTGCAAAGCAATTTACTGGGACTATGAAACCTCAAATCGGTGTTCGCACGGATAATAGTGTGCAAACACAATAATAAATATTCATTTTAGTCCCGGAATTATGCAATCATAAGAAAATAATATACATTTGAGTCTCAGAATTATAAAGAAATGAAATGTCTTTGAAATGGCAAAAATGACCGTTTTTAAAATCTTCATCTGAAAATATATTTTTTCTTACTGCAGCTGTGATCGAATACTTGCTTATAAATTTTAGCAAACAAACAAAAAAAGAAACCATACAAGAGTTACTCGTTTAGTTCTTTGTGAAATGTAGTAGTCGATGTAGAAGCAGCACCGGGCGGCGGTCTGTTCTGCCCTGCGACAGCATCAGCTGGTATCTACGAAACCGCTAGCAAGCTTCTCTACAGGAAGTCTCGTCCTGCCCACTACCTCCACGTCACGTCGCGCTAGAAAAGCAAAGTTTCGATTTCTGAGCTCGGAAGACATTCAGTTTCCTTTTCCCTGTCTTTTTCACTTGAAATTGCCACACCCGCTAAGTGCGGCGTATCACAAAGACAACGTTTCTATAGCCTGTTTCTATAGCCTGTTTAATACGTTGTGCTCCGCTGGTCGCTGGTGTCTTGCCCCGATTAGCGTATCGGTAAGGAACATTTATCCAGGTTCCGCAGAAGAGCTAAGTCGTCCCACCACCATAGGTGTTTCACAAACGGATTTACTAATGAATCTGAACATTTTCTAAGGAGGCATTTTTAGCACTGCAAACGATGAGGCGCGCTTATTAAATTAGAAGCGGGTTGCACAGTACGATGACTCATCACGCTGCTGGAGTTTCAGTGCTTGATTCTATGTTGTCCCGATCTATCTAATCGCATACAAAGCGGAAGTGAGCTTATGCAATGCTGAGCAATCTGCTACTAGTTTTTCAAATAGGTTATAAACCAATTTGATGATGCTTTCCCATTGTTCTTCTTAATAAAATATCCTCAGAATATATCACTTTTCCTGATCCCTTGGAAGAAACAGTTAAAAAAGCAAACTTTTTAATCTTTGGCTGATGAAGACTGACATTAAAAATGCACCTTCTTATTTAAATGTGTTTGTTCACCTTCAATCAGACTTACAGCATATAGTACACTGGATACATGACCTTAAAGATTAATAAGAGTTCAGCACAGTTTATGTGCTTGTGACCATATTACAATGAGCATTTTTCTTTAATCATACTTTACCATTGATAACATTTACGGTTTTCATGTTTTGGCCTAAATGTAGGTTGATAGATCTTATCTGTATGTCCTTTTACGTGACACTTAAATAGCACCTAAATTGTCTGTTAAACCACTTCCCAACAAGCTATTGTTTAACTTCAGACTCAATAAATAAGATGTACTTCCATCTTTCAAGTTAGTGTTCTTAGTCCTGGTTTGAAGGAAAATGTAAAATCATGCGTGTAAAACACACACAGCATTGGGAACCCCGGTTAATAGTCTGAGCTCTCAGAAATAATCTTTTATATTAAATTTTTGAAGATTAAAAGAAATTCTAGAAACTCTTTTCTAATCAACCTTTCATAAAAGTGTTGATCCTGGTGCACTGTACTGACACATTGACTTATTATGTGAATTATATCTTTTTTTATTCCTGGAGCATTGTCTCTTTGACACTTACTAGTAAAATGATTAGCAAATACAAATAGGATTTTAGTGCCTCATAATGCAGAACATGGCATTAAAATTATTTATGTTATTTATGTTGAAGCATGTTATGACTTCTGCTATTTATTTTTATGAGTTAATTTTAATTAGAAGAATAACGAAATCCAGCATAATTAAAAATGGTTTATCCACCTTCATGTGCTGGGTAATTACAATCTTTCATGAATAAGCCCTGATAATGCAGAAAATACAGAAGGCAAGGACACAGACATTGACTTCCATGGATTTTTATCCATATACTATATTTTATTTAAAATATAAGCAATATACAAGCATTAATCTTTAACACAGTAAAAGCAAAAGTATAGAGAGCAGATGCCAACAGATTAGTTGTCAGTCTTTAAAAACATGTGCCCTATAACACTAAAACTCTCCAGGACCAGAACTAGTGAACCCCGGTTTAAACTGATAAACAGACTTCTATTCTTGTTCGTACATTAATACAGCCACGGGAAACCAAATGAAAAAATAATAATTTACACCATAGAATTGTGAATACAAATAAAAAAATAAGACTTTTTTTTATAAGTTTACTATAAATACGGTATTAAGACAAACGTCATATACTATTTTTTCATGGATTTTAAACCGGAGGAGCCGTCATCAAGAAATGGCTCCCAATTAGCACCCCCGCTTCAATGAAAAATACAAACAGAAGTCTATTTTTCGCTCAGGAATGGTACTATTAATACGTTAAACATCGAGAGAAGTCTTTATAGTGGGAAACAAACAAGCTCGTCTATAACAATTAACCGCCTCTCAGACGAAGGTCTAAAAATATAGTGGACTCTGGCTTGATCTTGTAATACTCCAGGGTCTTGCCATCTTCCATCTGTATGCCTCCAAAGATGAGCCTTTGTTGGTCTACAGGAACTCTCTCCACCTCGTGAACTTTGGATTTAAACTTTTTCACGGTCATATCAGGGGTTACGTCGTAGGTGTGCGTCTGACCCCTGTCGTTCCTCAGGAAGATCTGGAAGGGTCGTTGCTCGGCGATGACGAGAACCGCGACGACGTCTCCGGATCTCAGTCCATATGCACTCAGGGTCTTCGTGTCGTCGTCGAGATCTCTTCTGCTCCCGTTCTGCACGACCAATCGCTGGTTACTGTGCAGCGCGTTCGCCTTGTGGGCGATCACCCTCTTCAGCTCACCAACGGTGACGCCCGGATTTACAGACAGGGTAAAAGTCGTTCCTTCCATGAATTTGATTGTCAGCTCCATTGCAAGCAGATGTGTTGAGCCGCTGCTAAGAAAATCAACAGAAAGATCAGTCCTGCCTTCCTTTCCGGAGAACAGCGAACTCAGAAGGTCTAATGAATGAACTAATAAAACGTGCAAGTGGTCAGACTGAAGTCCTTATAAACGGTGCAGAATTCAGAGCTACTTGAATTCCATCATCTCCGTCCTGTCGCAAGCTCAACTAATTAGCAGTAATTCATAAGTACTTTTGAAGTAATTGCTCTACAAGACGTAGATAATAACGCAGTTATTGAACAGAAGCTATTTTGGTAAAAAAAATAAGTATTTGTGTAGTATTGATATTTTACTATTAAAATTTACAGGCTGGAAACAGTTGATCTGAACTAGAATAGCACAAGTTTCATTGTAACTGTTATTCAATTTTTTTAAGACGTTAAATCTCACGATAAATGCACGACACAAATTCTCCTTACTTCACAGACTTTACAGACTGTTCTTCAATGAATAAGTGCATTAAACCTTTAATTGTCTATTTGTTTTGTTTCATTTAGAATTTCATAAAGAATTAAAAATGAAATACCAAACAGTAGCAAAAAGTAATCAATAAGTTACCAAGTGATGAAGAAAAACATACCTTTATCTCAAATAAAGTCGTAGCGCACAGAATAAAATTCGATCGGCTGCCAAAGGTTGTCTTTTGCCGCAAACGTCTTTTCAGGTGCTCGGTCTCTACCTCGAATGGTACAGTACTGTGGCTCCACAGCTGTTTATAAAAGCTGTTTTACAGTGAAGTCCTGCCCCCTTCTCTACGTCACTCAGCATATGATCGCCAACTTTCGTTTTCCATCTTCAAAAGGTTTCGTTTTCCATTTTTCTTGGCTTAATCGTCTGAGACTGCGACAGCGATCGAACTCTGGAATGAAATACATAACAAAAACAAGTCTGATTGTTTTGCTGGTTGTGCTGGTTGTTTCTAACACGAAAAAAATAAACTAGGTTATGTATAGTTGAACGAGTCGGCAATAAGCGCTTAATAATGAAATTTCCTACTATACGGAAGCATTTTCTCAACCGGTGTTTATAAAACACCAATCCAAAACTGTATCTGCATTTAAACTAGACACTGTTGATGATTTTTAGGTTGAAATACAAAAAATAATTGCTTGCCTAGCTTAACAGCACATTGCTTTGGAGATATAAGTAGACAGTATGAAGTATGAAACACTGTAATTGTTTATATTAATTAAGCCGTTTATGAGCAAATGTAATCACATGTAACCTCCCTGTACTGCGTCATTGTCCATGCCACCATGCTGAAGGTCAGATTCTAGGCTGGTTTACAACTTCATAATGGTCCCAGACAAAAGACTCCAGCCTCAAAACAGCAATTGATCGACATTCAGATATCATCCCAGGTCCAGACTCTAACCTAGGGCCCCAGATACTTTTAACCTTAACTCCTGAGAATTATTTTTTGCCACTGTTATCAATAACAGATTGCATTCAACTTTTTTCTTCTGAATAAATAAGCACTAGTTAGTACTAGTTATCTAGAAACATCTATTGGTGAATTGTCTGTTATTTACTTTACTGTGTATATGTCAAAATATGTAATTTACCATGTTTATGAAATGTCATGACTATTCCTTTCTACAAAACATTTTCATTATTGTAGATTAAACCATTTTCTAAAATATTCACCCTGAACTCGCCCACGAACCTAGCGCTGTTCACACTTAAGGGAGACCTATGAGAATCCTAGTACTTACTGTATGTTAATGCAAAGAGTCTGACTTTGATCACCACATTCACGGGTATAAAATATCTGTGAACTTGATATCTTAAAATTTTCAGCTTTATGATTTTCTACTGATTTTTCTCCCAACACTATGTACCGTTTTTATCTTTGTTCAGGCACTTTAGGATAATGTTGTTGTTGTTGTTGTTGTTGTGAAAAGCACAAAACAAAATGGATAATCATGCCAAGCATGGAAGTGAATTCAGTGCTGGATTTGACAAAACACCTTTCGTATAAAACAGTAGCAATGGAATGCCAGTGCTGTTACACACACCGAATGCCTAATGTCAATAAAACATTCTATGACCAGTTCCTCAAACAAGGGAGAAGAACAGAAAATGAAACTGATTTTATCGGCTTGAGTTAATGTGTACACTGTCATCAGGACGCTGCAGAGTTTGAAAGGTCAAGACACAGCATTGCAATTCCTGTAATCCTGCAAGACATGATATACAGAACTGTTTACAACTGTTTAAAAAGCCTTTTCTGTATATTTCCTTTGTGTCTTATTTAATTGCTTTCTTTATGCTGAATCCAGCCTCTTTTCAATATCTGGCTCTAGAATCTAAAAATAAGACTTAGCGGATATTTAAAGATTGGTATTATTGCCCTAATTATAGACACATAATCTAACAGGTCTCTCTGAGAAGATGGACAGGCTAATTAAGCATTTTATGAAGCATTTCCTCCTAAAGTGCCAATATTTTACTTGTGGAAATACACCTGGAAATACTTTCTGGAAGAGATTTTTTAAAACCAGAGCTGCTGTAGTTTTCTACATAATAGACAGAATGAATACAAATCTAAATGTAAAATATATGTGAATTGATTAAATCCTTATCTGATGCATTTTCTGCTTGATCTTCAAAATCTCAGCACTGCTGATAAACTCGTGCCCCAATTAGCTCGATTCAGAATTAATTTATTCACAATATTACCATTAACATCCCCATGTAATTGTTCAATATTTCTGAAAAGGGGTTAGCAGATAGCTCATGTGTGGTCACATTCTATACACCCATTTTAAAATTAATAATTAATTAAATAATAATTAATAAACTAATAATTTAGTCTGTTTATTGTGCAGTACAAACACACGTGATCCTTAACCCAATCCATAAAATGCTCTATACGTGCACATCAGACCACAGTCATGCAAGACATGCCAGATTATTGAGGTGAGCTGGTTTGGGAAAACCCCAGTACATACTATCCAATGTGAAGACTACAGATTATTTTTTTTTAGTGTTTGACAACACTTCACGGGAAATGCATTATTGTAGTCGTCATTATATTCTTCAGTTTCTATTTCTCCGATAGGGGATTGCCTAGGATCTGTGAAGTTCGTCGTGAAATGCCTCTTTGCCTTTAACCTGTTTTCCAGGTGATTGAGCGGCCCTTACTGAGAAAGAGCGCCACGCCATGGCCCGTTAAGTAAGCGCTCGATTTATAGCATCCAGATGTCTACACAGCACTGCTCTATAACGAATCTTAATCAAATCCATCGTCAAATTAATCCAGCAGCCCTGTTTCCAGTTCTCCTGGCAGTTTTCTCCCTGCTTGTGGAATAAATCTGCGCAAGTTGTTCATTCTAATACTGCAGTAACTTTTGTAGCACAACTACTGCCGCATTCATGTTCCTTTTGATATAAGAATCGTTCAAAACACTTTTACAACAAATATTTTAATGCAGATCTAGGCCGAGGAGAAGGATCGGGGAGAATACTGGTTTATTATTTTAAGGGATATTCCCAAATCAGAATTACCCTTGGGTGGCGCTTTGACGGCTGAAAGTTGCACGAACCCTCCGGTCCCGCCTGTTTCGGTGAATTCCACATGACGTCACCGCTACTTTAAAAATGCACCATCCCAGCTGGCTGCTGCACAACACGGAGGTCAACTTCGGAAAAGCAGCGTGAGCACCGAGACTTTCACACAGTTCACAGACTGGTAATTTGAAATTATTTTCACTGAATAAGGACAATGTCTATGTGAAGTATCTTAGAGAACAGCACTGCCAAACATATAAAATGCATGCCTATTTCATGATTTCTTAGGCTTCTTGTATATGAAGTGAAATGTTGTCATGTTACTACTTCTTTGTTACACAGCAGATATGTAATTGTGAAATGGCTCAGACTGACACAGACGAGTCGGAGAACAGATTGGGAAGAGATAAAAGTATATATAAAGGAGCTGTATCCACTGCTCTATTAACATTCTCTCGTTTTAAAGGCACAAGAAAACGTTTTCTTTTAATATGACCTTCTGCTCTTGCCTGAACGTGCTACTACTGATTGTTTCTTGTTCAGAAAACGCATTGTAGAGAAAGGATGCAGATCACAGTGAAGCTCATGACGGGAAAGGAGTGCTCCGTTGATCTGGAGCCCAGCGCCACCGTGACTGAGCTGAAGCAGGAGGTCAAACGACTGGCCGGGATCCCCGAAACATCCCAGAAGCTCGGGTTGAACGGAGGTGGGCACATCACGGTGCTGGAGGACCACAGGACGCTGAGCGACTACGATCTGTCGCCTGCGAGGTCCGTGGTGATGCTGGTCACCGAACCCAAACCAACACCCAGCGAGATCTTTCTGAGCACGCACAAGGGACAGACGCGGACCTACACCTTCCACCCAGACGAGGCGGTGTCGGATTTCTGTGACAGAGTAACTCGCCAGGAAGGTGTGCCCAGGAGCCAGCAGCGCTTGATCTATAATGGGAGACAGCTCGACGAAAACAAACGAATGAGTGATTACGGCATAACACCTCAGAGCACCGTCCACCAGACTCTGCGACTGCGAGGAGGCGGCTGGGCTTGGCCTCCAACCCACTGAGAGACGTCGTGGTTGAAAAGTGGCGCTGTCTTTAAAAATCTTACTCACAGATGACTAGTTTCTTGTTGTCTTTTTATCTTAGAATTCGTTTTTCCTTCTTCTAAAAGTCATGAACATGTTTGAGTTGTTATTTAAAACAACCAGCATTTTGGGGTTCTGTGATAGGAAACGCATGTTCAGTGTTATTAATCATAAAATAATCATCCACCTTCGTCTTAATTCTGAGTATGTGCAATAATATGTTCGAAGGTGTAAACCGATGCGGCGTATGACTACTGCACGGAAAAAATATGTTTTATTTATGCGCTTAAAATTTTATTATAAATAAGACAAACTGACTAGCTACGTCCTCGACATTCAAGGGTCTGCGTATTTATTAATGCACATCTGCAGATCGTTAGTTTTAAAAAGCTCTGGTGCCATCTATTGGTTCATTCTATCATCAGCAAAACTTTGTTACCGTAATATGTCCACTGAGCTTTGTTTTTGTAATTGGAAAATGTATGTATACTTCACGGTGTATAATAAATGTAGAATACTGCTTATTCCTGCGTCTGAAAATGATTTTCATCTCGTCAAGAATTCCATACTTAATAGGATGACCGTCGCAGCTCCTGAATATGCCCGCAAAACAGGTGTCGCTCAGTTTGCGGATTTGGCGCCCCCTGTTGGTGAAATGTTGGAATAGCGCTGTACCGCCGTGTCCGCCGTCAGGATGGGCAACCTTTTACCCATTTTTGCACATAGCTGACATTCGATAATCTAATCAATATAAACGATCAATAAACAATAATCAGTGGTCAGCTAGGCAAGTACCTAATGATTGATTCAAATGTGATTGTTTTTTCACGTTATACATTATTATTTATATAATATCGGGAAACAAATAAATTCCATAACAGGATACTCCCCTAAAAATGTACACCAAATTCTGAAAATAAAAATCTCTGAATATTATTTCTTGAAAATACACAAATATTAAATTTTGATTACGTTTAAGCCAATGGCATCGTGAAAAGTAGTTTGTCCCAGGCTGTAAAAACACTAGCACGTCAGTTTGCCTAGGACTATGGCCAGCCTGTCTTGTAACAAGAACACCAGCTACGGAAAGTACCCTCTCACATAATAATAATAATAATTAATCATTCCTTACACTTCTATAGCGCTGTTCTGGACACTTTACAGGTAATGGGGACTCTCCTTCACCACCATCAATGTGCAGCCCCACCTGGATGATGTGACGGCAGCCAGAGTTCGCCAGTATGCCCCCCACACACCAGCTATGAGTGACGAAGCCAGATGGGGATTATTAGGAGGCCATGACTGGTAAAGGGCAGATGGAAATTTGACCAGGATGCAGCAGTTACACCCCTACTCTTTTCAAGAAATTCCCTGGGATTTTTAATGACCACCGAGAGTCAGGACCTCAGCTTGAAGTCTCATCCAAAGGACAGCGCCTTTTTACAGTAGAGTGTCTCCTTCACTGTAGTGGCACATTAGGACCCACACAGACTGCAGGGTCTATCTAAACCTCCTAATATGTCGATAAAATGCCCAGATTAAGTGTACGTGTAGCTACAAACTATGTTCGTAATATTTTTTGCATTGTTGTTCATAGAGATTACGTAAGCGTTAAAATATTTCTATTTTTGAACGGACAAGATAGGTCACCACGGTTTCCTGTACTCTTACAAAAGTGCACTGCTTCCTTCTACAGCATGCTCCGCTTGCAGCGCTACAGACGGTACCGTGAACCTCACTAAAGACTTGTTAGAGCGGTAGACCACCTGTTCCCGAACATCCCCTCTATGCGCTGGCCTCCGGGAGGACAGGTGAACAGAGATCGGGAAGCGTGCGGGCGCCCAGCGCAAACCAGCTGGCGCGCAGTGACGTCACCGCGCCGCAGCCGAGCACGTCCGAGTGACGACGGGGCGGTGCTGTCGCGAGCCGTCCGGAGGGCGGTGCCCGTTGCGCTTGCGTGACCTTTAGGAGGCGGGCTCGCGGGGCTCCGAAGGCGGCCAGGCTAGTACTTCCTGCTCCGGGGGGAAGCGAGAGGCAACCCGAGCCGAGACGGGCTTCTGAGATACACAGACACATACACATCGGAGAGACGCGGGTACGTGGTAAGGTTTTTCTGCCCCAGAAATGAAAAAAAAAAATCCTTTATTACAGAGGAGCTGGGGAGGCCGAGGGAGCCGCCGTCGATCGCGAAGCGGGTAGTACGTGGAGTTCAGAGGCGGGAGGACGGCGGGATTGGTCTCAACAAAGGGATTTAGCCAACTAGCTTGCCGACTCGGTGCGAAACCAGGCAGGCGGATATTTTCCTTTTTGAAAGAAAAGCTGGTCTTCAGTTTTTTTTTTTGGCTGGGTTGCTGGGGGGGGAGGGGGTCGAGGAAGCCGAAATGAGCGGTGTCGATCACAAAACAGGGTCCAGGTGGGGGCTATTCGGGGGAAATTGGACCGGAGATGCGCGGTGTTTTTTTTTTCCGGGAGCATGCGATCTCCGCCGCGGGGTTCTGGCGTGTAGCAGCCCCGGAACTGGAGGCAGAGAGAAGACGCTGTTAATTGGAGGCCGGGTATCACACGGACTGGAACACCATTTTTAAAATTATCCTAGCAATCCCCCCACTGACCTGTTTGAGTCAATTTCCCTGCAGTACCCGGATTGCTGCATGCATCACATTAGTATATTCAATTTGCAAACTTAGCGCTGTCCTTTTAACACACGTATGGGTGTAGCAGGTTTGAATTGGCAGGCTAAAACTGGGTGTGTTGAATCGGAGAAGCTGTACTTTACCGCGGAATGAAATGTTACACTAGACCCCATGAAGCCCCAGTTTAATCTAGTTGTAATAATAATACGGTACAACACTACCGAAGCTGTTTCTCTGTGTTGTTATCGATGAGCGACTTGATATGAATGGAAGTAAGGAAAACCTGTAGGGAATCTAGATGCGAAATATGAACAAAATACGTTGATCGACACTTGTGGGTTCATTTTATAAGTTACAATAAGCGGAATTATAAAATTAAACCTTCTCGATATGCAAATTTCACTTAATGGCAAGTAATATACGGATTTCCCTACATGTGCTCACAGTTGCATTCTGGGTAAATGCTAATGCACAAAGTGTTTGTTTTCCTGGAAAACTGCTGTCAACATCTGATAGGTTTTTTTTTTCTTATTCCTTGAGTGGAATGATGGGACACCACTTTCACACCCAAAGGGTGCCGGAGCCTTTTCAATAAAAAGCTTACAGCACTCTGTTTGGAATAAGAGGGGGAAATGTGTTTTTTTTTAAATACCTCACAGCTGGGGTTACTGTGCCTTTATCTGTGGAACTGCATTTCATATTGTTTCACGTGCACAGAAAAGAACATATTCATGGACACACTCCCCTCTACAGAAGTAAGAACAGACTGTGTGGCCCATTTCAGCTAGTCACTTTTGTATGCACAAAAATGGGGGTATCTGACCCAGGTCCCGCACAGTCCACGGTCCTGCATATGTAACAGGTTGCCTGTAAGACCTATTATCAGCTTTTGTAATGATCAAAATTCCTCTGTGCCTCTACACTTGATCAGTGTAGTAAGTAGGTTGGTTCCATTGAATCACTATTTTGCCACATGTAGGCCTTGAGAGGTTTCCTGTGGTGGGGTCTTCAATTTCAGATTCTCACTGAACCGCCAAATTGAAGAGATCACATCTATCAGTGGCCAAAACAGCGCTCTTCCAAATGATTTTAAGACCAACTCTGGACTCATAAACCTTCTTGGACTGTGGCTAAACAGGACCACCCCTGGACTGAGCTTCGGATTAAAATGGCTCTACGGAGTAGCTCATCTGTCCCATGCATTGACAGTTCTGTCTGTATTTGGACGGGGTCTCTTGTATTAATGAAAGTGGCTTTTGCAGTTGTCTGCATGCTCTTTTCAGTGACCTTTGATTTGAAGTAACAGCTGTGAGGACCTTTATTCAGTCCCATGAGTGTTTAGAACCTGTTCCATCGGAGCGCTTCCCCGGCTGTTGGTCTCTCGGTGAGCGGCTCCGTGCGCTGGGGCCGGTTTCGATTGTTCCCTCTCCTTTCTGTGGTGCCAGGGCTGGTCCCAGGAGAGCCATGGCGGATGGAAGGATCTATGTGGGGAACCTTCCGATCGATGTGCAGGAGCGAGACATTGAGGATCTGTTCTTCAAGTATGGGAAGATTCGAGACATTGAGCTGAAGAACAACAGGGGCACCATCCCCTTTGCTTTTGTCCGTTTTGAGGACCCACGGTAAGCCGGAAGACCCTTTCCAGGGAATAGGACCCCATGTGGCTCGCTTCTTCAAGAGCAGAAGAACATGCGATTGAGGGAACTGTTTTAGTTATCGATCAGATCGGAATTCATCCCTTAGAAAGCCGCACAACTGACTTCGCTGATGTGGTTTCTGCTGAACTGTCAGATGAGCACCACAGGCGATTTTGATAAAACTCATAAATTTGACAATTTGTATCCACAAACAAAAGGCTTTGCAACCAAGTTTGCAGAGTGACCAGGCTTATTGCCTTACATTTGCAAGAAACAAATGTAGGAGGATGGTCTAGGGTAGGTCTAGTTTAAAAGGTACTTTCTGACAGTGTGGAGCTGTGAGGTGTCATTGGTCTATACTTTTCAGCAGGAGGGGAACTGATTGTCTGCTTTCATCTTTAGGGACGCGGAGGATGCAGTGTATGGGAGGAATGGCTACGGGTTTGGGGACTGTAAGCTGCGTGTGGAGTACCCTCGCTCTTCCGCCTCTAAGTTCACCGGTCCAATGGGAGGGGGCCCCAGGGGCAGGTTCGGCCCCCCAACTCGGAGATCGGAGTTCAGAGTCATTGTGACTGGTGAGTGAAAATGTGCATCTTGATTTGGAAGATCCACCGGTGTTTTTTTTTCCCCTTCCCTTTTCAGTTTTGAAAGTGCTGAGTTCCGCTGCTTGAGCGGTGCCAAGGTTTTTGACAAACGACATACCTTGTAAAGGGTGCCAGCAGCCATATCACCCTGTAACTCACAGCTGGCAGCCCACTGAAGCTCAGCGGGAATGAGCCTGGCCTTTACCAGTCATTACCTCCTAATAATCCCCGTCTATGAACTGGCTTCATCACTCTGTTCTCCTCCCCACTGAGAGCTGGTGTGTGGGGAGCGTACTGGCGCACTATGGCTGCCATCGTATCATCCAGGTGGGGCTGTACACTGGTGGTGGTGGAGGGGATCCCCATGACCTGTAAAGCGTTTTGAGTGGAGTGTCCAGAAAAGCGCTATAGAAGTGTAAACAATTAGTTGAGCAAGACCTGTGAATCCATCCTCCTCTTGCCTTTTCAAGGGCTGCCTCCCACGGGGAGCTGGCAGGACCTGAAGGACCACATGCGGGAAGCAGGGGACGTGTGCTTTGCGGACGTGCAGCGGGACGGGGAAGGAGTGGTGGAGTTCCTCCGAAGAGAGGACATGGAGTACGCCCTGCGCCGACTGGACAGGACTGAGTTTCGATCGCACCAGGTAGCTCCTCGGATTTCACGGCCAGGCGGTCTGTCGCCGTGGTTTGAACCGGTATTTCTCCACGTGGGGCTATGGCGTTCCCATTTCAAATGATCACTGAGCGGCCGAGTTGAAAAAATTGCTTGTTACAGGGGCCAAAACTATTCTCAAAATAACTTTTCTGTGACTCATAAAACTCACATTTTTAGTCTGTGGCTCTCTGGGACTCGTCCTGCCCTGAGCAGGAGCAGTTTTTAGGGTTATGCTATTCCCAGTCTACAGTGTTTTGGCAGTAGTACACTAATTTGAAAGCTTCATTCATTTATACCTTTTTACTGTGATCTAATAAAGTTCTGTAGAACCAGAGATGGAAGTATTTTGTAAGTATTGTCATTTTCGCATAATTCAGTTAAAATGTTTGACAAGCTTTTTATGAAAAACTTCAAAATGTATTTTAAAGGTTAATTGAGTTGGAGGAACATCAAGGAACAATTGGATCGGTTCCGATTTAGGCTTGTATAACATTCGTGTTTTTAAATGGGCTATTAATGACGAACCATTGTCGTTTTTTTTTTACCTACCTGTTCCCGGTCTTTGCTGCAGGGGGAGACGGCATACATCCGTGTCCACGAGGAGCGAGGTTCAAGCTGGGGTCGCTCGCGGTCTCGCTCCAGGTCCCGAGGACGGTACTCGCCTTACCAAAGCCGGGGGTCCCCCCCTCGGTACCAGTCCCCCCCACCGCATCGCCACTCTCTGTCTCGCCATAGTCCGCCGCCCCGGCGTCTCCCCATACAGCATCACAGCCCCCCTCCCCGCCACTACCGGTAAACGCAACGGCAGGCGAAGGGTGTCCGTGGCTGGAGGTTTCTTTTTTGGGTCTTTTTTTTGATTTATCGTTTTAATTCCCCCCCCCCTCCCCTCCCCTCCCCCAGTCATTAATTTACATTCCACTATCGGGACTGTCCCCAAAGGTCTTCGGCTGTGGAAGCTCGCTAGAGAAATGCGCTGATGGCAGGAATGAACTCCAGTTTCCACTGTTCCGTTCTGAAAGGGAGGATTTCTGTAGTGTGTGTGTGTGTGTCTTCACGCAGATGTTTGTGAGATGGTACATCTAGATTAGGCTGAAGCTACTTGTCAGTCAGTTTAGGCCAGCTTTATGAATATAGTATTAATCATGTGGGTAAAAGCCTTTCTACGGATTCTTATACATGTGCTTAATATGAATTGGAACCACGGGGATTCTCCCTAACCCTGAATGTGCTGGCGTAAAACTGTGAAAGTCTGTTGTCGAAGAGCCCTTTTAGGACAGTCCTGCCTTCTGGATGGTCAACTTTTAGGCTTCTGTTTGTAGACACTGAAGTTTTTTTTGTTTTACTTTTTATGTTAAGTATGAAAGCAAGGCATTTTTAACTTTTTTCTCCAAATGTCATTTCTTTGTACTTAATCTCAGTGGCTGTGTATACAAGCAGATTTTCAATTTTGTTTTTCAATTAATAAATGGAATATAAAATTGCTCTTTAATACAAGTGTGTTCAAAGAATCAAAATACAGCTTGTAGTACATGTACATGTAGAAAATGATTTTAAGGAAAAGGCAAGTTCATTTTTTTTATTAAACAAAACCACCATACTTAATATACCCTCTCAGTTTCAGAAGTAGAAGATTTTGATATTCAACAGCATGGAATTGGATTTTTTTTTAATAGTTTGAAACCTGTCAACTTTTAATACAGTTGCAAATAAGTATATAAAATGTGTTTTTCAGGTAACAAGATTTGTATATCAAATGGTCAGAACTATGATGGCAGGCATTGTTACATACAAATTAAAGTTTAAAAATCAACAAGAATGTTTAGTTGTAAAATATCTTGGCACTTTTTATTGGTCGTTATAAGCCTTAAATTAGATGTGTGAAGTGGTGTTTTGCATGACTGTCCTCCTATATGTATGAACATCGATATGTCTCTTCCTCAGATTATTTACCTCTCTGTTCAAGTATGTAAAACAGTATCTTTCTTTACTGGACTCACCAATTTAATGGTTTATTTAGTGCTCCTACTCAAATCACATTCAGCAGTCAATGCACACTCAGCCTATTACAATGGCTGTGTTTAATGGTAAAATAATTGGACTGTGTCTGAGTTATATTGCTCTCAACCTAAAGGAAGTCAGATAGGTCAGAACACTGAAGAATGGCATATACTATGTTTATTTGACCAGTTATGGAGAATAATCCCCAGTACCCTAAATCTGTCAGATGGATATGTTCTGAATTACACTAAACCCCTGCACCACATCAACATTCCCTGAAAGCATCAAACAGGCAAGCCTTAAAACTCCTGAGGTATGGTAATGGTAGGCAGGGCTAACCGATCAGGTGATTCCTTCAAAATGTCTTTGCCTACCATTAAAAGGCTTCCAAATTCTATCCTCTTAAACCACTGGCTCAGTGTTGACTTTGCTATACCCAGGGCAGACAATTACACCAGCAGCCCTTTTCCCTACATTAATCCACTGTCATCTTGACAGGAGGGACTATGAAAGACGCACATGCCCACTGCACTCAGCAGTCTCGACTGTCACCAGATGGCTCAGCGTCCCAGGGTCAGAATTCGGAGTTCTTCAGCAAACTGGCTCTCTCCTCTCGCTGTGGCAGGGGGATGTTCCCTGGACAAGAAGACAATGAGTGTCAATTGAGCTAAATCAATCTTTAAAACTGAGCTATATTTTTTAAGATTCCTGTACTTGAATAACAAAAACGTAGTAGAAAAGTTTCAGATGCTCTCACCCGGTGGAGCCACAAAGTACTCTTCCACGGTCTTACTGGAGGCACGAAGCAGCTGCTCGGCACATTCCCCTTCGCGTACACTGTCCTCTCTCAGATACAGCTGTCTGCAGGAAGGACACAGGAGACCAGAAGGGTCATGGCAGACTGGTGAAGACTGTCATGTGTGAATTAGTTCATGGCATTAATGCTTAAAAATGTAAAACCTTAAGTAACTTACTAAAAAAACTGCATTAAAATTCCAAATGGTTCAACGTATCGTATTGCCCAACGCTGGTCACCCGCTGGTGAATCTTTAATCCAAAATCTTTAAACCAGTTCTCCAGACGGGTAATCTGAGGTGTCTCTTATTACCTAATGGAGGAAGAGGAAAACATGGCCTTGGAATTGGCCAGCTTCTCCCTCTAGGTGGTTCTTAGGAGAAAATGACCCCTCTCCATCAAAGAATTCAGACAATCACTTCACGGTCAGGGTTAGTGGTAAATAGCGTCTCACCGGTCCTCAAGCACAGAATCCATGGGCTCCACCCCCTCCGTGTCGATAATATGGAGCTGATCTGCAAATCGGATCGCTCTTTCCAGGCAGGCCACGCCTTCTTTGTTTCGGAAGTCCACCAGGGCCAAACGCTCCAACTTGTCCACTAAATCGGGAGGGACACGTGTCGGCTGTGGAAGACAGACCCCCAGCACGGTTGAAGTCTCTGGCAGAACTGCTAAACCAGACTCGTCAAGCTTCATTCCTGAACATCCACACTGATTTGTTGGAACTATCGCCAGTCCAGCTCTCGAAGCCCCTAATAAGTGTACTTATCTGATTCATCTGAAGAGCTCAGCACTTCTACAGCCCCAAAGGTGTTTTTACAGGTACTTTGCAGCAGGCCCCAAACACAAATGTTACTAAGAAAGTAGTGTCACTCTTCCATCTCTTACTCATGTGTTTTACAAGTAGCTCATTTCATCCAGGGGATCTCATGCAATTACTTCCTGAAAGTACTCAGGTTTCCAGCTAGCATTACCAACCGTTTGGATCACTGATAGAAGATCCATCCATCTATTCATTTTCTAACTGCTTTATCCAATATAGTGTCTATACAGGGCACACAGACACAAATGCACACACTCACACCAGGGCTAATTTTCCCAGAAGGCAATTAACCTACAGTACCAGTGTGTCTTTGTACTACAGGATGAAACTGGACTGAATCCAAGTGCTCTTCTGTGCTGCCCATACTGGTGACTGACTTTTGATTTAAAAAGTACGTAATTCAGAAGTTGATTTGTTTGATTGATTTTGCTTTTTGATTTGCTGTGACCTTGCACTAAAATGGCAGCCAGAGGAGTTTGTGTCTCACCAGGACTTACGTTTCAGACTGTTGGGCCTGCTTTCACATGTGTTCCAACCTGCTCCACTGCAGGTATTCACTTAACCATTTACCATTTAATTCAGCTGGATAATGAACAAGATAACAACAACAACAACAAAAAAAATCACTTGACCTGCTTGTTTGGAAGACTTCATAAAATAAACACAAATGAAAGTTAATAAATAAACTTCAGATAAATGGGATGGTGACTGAGATCTCTTAAAACACAGTCCTGTTTTTTTGGGAAAAACCTCAAATCTTTGTCGTACTTTAAGTCAGACTTAAACTGTGGTCCAACTGTTAGGGGGTACAGTTCAAAATTATATATTTAATGTGTCTACATTGGTTAGCTCAAATAGTTAATGACATTTTGCTATGTTTAGCACTTTCTTGTTACTGTTGCGGTATTTCAGTTGTTTTTGTTTAGCACAAAGTCTGTTTACAAATCTTTGTGTAGTATTATTAGAATACCTGCTGCCACTGTCAATACATCCTCGGACAACAGTAAATAGATACAGTAGTACAAGCTTGGGTGAGCGCCTTTTACCATGTAGTTAGGCGGCGAGCACAATTACAGCAATGTAACGACATTTAAAGCGTAAACATTTAAAATAACGAAGCTGCTAGCGCGTCTGTTCGTTAAGGAATGAATGCAGTTAAACGGTCAAATCGAAATGAGATTTGTGTGATCATCGTCGCATTGAATTTGGATTTACGTCGGAAGCGAAGAAAGAGCCGAATCTCAAAAGAGTCATTATGTTTTGAACGAAGGTGCGAAAAAAAATCGGAACTGAAGGATCATTTACAGCAACAACAACAACAACAACAACAACAAACAACAACAAAAAAAACAGCAAAAGGAAACGGGGAGAAAAAGAAACTGGAAAGAACTGACTAATTTTTTAGATGACAAACAGTAGAGCTGGCGAAACAAACGGATAGCAAATGGTAAATTAAGGCAAGGTAAAATAGACTCGTATCATATCACCCGTCCTAAAAAAAAGGTCGATGATGACCAAATTTTACCTGCAAAGAAGGACATCGTGAATTACTAAATGGACTGAGGTCCAACAGCGCGATGAGATCTTTGCAATTAGGTGAAACATACAGACATCGTTAACGCAGCTCAGCGTCTAACTCAAGTTATGTGACTATTTTAAAGTAATGAGCTGTTAGTTTGCAGCAACTAATTTGTGTGGCACAGGTTTTTCTGATTTGAAAATCCTTTAAAAAAAGCAGTATGTGGACACCTGTGGAGAATTACAACCGTTTAGTACTGACATTCACAAAAAAACACGTCATGATAAGTTATACAGCAGCCACCATACACATTTCCCCACTAAGGAAAGGTGAGTTGGATTTTTTAGATGAATTCTGCATTGCAATTTTTTTTTTGTTTACAGTTCACCTTTAAATAATGATATGCAATTAAAGTCGTGTGTTTGACATGAGCCATTGCAGAGGTGTGTTAAAATAGCACAGCGTAGTTCATTGAGTTGGATCCTTAACCAGACTGCACTCATTTTTGAGGGCCTTCAGATTAAGACGTTTGGGGAACCCCTCCTTAAACTGTGTTGTTTATAAGACCACTGAGAATTACACAATAGCACAAAGTATTTCAGGACATACTCCTTTGTGTTTGGTTATGCCGACTGATATTAAAAATATATTTTATCCGACAGGGATATTGGAAAACTTTCACGTAATTGTGATCAAAGTTTACCGGTGGAAGATCTTTCTCTTCTACCGGTTCCCATGTTGGTGACTGTGGCACCTGAAAAATACCATAAACACACAGAAATGAATGAATGGGATTCATGTTCTGAAAAGCTCTTTTACTTCAGGTCCTGCGTACTTATTATACGAACCACTTTATTATAGTATGTGAACCATGTTTTATGAACTAAAATCTAAAACTAAACTAAAAAAGATAAAAGAAAACGTGTCACCTTTCCCGATCTGCCTTTATACTTCTTTAATTGTTTATAATGTAAACCTAGATTTCAAATAGAGGAATGTACAGAATGGGAATTAAACATAAAAACGTGTTTTGATTTTGACGTACGTAAAATACTTTTGATTATGCTTGATGTATAATCTGTATTCCACAGAAATATATTTTCAATAATAAAATACTTAAGAGTAAAAAGTAGGACACAAAAGCTAACGTATGTTTAGCACATGTATATTTAACATAGTATTTTAAACTTCTTGAACGTAAATATCACATACGTATAGTACGTACAGAATTGATAAATTAGTACAGGTCTGAATACTGGGTACTTCGTGTAAGATCACAATAATTGAGCCATGAGCTCAATTATTATAACCACACAGTTCCACAAATATGACATTTAATGTATTTTCAGATCTCTAAATTAAACAATGAAGTCCTATTCTTAGGGTTCAGTTACATTATAAAAAGCTATGAGTTCTCTCATTGACGTGAATTTGGATAATAATGCCCAATAAACCAGACAGAAATAAATTAAAATTACGATATTATCATGAAGTGACATATTTACTGTCCTTACCTTTGATTTAGGTACATTAGTATTTTCTTGTCTCTGACACACAGCAGCTCTCCGATGAATCTCTCGGTAGCCATTTAGATTGTGGCCCACTTTAACTGCGCCTATTCCGGGACAACAAAGAACTCCACTCTGAGGATGTACGGGCCTCAATCTCCATATCGATTTTGGCGCTCTCCAGATCATAATTTTACAAATTCTAAAAATAAAGGGTGTCATTTTAACTGAAAAAAACGACAATAAATAAAGTATGTGTTTAATGCCTTGTTATATATGAATCTTTAACGATGATCTCGGCAATACGCAGATCAGTAACCCTTTCCGCACAACCTAGCGACGAATGCCCTTGTGATACTGCTATCTTACAAGAAACCTCTAGCTCTTCCTGATATGAGTGTGAACGGTACGGTAAATTAATCCGGTGTACTTTACCATACAGTTTCAAAAGCTAAGAATGTATTTATAAAGAAAAACCCAGGACCGTTAATTTAGCTTTGATAATATCAAAGTTGATAGAAAATTCAGAACTGAGTATTGTTTCTGAAATAGACAAGCGGTTGAAATGAATCATTTTATTAAAATATGTATTAATTGTAACATTTATTCTCAATTAAACGCTATATGTGTATGAAACTAAGTAATGTCACGATTTTATACACTCTCACAGAGCCCGGATAGCTCAGTCGGTAGAGCATCAGACTTTTAATCTGAGGGTCCAGGGTTCAAGTCCCTGTTCGGGCGGTATGTTTTTGCAGTTTCATAAAATTCTCTTTTCCCTCTGCATAAAAATCGTATGTCCGTTTTTACAAAACGTATCCTGCCACTCATTCAAGTTTACACAAAATAAATGCATTTTCTACAAAATGTATCCTGCTGTTAAATACACCACTGTACAAAAATGCAGACATTTTATATCCCCACTAGGGGCCACTATTTTTCTATCAGTTTTCAATTATGGCCACCATGTTAGAAAAAAGGTGCTGTTCTGAATCAGACCAGAGAAGAGCCTCCAGATAAATATCTGAGTTGAAGATATGTCCTACGCTGACAAACCAAAACTGAACTTTTTCAGTCTTGAAATGAGAAGACCACGGGCTACTGGCCCAGCACCACTGACAGTAGTTTCCTGGAGGTTCCTCAGAAGTTTTCCATTGCACTACTGACCAGCCTTGCAAGGTTTCTGAGACATGACAAGATCAGGCAATGAGGTTCAGGTGTGGTTCTATGTTCATCCTATGCTCAGGGAAAATATATACAACTGTAATGCATACAATTGAATTTGTCCTTAAATCCATTCGAAATAACAGTATCATATTATTTTTATATTTTGCTCTATGTTGTGACTTAATATTTAATTTGAACTACGTAAGAATTCTAAAGCATTGAATAAATCTGTGATGTTAGAATAACAGAAATGATTGATTTAATCATTTAAAATTGATTTAACAATGCTATGCATTTTCTAATTCTAGGAGTCTGATGACATGTTAAAAAGAAGTTGTGTATTTTCAAATTACTGTGCTTTACTATCTGTGATGCAGAATTGTGTATAAAATATGTAAGGAACAATTAAACTACATTTTAAAATAAGGTAATTTTCACAGTCGAAAGCTAAACGAGTCAATAACAAGATAGCACAATTTCAGATTTTGGATTATTATTTGCAAACTAATGTAATTAAATACAATCCCTTGAATTAAAAACAGTGAATGCGGTGATAAAATAATAAGCATATATTATAAACATTCTTCTTGGGAAGTTAAGAAATTAAATGCATTTAAAAAGACACTGACATTCATTAATCTTCACTTTATTGCTTTGCTTGAATGACAGAATAAGACAGAGTAATTTTTGTTCACTTTTTGTTTCAGAAAAGCATGTAAAGAGCTTATAAAAGCATGGCAATATATCAGAGAAATCAGTTATTCATTTGTATTAACTGCAAGCTTAGAGATCAGGGATAAAAGCTGTAAGGTTCAAGAGCAGCAGGCTGCTGGTCATCCAGTTTTTAAATTTGAAAGAAATAGGACAAAAGTTAAATCTGCAGTACTCAAAGTCCGTCTTTGAGCACCATCTGATTTTGGGCTGTGTCCCATAAAAATAATATGAGGTATTCAAAGTTTGAAGCTAACAAAGACAACTCTGCTTATTGTTTTACATATTTAATTCCTTGTCTTAAATTTACTTAGTTGGGGAGAAGGGCTTAGCATGATCAGTATTTTTTCCCCAAAGTGATTTTGTGAGAGACATGGGTATTTGACATCTGAATGAATATCCACTTTCAGTGGGATGGCATATAATCGTTACCATTGTCTACACATCCTTAAATAGATACATCTTTTGTTCTTCCTGAAATCCAAATAAATACCGATATAAATACAAGATAATAGTCTCAGTTGCCCCACAGTTGGCAGTCATTTCCACCAGAGTCTATGCAGGATGGACAGACGGTGAAGGAAGCTGGGTAGTTTCATCATGATCAGGTGGCAGGCTTTTCCTTGTTTGGACCCATGAATTCTACACCGTCAATAGGAATGTCTTTATCCTTGATGGCTTTCTGAAATCAGACAGGGAAAGAACTCATTGCAGGCTTCGAGAAGTAGACGATTTTGACCAAATATTTTTTCTATTAATTTCCAATTTGTAATTCCATAGTGTTATTATATTTCATGACGAAAAATGTGTAATAGTGGTAAATATCTACGTTAGTACCTTGTTTAAATAACGTCTGGAATAAATAGGTGTACAAACCACACGAATTACTAAGCATTAAGGTAAAACAGCTCGAGTAATCTCAAACACGTTTTACGGAGCACCATTATTCTGAAGCTGTTTAAACCATTGATCGAAAAAAATATTAGTTCCTGTTTACCTGTACACACGTCTGATATTTCTTAAACATTTCGGTGCAGGGATCACCGCTCCGGTCTCCTTTCAGGAATTTGTCTGCAAACCAGCGGTTAAAACATTGATCGTATTCCCGTTTCAGTTCAGTGCACCCCTCTCCTACACTGTTCATCCTCCAAACAAATGTATTCTCAAGTACCTTAAAATGTATGGTATCAGGAGCAAATATGATTTGCTACAACGAACTTACGCGACTTCAGATGTGTTTCCCTACGATATGCTTGGCAGTAAACATAAAAATGTGTCGGAAAACCAAAAGTCGGCTGTAAAATTATTTAGTAAGTTCTTTGCAAACGACAAGCCGTACGAACCACGTGGTCAGTTACGTCGCCCGACCGGCCTTTAATGATGACGTAGACAACGATGACGTCGCAAGCAGAGAAAAATGTTTTTTAATAAAAACAGGATTTTCAGAATGGTGGATATTATAAATAAGATTTTAGTTTATTTCAGCACTATCGGAGGTAGACTTGTGTTTGGACTTCTCATTACTGATTTTGCACATATGCATTTTTAAAATATTACATTTTTCTTTAATAGAGATTATGAGGAAGCGAACTTTGACCATTGGCACGGACGCATATTTGTATTTTACAAGGAATATCCACCGGGTTATTGGTGTTTAAGAGCAGAACAAGAATGTTATATTTAAACAATGTGCGCTTGTATATTACACGTCATATAATAAATGGTTGTTTCTGCTACTAATAGAAAGGATGGCATATTTCAAGTGCGATATTTCTGGCAATAACGTTTACTAATATTAATTTTCAAATTCATTTTCCCAATAAAACATAGAATATGTAAAAACAGCATATACTGAGTCATAGACTAAACAGATTTTTCCACGCAGCCAGAGCTAGGTGAAGTCGACCTGATGTAATGAAAGCATTGGTTTGCAGTGCTAAGTAGTAACATAAAATCCGTTAAGTGTCTGTATATTGTTATAACCAAGGTTGGTGACTTGGGTTGTGAGGCACTTGGTAAACTGGTTTGTGCACACAATCGTGACGACAGTTGGTTACGCTGATTTCAGTACAACTTCTTCGGGTAGGTGATTCACAGTCCCTGCTGTTTGTGTAGGAGTAGGTGATGCCGCGATTGATTCTACCACTGACCCCCTCATTTCCGTGGAATGAAAAAGGAAAGCCTTGGTATCGATTCCCGATAAAGACCGTGGAGACAGACGTAGATGCTGCGCTAGGCAGGAGCAAAACTTCCAGCGTACAAACCAAAACGATTTGTTTTTAATTTAAGACAAGAAAACCAGAGGAAAGCTCATTGTTTGAAAGTCAAGGTAAATGTCTGCATGTTTACCTCTGTACATCCGTGTCACACACCAATTTAGGTTCGAGAAGATGTGTCGGTGCTTCTTCAAAAGTTTCATCAGTGTTAGTCTGATTCAGAAAGTGTTCTGTCCTACTTTGTGGTTTCACCATAATTATAGAGGCTGTTATTTCTCTGATGTGTTTCAGTTTCTTCAAGGCTGGCATGCATGTCTTTACCCCGCTGTATACACCAGAAACTCATCTAAGATAAGATCTGGCAGGACAGCTTAAATCAAAATGGAAATTAAGAGGCATGTCAGCAGCAAGCTATATGAATGTACAAATGGGAATTTCTAAAAGGCCCCCTAATCATTATGTGGCAAGGTTTCAAATATGTGCTATTTCTGCACTTAATTCTTGTTGAACTACTGTAAAATGGTTGGATTTTTTAAAAAATGAAATGTGGATCTAAGTATTTTATGAATGCATACTACTGGATCCCTTGTGGGTTACGTATGGCTGTATGGCTGTGCGGGAATGAGAATTATGAATCATCAGAAAATATGCAGATCATCTGAAAAAGAACAGACAAATAGACAGTTTGCCCACATTGCAATAAAACTGTATTGAAAGAGCAATTGGAAAAAATAAGAACAATTCCATATTTATTTTTCCAAAATACATTGACCATTTAATATATATATATTTGTATAGATTTTTTGTAATATTTTGTTTATGAACAACTATAAATAAATATTTCAGCTTAGAATAGAAAAGCAAAACTGACAACAAAAAACATTGCTGGTTTTCTTGACTTTGCTGTAACATAATCTTCTTTCACAAATAGTTATCAGAATACTTGACACCTGCAAACATTTATAAAATAGTGCTCATATTGAGGAAAGAGCTGGATATCATTGATAGGGAGTCTCGTCCATAAAATGCTGTTTCAGTGCTTCTGCTCCTCATAGAAGTAAAGCAGTTCTGAAATACTAAATGTCCAGTTAGAGTTTGAGATTACAAAGTTGAGTATTTGCTTTTTAATGGAACTCTTAAATGTTTTTTCATCTTCAAAGACTAAAAGATGTCTAGTTTTTTTCATTGCCCTTACATGCATATAGGTCAAAATGAACCTGCCTTGCTGCAGATTTAGCAGACATAGACAGTATGATATACAGGGTGTGTAAAGTTTATAAATTTAAATTTCTCCAAGAGCAGATCAGTTTTGCCACAATTTAACCAGAATGAATTACCCTACCCATTGCCTTTAGCAGTGTAAAAGAGAAATTCGGAGCTGGAACTTAAAAGTATCTTAAGAGGGGACAGATGCCTGCATTTCATCTCGCCAAAGTGGGAGAATATACATTTTCCAGGAAGGTTTGGGTGGTTGACAGTACAGTTGATAATTTCAAGTTATTATGAGTGTCCTTTATTCAGAACGTAAATCAGCGTATTCATTTAAATAAATGAATAAAAACATTAATATAAGTGGTTATTTTTGGTTTAAAGCTCTGCTTTAAAAAACTGTATTTACATAGTTAGGTCACCAGGTGGCAGGACTTGAGTTTGAGCAAACAATTAACACTTGCAGCATTTTTTTTATTCAAGAGCAGAATACAGTACACAATTACAGTATATACTGTATACCCCATGACACAAACAATGATCCTGCTTTAGATCTCTTCTGAGCAATTAAGGCAGTACAAATTACTCAATACCTACTGCGTGTCCTTGAAGGTTAATGAACAAACATCTCAACTCGTCATTGCCTCCCTTGGTTGGGAACAGTTTTGTGCTTATGAAAAAGTTCACTATTCCTATTTTTTCATCATTTAAATCTTAATATACTGAATATCTGAGGCCTATGATCTCTTCTCATACTGGTACACTAAAAATAGATGCTTAATTTGGTTTCTGTGCTCAACTGCTAGGAAAGGCATTTGTTTGGAACTGCAATTTAAAAATGGAACCAACGTGACTGCTTTTGCTCATTCTTATTTTGGTTATGGCCAGTTATGTAACAATTTGACTCTCAATCCCCGTTATCCAGCTTTAGCCTCATCTGCTGTTGACCTTAAACACAGAAATCTAGGATTGTTGGGCAACCCAATGAGCTGTAAAAGAATCAAACACGATATGCAGTGTGACACTACAATATACTGAGAAAGCGGCACCTTGTACATACTTAGTATACAGTGATTCATTGAAGAAAGATCAAAAATAAAAGCACTGTTGTTATATTTCCTTGTTTTTCTTTTTGTTTCCTTTTTAAACCAGAAATCCATAGTTCACTTGTACATCATATACGATTCTATATATATATGTTTTTCTTTAATGCACAGACACTGGTTAAACATACGATATATATAGTTTGCCACATTTAAAAGATATTTTCCCCTTATTACAGTACAATTCACAAACAGCAATATACAGAGACACTTCTTGAGAATGATGGAGAATATATGATGGGCAAAAAAATAGATCAGTCATTCCAAACACTGGCACTTCGAACACTGAGACTGACCGGGGTGTCATGTCAGTTTCATGGATGAGTTTTTCTTCAGTTTTCAATTCAATTCAAAATACTTTATTCATCTCAGGAGTGTGTGTCCAGCATGCCTGTAGAAGTCATTCTGACTCGACAAGCTTTATACAGTCTTTAATGATGGGGTCTTTTCTGATTCTGAAAATGATAGATGCCACTGAATCGAGCATTTATTTTCCGTCGCAAAGCAGCTGAAATAAAGTGTGCTGCACAATTTCTGAAGTCTCCAGACCAATTCCCAGCAATCAGGTCAATAGTCCTTCCTGGCACAGTAGATCCCCCTCACCCCCACCTCCCAACTCATTGGCTTAAACAGTAATTGTAGTAGAAAGACACAGAATGGAGAACATTTGAAACACATAAAATACCACTTTTTAAAATGCAAGTGAATGCATAGAAAAGAAACATCCTTTTTAGAGTACTGTGTTTCCCCTGCCAGAAGAAGTCACAGATATGATTCTAGAATATTTTAGTGGGGTATATTTTCTCAGAAAATTGAGTTTTACAAATATGAAACGCAATACATAACACAAGGCTTTTGGCACAGAAATTATTTTAGGGATGTAGATGGAATTCACATGGAAGATGCGGGTGTCCCCTACCTTTAGGTACAACATGGAATCCTCACTGATGCTAATAAGGATGAATAAAAAATATATCTTTAATGTCTACAATTTTCTGCTCGATTGTTAACAAATCCCTGGAACAATCCTATAACATCAAACAGACTTACATAGAAGATATATTTTACTATATTCATAGAAGTAAGGTAGACTCTTAAAGTGATCAGATTCTGAAATGCAGTCTTACAAGAATGGGATTTTAGAGAGATGAGAGAATGAGAATAGAACCAACAGTGACTGAAATATTCCTGAATATATTGAATAAGAAAAGTTTAAATTTAAGGCAAAGAAATAAAAGATACAGAAGTTTATGTATTTATAAACTATATATTTAACTCAGAAGATGCAGTACTACAAGCATATGGTATATCTGTGGATGAATGTACTGAAATATATTTAAAAAACCAAATCTGAAAGCAAAGACCGTGTTCTACAAGGAAAGGAGTTGTAATTTTGTTCCCTTACAATTAAATAAAATTAAATGTAATTTTACAAACAAACCATACCAAAATAAAGAAATCTACATTGCAATATCTGTTAAATAGAATGAAATAAATATTGATAAGCTACATTGTCTGTAGCAATTGCACTTTGCCCATTAGCAGTAATGCCTTCTCCATCATTCATTATAATTACAATTTTTTCAAATCTATAAATACTACAGAAAGAACAAAAAGGATCTGATGACTACCTCACAGAAACCCAAGCAGTTAACATCCGGAATTTTTTCGTAATTAGCTAAAATGGATTTCACATACTGACCAGTGACACCTAATGAAAATGGCATAAAGAAGTTTTATGTAACAAGGTATTAAATTAAAATATAATTTTAACCTACATGTTTCAAACGTCTAGTTTCTCTCAAGCCTATAATATTAATATAAATGACACCTATCAAGCTCTGAGACAAAACACCACTTACTTAGTCTCCATTATCCTTCAGGTGGAATTCCTTGTGTGCATTTAACTGGAATGTTGAAGCATTTTAAATTGGCACATGACCCTTCTGTCAAAACATAATTTCATAGTTTTGTGTCGCTGTGTCTGAGACTTTTCAATCTATTGCAATTGAAAACATTCCCCCTATGAATTCTCGTATGAAAAACAACTTGACGCACTCCTTAGTAGTTCTGAAAATGCCGTTCAGTGTAGACAAGGATAGTTTCATCAAAGCAGAACTGTTTTGCAATACTGAGGTGACCAGCATCACTGCAGAAGGACACAAATCTCCCACGTGATAAAGTCCAAAGATCTGCTATGAACAGCCATGGCTACCATCTAATTTTTTTAAGAGGCCGATATAATAGCATATGTATTCCACATGACTCAAGGATATCAGAAAGACTAAATCTGCAGGTGCATGACTTTAGTGAAATTACCTGTGAGGTAAGAAATGACATCATTGGCTTCATGTTCAATGGCTAAAAGATAAAGATAGTAAAAAAACATTGTTGTCTCTAAGGAAGTAGTTTGTGAGACCTGTGACCCTACATGGCTATGACAGAGCGGAGATGAGGGAAGGCCGTGAGGGCGTGGCCAAGGAGTGTGAGTGCAAACTCATGGTCTGGTTAACGGGCACCGTCATGCCTCTGGCTCACTTGTTCTCTATCAGAGTCTGGACTTTGTAAACCAGGTCACGTGCCAGCTTCAACACTTGCTTGCTGTTGTGGTGTTCAGCCATTTCTGTGGGTAATGGAAAAAGAAAAGAAAAATGGTCATGCAGAGCAAACTGTTTTCAGAGTGTTATAAAAAATTGAGATCCCAATTAAGGTACATCACTGATTCATACCAATCTAGGATTTAAAACTGCCCTCACTGAAGTAAACATTTTTAACATTATATTTCTCAATGGTGATTATGTGTTAGTGCCTTCATTAATTGCATGTTAAGGCATATCTGAAAACAAAGCCAACTGTAAGCTTTTCTGTAGGCACTTGGAACATGGTATGCAGCTTTACTGCCTGTGTCCTGATTCTTAAAGTGTTGTTGCTCCCCAGATGAGAACAGGCTAAGTCCTTGATTCCAGTGAAACCGCTAACTGAGGTATTTAATGCACTTTGTAAGATAAAGCTTATTGGTTGAAGGAAAATCAGAATAGGTATTCAGAAATGCATCTGCCTCACCATTGAAGAACTTGATGATGTCGGTGAAATCCATGTTGTTCTCTAGGATGATGTCTCTGTACAGTTCCACCAGTGCCAGCGCAATAAACAGGACAAAGTGGCTGGAGGAAACATATTTTGCTGCCCAGATAGTCTCCCAGACTGAGAACACATCATCGTATACCAGCTCTGTGGGGGGAAGCACGCAGACAGCTATTACTCCTGCCTTCACCTGGGGACGGCTCTTTTAGTCTTTTGGCACTCTGTATAATTATTTAACAGATCCATTAAGGAATAGCCTACTTTTTTTACATACAAACAAGGGTGATTTCAATCTAAATGAAAGGGGAATAACATTAAACAAAACCTTTCCACAGGGATGAAAACCTGGGATGTTTTCTCTTTCTGTTGAGTGGCTGTGTAACCTGGAGGCCTGAATTATTTATTCATCAACATTCTCAGTAAATGGACTGGCTGCATTATTTATGGGTGCAAATTTGGTTTCCATCAAAGCCCTTAACTCGACCTGGCTTTGCAGCATACATCTGTCCTTGAGGTGAGATCAAATACAGGGGTTTCCTGTCATTAATGTGATTGTTAAAGTTCCTTAATGAGCTCTGAATATACCCAGTGATGTCATTACCTCTTTTGAAGTCCAACAAAAACCAGCGATAGCAGAAATAGAAATGTGTGTAATCTCCATTCTGGTGCATCAGCTCAAACAGCTCAGAGTCCAGAATCTGCCGAATAAGTACAACCAGCCTTAAGAATTGGAAATGCTGGGAAAACATTTCTTTATACACATACTCCTTTCTCCAACGCTTTATCCAATAAGAATAGATTACAAATTTATCTGCATTATAAAAATAAGCCATTTTGGATTCTGTGATTCCCTTTTTTAAATGTCAAACAGATGCCAACAAATCTGAGATCAAGTGGATACTTATACAAAACGAATGGTCTTATGGTGACGTGCCTGGATGAGAGAGCGCATGTTGGCAAAGTGCGTGTCCATGACTCCACCATGAGGGAAGTTCTGGTTCATCCTCTTCATCAGCTCAGTGAAGCAGCTGAACGCCATGGCCTCTGAAACACCAGACACAGACAGGGTCTGGAGGGGGTACTGGTATGCCACATATGAAATGATTGTGGTCTTAGGGGTACAATTTGAGACCTTTGAGAGGACAGAAAACCTGGAACTAAGGTTGGAAGTAGTTTTGGATTCTAAAGATTTGAGATAATTGTCCAGCTTGTGAAAAAACTGCACAAAACAGAAAAGTTGCAAGCGATATCTATTTTAAAAATGTATTTTTATAATCTGCGCCCTACACTATATCCTGAAAAAAGGCATTCAGCTAGGATTACTCCCTAAATTACTCTGAAAAATACAAAGATTGTATATCATCAGCACATTGATCCCAGTGAACTCACCATCATCTAGTATCACTAGAAGTGGAGCCAGAAGGTCACACATGCCCTGTACATACCCGATTTCTAGGTGCTGCCAGATGTAACTGCAAAAAAACAATGATACAGGACACTGATCAGAAGGCAGTGGAAGAAATTTGGCTTTTCTAGTCAAATACTAGCTGAAAGTGCATGAGGTCTGTGTGTTTTCTTCAGATTAATGAGAAAAGGGGTCTCTTCCCTTTGTAGGAGTTACCTGCACATAATGTTGCGCAGTTTCTCCAGGTTGGTGGGAGTGAAGTACCAGTAGTTCCTGTCACAGCGCTGGACATCTTTCTCAATGCGATGCAGGTTCACTGTGTACATATCCAGCAGCTCTTGCTACAACAAAGTAAGAGGAAAATGAATTACTGCCAGACATAAATATTTGTCAACAATTGTGCAATATATATTAACTTAAACTGTAGGAAAACTACAATCCAGCTGAAGGGAAGCTTGTAAGAAATCACATTTCAGAAAACAGAGAAAAAACAACGCAAGGCAAAAAAGGTTTTCTACTGCCCTGCTGTTCTTGTTATCTTCTTTTTGTGGCCTTTCTGTTTATATTGTATCTGCCTATGGATCCATGACCCAGTTAATAATATTAACCACATTCATTATGGGAGTTTGGCTTCTTCTGTACTGAAAATATCAACTAATGTCTTCTAGCTATTTACTTAATGTGCAGTACACTTCTAAAAACCCTGTGCACTTACAGAATAGGTAGTCCCAATGGATGAGACTGGGGAGGTGGCATCAGGTTTGGCTTCTCCACCAACGGCCAGAGAGTCAAACTGGGGGAAAAGGCTCTCCATTTCTGGTTCTTCTGACAGGGCATCCTCACTGCCCACCAGGCTTTGCTTCTCCGCCTCCTCGTCCACCTGCATCTCCAGCACCAGTGGGCCAACCACTCCCCCTGTGCCCAAGTCATCCCCCAAGGGCAGCTCAATAGCCGACAGTAACTCCTCCGAGGTTTCCTTGGCAACCATACTGTCCTCAGCTGAGGCTGACTCCCTTGCTTTGGTAACGGGAGGTAGAGCTTCTTCCAGCCCCTGATCCTCAGCCGTGGCTGCAGCCTGCTCCCGGGGCTCCTCCTCAGGGCCCTGGGCTGGGGCTTTCACGCCGGGGGGGTCTACCACTTGCTGAGCGGGTTTGGCCGAGCCGGGATGCGGAGGCTGGGGCTGGCCGGAGGTTTTGGCTGTGGATTCGGCACCAGCGCTGTCCTCGGTGCTCAGGCTGCGGTCAGAGAAGCCGGATGTGATGGAGAAATTGCGGGAGGAAGGGTGTCCAGAATCTGGGGAACAGGTGCCATTGGGTACGACCCCATTGGGTACTTTTGTTGCTTGTTTGGCCTCCTCTCCCTTTGGTTCCATCTCAATCTGCTCCACCTCTTCCACGGACTCAAACACCTGAAACAACAACCCGGTAGTAAACACCTGGCTCAGTGGGGACACGTGGGACTTCAGGGAAAAACAAGTCCTCACTGAAGACCTCGCTGTCCATTATATCACTTCAAGGGTCACTTTGTTTCACAGATTTCTGCCAGTTTACATGAGCAATATTTTTTTTTTTCTAAAACAATCTCAACTATGTTCATAGCAAATGACATCACATTGAACTGGAGTTTTGTTTTTTATTTACAGTTGATTTAAATAAAATTGCATAAATGATAAAAGAAGAAGTTAATACTAATAAAGTGGTTAGCCTTTATTCCAGCACTGGAAAGAAAGATAACATTGTCTTCTCTTCTATTCTTCTAAGAGGAATAAACCTATCAAGCCTTTTCTCACAGTGCACAGTTTAGAAGCAAACAAGTTGGTACTGGTGACTCTAGAAGAGTAATTAAATTTCACGGACTACTAACACTATCAACAGGACATGAGACAGGGAATACAGCTGTACAGATAAATGCCATAGATAATAGATCAGGACACTCCAGTAGACACACTGCAGGGTCCACAGAGGAAATTGCTATTCAATATCTTCCATTTTCATCCTGCTATGGAATGCCAGCTGGAATTGTTCTTCAGCAAGTTTAACAGTCTAGATGTAAGTTATATAAAACAATTATGTTTCTACCACATTATTACATTTACATTTACATGAAGCAAAGCAAAAACTGGTTGAAAATACCTACAGATTTGTAAATGAATGGGAAAAAAAAAATCAGAAAGTCCAAGAAAAGTAATGTTTTAGCAGAAATATGGGAGCACCACCAACAGCTGGGCCAGAGCACAGCGACAGGATGGTAAGGCTACAGATGGAATAGTGTACAATATATCTGTACACTTCAGACATACAATATCTGTAGTAGCTGGCAGCTAAATGAAATTACAATGTATACACACAGGCAGCACCATTTACATGCAATGGCATTACAGAGAATGATAGTGAGCTCAGTGTGAAACTCTAGAAACCACTAGACCCTAACGTCATGACAACTGCCTGAGCTGTAAATGGCAGGGTGTTACACTGTTTACCCAGCTCACAATCACGTTGGCAAAACACGCATGTATAGACTCTGCCTGGGTCCGGTCAAGCGTGGCAACAGCAAAGCTGAGCAGGGCAGCAGTGGGGAAGGGGTACCTGTGTGCTGCTGCTGGAGTCGCTCTGCAGCTGCGCGTGGCTGTGTCTGTCTGAACTGCAGCTCTGGGAAGACTGGCACAGCCGTGGCGACAGCGAAGGGGAGGGAAAATACACAGGGAGACAGGAAGGACACAGGATTTTCTGTTTTAAACACCCTTTCAAAATCCACTCCAAAGGTAATAACAGACCTTCCCACACAGAGAAGTGTGCTTTTCCTAACACAGAACATACAGAAAAATACCTGAGACACCTGAGCAATTCTCAGAAAGCCAGTTTTTTTTTTCAAGAGACTATCATCTGCACTATCTGCAGTGTGAATGGCAGGTACTCTGGAGCCTGGGTTGGGGAGACCTGTTGCCAAAGAAACGCCCAGCCCAGGCTGCTCTCACCTCGTTGCTGACGGTGGAGTCTCTGTGCATCATCTTCTGGATCTGGCTGTCCAGGCTGGCTCCGGAGGAGCACTTCGCCAAGGCCACCGCATGCTGCTCTTTCTCCCGCTGCCGGACGATGGCCTCACAGCCCAGCCACTCGCTCATGGTCTGCTCGTAGCAGGCGCGCACCTGGTCATCTACCTGCCACAGGCACAGCACAGTCCGTACAGGGGCTGCCCCGCGCGCTCGCCACTCGGGAAAGCCAGCGCAGGGCAAACGGACAGCCACACAAAACTGCGATGCCAGGATTTCACTGTGCCTTTTCAAAACTGGAACAGATTTCTAGTTCTCAAAGGGCCAAGTAAAGAAATCCATTTAAGAGTGCAAGGTTTCAGGACCCCCCCTTTGCAAACTTTTATTCGTTGGGACTATATCACGACAAGAAAGATCAGAGAAAGAGATCGGGCAACCAGTGAACACATATTGTAAGTCATACTAAATGCAAGAATACAAAACCTGGTTGACAAATATCAGAGGTGAAACATCCCTTAAAACAGAGGTGGGGTTATATCAAGATTCCAAAAGTAAATGCCACTACGGTTTAGCTGGTCAAGAGTTTAGAGAAACAGAAAAAGAATGTGTGCAGTCACTTCTGGCAAATGTAATGAAAAGACAATTTAAACAGAGACCTTCTGCATTCACAAATGCACCCAGACACACATACCTCTTTCCTCTCCTTCTCGGACATCCCAAATTGGTAGTGTCCCAGCAGGAATGGCCACACCTCCTTACGGAGCGAGGGCTCGACTCCCCCGAAATACACCAGCCTCAGCAGTTCCTGCTCCTCGTAGGCCTATGAGGAGACAGAGGCTGTGAAAGGACAGCGTGCCAGGGGTTCACACGGACACACAGACTGTAACTCGTGCTCTTCTGATTCCAGAAACACGGACCTGGCGTTTACAGTCTGAAATGTTTGGATGAACACACAGATGTAACAGGAAATACTTTTTTTCCCGTTCAGAAAATGTACACATTAAAGAAATCCTTCAAATATAAAGGCTCTAGTTGGTTATATCTATCAAAGCAGCATGATGAAAGGCAGGTACCTCTATTTACTCCCTGCAATGTTCCCTTGAGTGTTAATTAAAATCTAAAACAGCTGAACAGTACAAGACACCTGTTTAGAGGTCTTACTTACTGCAATGTCATTAAAAAAAAACAAACAACATACAATTTAACCTATCCAAGAATGACAAGCTGAAGACATGTTAAGGCCAAAAAGTTAAGGCCATTAGTTAAGGACGAATGCTCTTTTCTATTTATTATTGTAGTGGTCATAAATGAATCAATAAGTTGATATTTATTCCTTCTATTTAGAAGTGACTTGTTTAAAGCATTGAACATACAATTATTTTTGTCTTCCCTGTTACAAATGTAGACCAGCCAATTCTCATTCAAGCCATCCTGCTACTATGTCTTGCCCTCCAACCTCATGCACATAATGTCTTCCTACTGTAGGTAATGCAGCAACAGTGGTGGTCCACTGTGGTCTCAGTGAGCCAGAATAGGGACAGCAGGGCTTGAGCATCAAAGGAGAACAAGAAAGGCACTGACAACCACTAATCCTGTTTGATCATCCACAGGAATCACTGTGGGTGGCCCCTTTGGAAGTCCTCACCAGCTCTGACAAACCCAGTACCAGCTGTGCTTGGCCAGCCTAGCAACCTCAGTGCCATCTTCACAGATTGCAGGACAGTGCCATACATTTAAAGTAAAATCAGAATGGAATTTCACTGCTACCCATCAAAAGGCTCCTCTTATATCAAAACCTATTCAATAAATAATACTTTGTGCATCAAAAAGATATATATTGAGAGTAGTTAAAAAAAAATACTAAACAGAAAAATACATCTCTGCCTGTTTATACCAGAGGTGTTTCAATATAAATATTCTGATGAGCAAAAAAATACTGTAACAAAATGCACACCCTTATAAGTGGATAGTTTTGTTTAAGATGATTTGGGCATATGCTATTTGCTTTGTAAGTCCGAGTGGAGGGTGCAGACCTTCTCCATTCCCAGTGATAACAGTTGATTAATTAGCTGTTTACTTTTGCTGGATTTATCCTAAAATTATAAAAGGGATGGTTAAAATGATGGAGGTGAGGGACTCCCACGTGATAGTGACTGGATCTTACTGTACAGTCCTGAAGGTATTTCTGCCAGATCTCAGCAGTCAGCCCACCCCTGGCGTCCTGTGGGACATCCGGGTCCACGATGGTGTGGTTGACCAGAGCAGATAGGTGGGTTCTCACAGTGGACAGATGTCGGCAATACGCCAGCCCTAGAAGGCAGAGATAAGATGATAGCAATAATACCATCTTCATGAAAAGTCACTGCTTACACACCTCTTAAAGCACAATGCAGAATGTAATTTTCTTTCTACCACAGCCTGCTCTGACATGACGTTTCATAAGCATTCTGCAAAAATGGTGAAGAAAAATGAGCTTTAATAAGCATGTGTATGTATATGAAATATTAGATTCATCACCAGTTGATTCTTTCTATCAATATTTTTCTACAAAAGTCCTTGAGCATTTTTTATCAGCTGCTGATATTACTTCAGTATTTCATTGCAAGACACTGCGTATCTCTGGGGAAAGGCAATTAAGCAAACAGGTGTCTGTCAAGCCTTTAAAGGCTCACATTATTTTAGTGGCTCAGCGTGGATGTGAGGCAGAAGGAAAAGGGGAATGTTTACATACAGCCATAGAAAGCCCGGGAAATGATCTGATACTTCATGTTGTCACAGAGCAGCTTCAGGGGAGCCCTGTAAACACAATATATGTCTTTCACCACGCACGCTGTGCAGTTCACAGTCCTTTCACAAGATATTACTCAGCACTGAAAATATCATTAAGATTATATCTAGATTTGTTTAGAACCCACGCTTGTGTTTCTCCAGGAATTCGGACTGATAATTAGAAACCACAAATAATTTTGTGGTGTTCAGTTTAAATTCCCTCCCGCACTCCAGCCTTTTAATTGGAATCGACTGATCATGTACTGTACGGTAGGTCTATTAAATACCAGAGGTTAATTCATTGACATATATATTTATATCCTGTATTTATATATAAGCCGTAGGAAAAGAATGCTTGGTATTCAGTGATGCAAGTGTAAGACAGATGTATAATGTCAAATGTCCCTGTTTGAAGAAATATGGAGCAGGTGTAGTGCATTGGCAGAAATAATACAGCATCTACACAGTAGGTACATGAAAACAACAATAATTGAATTCCAATGACTGTGCTGGATTAAGAGCAGCGTTCTCTGGGAATACAGATTGCTACTTTACCTCTCATGGTTGCAGCCGTTCAGGGGCCCGCCGTCCGAAGAGGCACTTTGTGAACAAGAGGAGCAGGAGGACTTCCTGGCAGTAGGGTGCCACATGGCAGGCGCCTGCTCCATGAGGTCCTGTGGAACTGATCCGAATGCCACAGCCTTGTTAATACAGGACATACTTTAACTGGACACGTTCTCAGCAATACACCCCTTTCCAAAACCGCAAGCTGAGAAAAACAATTCTCATCCGTCACTGCTGGCAATAATCACGATAGACAAGAAGGATAAATCAAGCTGAATCTCATCAAAGCCGATTAAGAAACGTTAGCTCATGCTTTTCAAGAATCCCATAGCCTTATCAGTCTGTGAGGTGAGTCAGGATATTAAATCCAGTGAGAGCTGCGCTATAATATTTTCTTGGTGTGACTCCATCATTGTATTGGTTAAGCAAATTTAAAGCTGTTTCAAAGCCCATGCTTTGTTTGAATAAATGTGAATTACAATGTATAACACTGTAGTATGCCAGTGATACTCACTCGGTCACCTTCCAGTTCAAGCAATACCTGGCTTTTACAAGCAAGGTAGTGCTTACATTGGATAGACTGCTGTATGGCTGTAGGACCCAAGTAAAAGATCCCAAAAGCATGAATGAACACAGTGTGCCTGTGTATTGAACTGGATAAACGTCCTCCATATGTACAGCTGTTGATGAAAGTTTGCCATTTGTCAGCAGAGTTGGGGAATCTGCCCAGAAACACAAGATACAGCCTTTTCTTTTCTGTCTTAAATCAAGTAAATTTCCACATGACTTGCAAAAACCCTCGTCCAGAAGATAAATTATTATTCTGACGCCCCTTTATTGAAGATGAGCCCTTGATTAGTCATTTAAGGTCAGAAATCAATGAGCAGAGTTAAGGAGAACGTGCAGCGCCAAGGCGGATGATGATTCAAAGGTGCCCAGGAGGGGTCATGTGGAGAGAGCTGGCGAGAGAACACAGCCAGGGACAGGCAGCTGAAGCAGCCAGGGAAAGTGCTGCCTTTCGGCAAAAGGTGACAAAGACAACATTACGGCCACGCTGGGTCCGGCCCAAGGGGGTTCCTGGGAAACTGGAGGAGCGTTTGGGGATGACCAGGGACCGGCCCGCGGGGGCCCACGGAGGTGTTCGTCTGGGCAGTCGCAGGGAGAGGGAGCGGGACAGGGGCAGAGGTGCACCACCGGAGGGGGGGCAGGAAGAGGAAGTAATGGTCACTGGAGGTGGGGAAGAGAGAAAGATGAGTGGCCTGTAACACAAAAACAGGGCGCAGTGGCAAGAACGAACATTTAAACAATGAACATGGGGCTGGAGAGCGAAAACTAAATGAACATCTTAAATGCAAGGAAAAAATCTGAAGATACAGGACCAAAAAATAAGAAATGGAGTTTTCATTCTGGATGCTCATACCTGTACATTGATGCAGTATGTGAACTGAAAAACAGCAACAGCTTGCCTTTTTAGTAGCTTCTTCCGCACTGCCACATTGAATTCGTTCTCAAATTTACTTACCAAACTCAGACTGACTTCCGGGGAACAGAATCCGAAACACGTAATCGGTAGCTTCATCTTCCTCTTTGTCCGAGACAGACTCTGAGGACCCTTGGGGGCTTCTCTTTCGAAGTTTGGGGAATACCTTTCCCTGACAAAACAGTTTTTTGCCATCATTCATTAGTTCTGGAAATGTTTTTCTAAAATGTCTTGACACTGGATTTTCTCCAGTGAGTTTTAATTTGAAGACACTTTTTTTTAACAAAACAATTTCTTGTAGTCAAAACCTTTTGTGAGCGATGTGTTTCTCCTTCATCAAAGCATTGTATTTCTTTTCATTTTCTTCTGTTAACCAAAGGTTATGGTTGTCAACAGCATCCATAAAAATCTCACTTACAATACAGACACACAGATGTTTCTGCAGAAACTACAAGAAGACAGGTGCATTTCACCAGGTGTTGAAAACACTACATTTGTCATGATAAATGATTGATTTACATATAATCAGCATTTTAAAAAGGTTTATAAAGACTTTATAAAAACAGTACACATTCATTGAAGAAAGGAAGGTCTTTCCAAAACAATATATTTTATCCTGAGCTCCACCAGAGGAGCACTGCTTTCCTGCCCATATACCCTAGTGTGCTGTCACTACTGCAGTGGTTTCAACTATCATTAACAATGGGATATGGTCAAAAAAATACAGAACTATTTCAGAAAAGAATAATGTGAATGACAAAGCTCTTGGGATAAGGCTTCATGTTCTCTCTTAGAAAGTAACAGGCCTTTCATCATGACACTGAACCCCTCTAGGAATTTGTTCTCTCTCACTTTCTTTAGCGGTGATAGGCTTCATCAAACAAATCCCATCTCACGAGTTGAGGCCTCTCTTTAAGATATTTTTTTTCCAATATCTTTGTTATTACTCTGATGCAGCAGAAATATCTGTAATGCAGTGAACTTCCACACTTCACTGATCCACAAAACAGCAAAAACTCCTGTATTGTTCGTCTCATAATTGACCTGGAAGCAAAACCCGTTTAACTCAGAACAATAGATGCTGTTCTATCCCCAGTACATTAACACATAAGCTGAGCTTCATGCAGAGATTGTGTTTAGCAGTGTTTTGGCACTAGCTACCTTAAAGCAAGATAGCCTCAACCCATGTTTCCAGAATAAATGAAGCTAATGTCAGGGATCAAACTGAAGATTTGGACAATCCAGCTATATTTAAACATACTGTAGCACCACGTGGGGTGGGACTACGGAACTGTATAAAGCGGGGCGGAGGCTGGGAGACAGCCTCTTCCCCTCGTGTGTGTGTTAGTGAAGGTGCAGTGCTGTAACCCCTGTCCCTGTGTGTGTACCTTTCCTGGTTCGAGTTAATAAATGTGTTGCTCAACCCCATGCCCCGAGTCCCATGCCTGCTCCATTCTGTACCGAAACCCGCGGTTGTTACAATACTTATCCAACCTCCAATATAGTTCTGAACAGCACAGGACTGTTTCAGAACACTGCAGGTCATATCAGCTTCACAGCCAGCCTCTAGCTACCTTACCTTTCCTCTCTGCGACCAGAGTGGGGGGTCAAGCTGCCCGTGGGGAAGTAGCCCATTCTCCAGACAGGACAGGAACTGCAGGAGGTGCCCCCCTCTGGGGAAACGCAGGGGGGGTCTCTGGATTCCATCCTGGCTCACCAACACCACTGTTCCACCGCTGTCGACTGGGGAAAAAAAAAAACAGCACCCGTCATCACAGGCACCTCCACGTGGAAACACGCCATCGCCATAAAACACCCCTCTGTGAACGCCGTCACAACTGATTTCAGCTTCCACTCCCCCCTTGTGAATCTTTCCAGATTCCAGAATATTTGAAACATCAATCTGCAGGGAAATCCCTGAAGAAGGCCTACATCTGTAACCACCTGGCAATTATCCGGAATAAGCTTGAAAGGTGCACTGCTTAAACAAGAAAAAAAACATGAAAGGCAATTCACAAGTGATTGTTTACCGCATTTTCTGAATACTGATCGGGTGAAGAATTTATTTAAATCGGTGCTTTCAAAACTCATTATCAACAAAGAAAAATCGATCACAGTTCTCTAGTTCACTCTGTTAACTTAGAATGAGGGGGTAGACATTGCTAGTATGATAATTAAACACTGCTCTGCATCACAGAATATCTGCTCTTATTCTCCAGATAACAAATGAAATTGTACTAGAACTAAACTGCTGCATGCAAGCAAACTCGAAACCATGTCACAGGATAAATGAACAATTTCTCCTGCATGATTCTTCTCCATCTAAAGTGCCTGTCATGACTGGATTCAGGGGCCCTTTGTTCAATACACAAGATGCACTCAGGAATAATCTAGCTCTGACAGGTCAGGCAGGCAATACCAAATCACAAAGGTATTCTGTCTGTCCAATTTTATTGGGTCAGACGATAAAAGAATTACAGTAAATGTGCGAAAGTGCAGTATTCCCATGGCAAAACTGTAGATCTTCAGTAAAGTAGATTCTGGTTGTCATTTTGCATTTTACACTTTAACAGCGCTTCTAATTTCAAAGGTGATAAATCTAAACATTAAACGGCATGCTGCCTCTGATGAATGTGAGAGAAAAAAAATAAAGTCTGCATTGAGAATGGATCAAGGAAACAGACGCCAGGAAATTTTCATTTCAAATGACGAAATTAGCTGCTGCTGAAAAAAATCATGATACATTTTATGTAAAACTAGTTAAGGAGACAAATTTAATGAATGCAACTAAGCTTAGAAACACGCAGGATCTGATGCAGAGACGCACTGAGATCTAAAGGCCATACCCTGCTGGTGACAGTGCAAATAGACAATCTCTTCCAGACGGATCGTCATGGCATAGTCCCAGTAGACGCTGAAAGAGACAACATCAAAGATATTATTACAGAGAGAGCCACACTAGTTACCTGGAAGGCAAAGAGATCTTTGAAAAGCAGCTGAAACTCTGATGAGGACATTTTCCTTCAGTGCAACTGCATCAACATTTTTTTTAATGCATTTGTCACCTAGGAACAGTACTGTATTTAAACTGAAGGTGTCAGAGCACTGGAGAACTAAAGGCAAACCTAACTATAGCTGATGTTCTCAATGAATTCTAACACACTGTCAGAAGGAATTTCAGTTTCACAAAAGCACAAGATAACTGACAATCTAAAATCTTTTTTTCCAAAGTCTAGAACAAAAACATAATGGCTATTTCACTGCTGTTTAATTAATAACATACATTTAATCTCAGAAATATGATACTTAAATATACTCTAAAATGAAGAGATAGTTATGTGCAAAACCCACTTGATAGGCCTTTGGATTTTCACAATTTCCCTTTAAAGACTGCAGTTTATTTCATATCAACAGGATAAATTAATCTATACCGAGGAAATTTCAATTTCAAATACATGTATCTGTATTTCTGAGATATATTTCCACTCACATTTTTAATGCAATGCAGTAAAAAGCATACAGCACCTTTTTTTTTAAGAAGAAAACATTAAAACATTAAAAATCCACTCCTGTCCTCCAGTTTTAATAGATTCCTCTATGAAACAATTTCTCATAACCATCACCATCACCATGAGGACATGAGTGGCCCTCATAGTTATTGCTAACAACACTTCCTTGGAAATGTTCGTTCCAGGATATTAAGCCCAAGATGATTTAGCAGGCAGAAATAAAATACTGCAAGGATCCTTAAGTTTTCTGGGAGCAGGATTGCTCCAAATCACATTGCCACAGCTTGAGGAGTTTGTGAAATCCGCAGTAAAAAGATTTGCATCTCATTTGGAGGTGTTATGTATAGGTAGTGCCCTAAAAGATATGCACTACAAGCTTCTACAGCCAAAGAACCGTTTTGATAATATATTCGTTACAACCATCACAGTAGTACATTTCTGTACAGTAAAAACTATGTTCCTATACCAAGTTCCAGGACTGAAAATGAACAAACAATACATCTTTGATGTGGTGAGTGACATACCCATTTTCATGATAGCGGTGCTTTGTTTATTCATTATGAACAATATATTTTTTCCAATTTCAGGGCTATATGATTCTCACCTTTTCTCGTAATCCAAGTCCCCAACTGAGCCATTCATCAGCTGGTTGGGTGTCCACTTGAGAGTCATGATGTCTGCAGTCTGGTGAAGAGACAGGTACCCAGGAATCGCCTCCATATCATCCCTCTGGTAGAGAGGAGAACAGCAAGAATGGTACGGTTTCTCATCAAAAAAAGCCCAGAATTCTTCTTGTTTACTCACAGCTGGCAGTGGCTGTTCTGTGCATAAATACTGGAACAAAATGACAAGTAGTACTTCTAGGATAGAGCAGCAGCAGTGGGGGTATTGATTTTAATGTTGGCACACTGCAACCAGCTACAGATAATTGAACTTTAAACTGCTGTCTAAAATAAACTGTCGGCGCTTTGCTTGAAAGGGCTTCCAAACGTAGGCCAAAATATTCTCCTAGAAATTTTAAAGTCATAAAAGTAGGCAGCCTAACAACAACAAACACAGTTTTAAATTAGAATTAACATACCTACTAGGTAAGACAGAATTGGATGGTACCATTGATAATGGTAATGCACAGTTAAAATAGAGGACCATTATTCTAATGTATAGACAAATCTTCTAATTAATCTTAATTGCTTAATTTTGTGATTCCAGATACTTAATTATTAAAATAATAACAAGACAGATCACTGTACAAATTAAGCTGCTTATTGCTCCTAGTGAAGTACTGTAGTGGAGTGAAGCCTTGCTTTATAGACAGGGGTCCTGCCTGTCCAGGTAAGCAGATGTCTCATACCGGCTGCACAAGGACGTTATTCTTGCCATACAGCAGGGTAGCTCTGGAATTCTGGTGCAGTGATTCCACATAATCCCGAGCCGACATTGAGGGGCGATCGTCCATGCTCCCACTGGAGTGCCTCTTCTGGATCTACAGAAAAGCATGCCATCCACGTTAGTGCCACCCCTCCTTGAGTCACTGTGTGCATGCAAGCAGCACACCGCTTCCTAGCGTCACTCGATTGTCAGGTTAACACCTTCTTGAAGGTATTCCCTTTGGATTTTTGCTGGTGTGTCAAGAACTGTGCCTGGAAAAAACACTGTTTTGTGTGTATTCTGAGTGCTCTGTACACCTAAACCACTTCCTAGGACATACTGTTTTCAGTGCAGCAAACCAAGTTCTGAATATTGATATTGTCATTGTATCTATAAAACTATAGTATTGCTGTTCAAATTGTATCTGGAGATAAAATTGGCATCCAAATGCCATGCAATTATGTAGACAAACTGATAAAAGATAGTAGTTATGAACTGTGTAAAAATAAATAGTATAAATAGTAGTATGTAGTAATAGTAAATAATAGTATGGATAGTATAAAATTATATGAGACAGTAAATAAGACCTAAAATTAAATACTTCTTGTAGAATTTTCTTATACTGTAGTATAAGATATGTGAAATTCTATGTGATATGCAAAGGAACAAGTAATAGGTTTGTTCCATGCTGAAAAGAGGAGAGAGAAAACACAATATTTTGGCTGTGAAGCCTTCTTCAGGTGTGAGATATATGTTTATATGTTTCTTATAGTATATGATATGTGAAAACAGAGTTAAAGCCTGAATTATCAAAATTACAATAAGATTATGTTTACAACTGTTTTCATATGTGGGCAAGTTAGATTGAGGTGGTGTAATTGCCAGTATTGTTACTGCTCCATTGCTGCATCAAAGCCTCATTAAAGCCTCTCAGCAAAGGAGGTATCAGTCATATGAAGAAAATGCCAAGAGAATCTCATTCTGCGTTGCCTTGTCATTCATCAGGCCTCCGTAACACACCTGCAAAACAGTGCTGAAGCAGGTTTCCCATGCTAAAGTAAAATATCAAAATCTATTAGCAATTCTCTTTTCGGTTTCAAAGTGCCCGTGTTATCCTTGAGACAACAGCCAAGTCAAATAAGAGCAATGTTTACATCCCCATGCAAGCTGTAGTTAGAAAGAGGGAAAACTCAATAGATGACACAGTGTGTCCGTATCTTCTGGGCTCTTTAAGAAATGGCGGCTCTCCCTCTTGCCCCTATTCCCAGACTCACACACAGCGCGGGACGCTTCGTAGGGGAGTCCTGCCGGCAGTGGGCACTGTGAATGCGGTGCCTCTGGACCAGCTCGTCCGCAGAAGGGTCTGTCCAGAAGTGATCCGCCGTCTTCATCTTGGTGTACTCCAGCGCACACGGACCCACTGCGGGAGCAAACGAGCTCTGCGTGACTCCCATGGGGAGCTCTGCTGCGTTCCGTACTCCCACGCCCCCTGTCCTCCACCACCCCCTCAGTCCCAACCTCTAATTGTCACCCCAGGTGTGCATGCACTTAACCAGTCTGTCTACAGCTCTCCAGTTCTTATAAGATAAGATCAGATCACATCACTTTATTGGCCATACACAATTTCTTGTATTAGGAAATTGCTTTTTCACATACCCCAACTTGCTCTCCATGAGACACACAGACAGAGAGAGAAGCTTGGGGTCAGGGCGCAGGGTCAGCCAATTATACGGCGGCCCTGGGGCAGCTGGGGTTGAGGGCCTTGCTCAGGGGCCCAAGGGAGTAGGATTCCATTGCCGGCCGTGGGATACGAACCGGCAACCTTCCAGCCACAGACCCAGATCCTTAGCCACAGAGCCACCAAACCGCCCCCAGGGCTGCCGATATGGCTCACTCTGCAGCTCACAGCTGGCAGCCCCACTGAAGCTCAGCAGGTCTGAGCCTGGTCAGTACCTGGATGGGAGACTCCTTGAAAAAACTAAGGTTGCTGCTGGAAGAGGTGCTAGTGGGGACACTATACTTTGAAAGGCACAGTTCTTTGGATGAGACGTAAAACAGGTCCTGACTCTCTGTGGTCATTAAAAATCCCAGGGAGTTTCTCAAAAAGAGTAGGGGTGTTACCCTGGCATCCTGGCCAAATTTCCAATTGCCCTTTACCTGCAAGTATGCAAGTAAAGCAAGTATGCAATTTACCTGCCGACATGCTTTATTCATCTTCAAAAAATCATGCAGCCTTATAATTTAATGTTTACCAATCATGGCCTCCCAATAATCCCCATCTCTGAATTGGCTTCATCACTCTGTTCTCCTCCCCACTGATAACTGATGTGTGGTGAGCGTACTGGTGCGCTATGGCTGTCGTCGCATCATCCAGGTGGGGATGCACATTGGTGGTGGTTGATGGGATCCCCATTACCTATAAATTGCTTTGAATGGCGTGTCCAGAAAAGCTCTATATAAGTGTAAGCAATTATTATTATAAGAGACTGCCAGCATCTTTCTCACGATTCTTCCCAGAACAGATCAGGAGGAAATAAAGCTGCTTCACCTTACCTAACAAGGAAGCAAGGATTGGCCCATCGACAGGATCCATCAGCACGGCCTCCTTCTCGTAGTACTTACTAAAGGACAAAGCAAGTATGCAATTTATCTGCCGACAAATCTGGCCACTTGTAACTAATCTTAGCAATGCTTTATCCGTCTTCAAAAAATCATGCAGCCTTATCATTTAATGTTTGCTGTTTTCTCATCCTGGGCTCGCCCACCTGCTATTCTCCACAAGATAGAGCACAATCTTGTCGAGGACCTTCTCAATGAGGGCAGTGCGAATCCACAGGTGCTTGACGGCCTGCGGAGAAATACTGGGCAGCTTCTGCAGCTTCCTGGAACTCTCGTGGTTCAGCGGGACTTGGTTCCTTCTGCATTGACAAGAGCCACACCAGAAGAAGCTGTGGAGGACTGAGCTCTCAATGTCATTTGAAAATCAGTGGATCAACGACAATAAATGATTTGTGCTTTATCTGTCCATCCCTCTAGTCAAGGGTTCACACAATGAGAGCAAAGTCTCACACGGATTAATTGACAGAGCAATTAGATCTACCATAAAATGCTACAAAATGTTCAAACTGTATAGGGTAAGAATTTGAATTGATATTTCTTTTCTCCAGTGAATGCATTAATTTTGTGACTCATGATTCTTTTGATCATTGGTTTAAATGCATATTAGAACTTTCTTTTGAAAAAACACAATAATGGAATAGTTTCAGAACCAGCCACAAACTTGCTCTCTTACAACCAAATACCCCTAGCACTGTGAATGAATTTAGTCCTCATATGTTGTAGCCCAATCATCTGGATATTGAATGAACAACATGAAGAATAATGTGATATCATGGATTATTAAATTATCTTCTGTCCTCTTATTATATCTTGGAGAATAGGATTGTGCAACGTCATGCAATAACTCATTAAAACCACGCAAAACAGAGAGAGCCTTGCTATCCGCGGGTCTGCTATCAAGCAGCTGTTCATGTAAAGTGCTGCAGCTTTACAGTGGCGCAGGCATGAGTTACTTGTTCTCGATGATCTGCTCCAGCTCCTGGGCCTTCCTGCAGAGCTCCTCTGCCAGGGGAAAGCTCTTGCCCACCTTCATGAACAGGGCAGCGATCTTGTTACTCCGGAGGAACCCGGCTGCTCGACGCTTCAGCCCGTGCAGGACACACGCCTCCACCGCAGCTGCACACACAGAAATCACATCAGACCAGGGTCCTGGGACCCAAAAGCATCCTGGCCGCAATTCAACAAGAGCTGAAAAATTGACTGACGTGACAAATGTCTGACAGCTTTTCTTTTTTTCTTGTTACACAGCCACCTGGTTTGCAATTAAAAAAAAAAAGCTTTTTCTAAGATTCAGCCCCTCTTTATTACTCTCCTACTATACGTGGGGACCTGCCCACCTCTGAGAGCAGCTCCACAGTGCCTTACGGGTGAGTTGGCACTGACTGGAGGAGGAGTATGCTGTCATCATTGCCAGTTCACCTTTTGGTCAAAAGCTGCAAGCCCCCAGTAGACTAACATGCATCCCATCCAATGTCCTCTGCCAACTGAGAAGCATTGCTTGTGGATTCCTGGTCATAGTGGGCTAGTTACATGACACAGATTTAGGCCGATGAAGCCTAGACAATATGACTCAATCTGTGCTCTGAATAAGCACCTTTAGTTTTTGAGCCACTTGGTAGCTTGTACCCTTCAATACCAAAGCATAGACTTGATGCCCCTGTCAAACTCAAATGTATACAGTACATAAATAAAGATGACAGTCACAGCCTTGTGTGTAAAGAAAACCATGACTCCACATGGCTGGCCATATGTGGTGTGGTAATAAACTCTCCACTCCTGGAATCATCCCATACACGTGACACATGCCTGCTGACAAAGTGCCAGAGTTATATAATTTGCTCCTTCCAATTAATATCCCTATTTACCTGATGCCAGCTTGTAATAAGGGCAGGGACTGACATAATAGTTCAAGCACTTAGCAAATCAGTCGAGAATGGAAACTGCATTCAAACTACAAAAAGGCACGCCCTGTCCTATTTGTAAAAACAACACCCTTATTTCCAAGGAGTCATTGATATTCAGCTCTGAAAAAGATGTTGAATACCTTTACCTAGCAAAAACAGAATTGGTTTCCCTTCAGCTAATTAATGCTAATTTGTTTATAAATCCCTGTCCGTCACACACAGGCACGCTTCCTCTAGGCTTTGCCTGGCACAGTCTGTACAATGTTGATATCAGAGCTCTCTCAGAGGACTAATCTTTCCTGCTCTGCACGCATAAGGTCGTGCAGACTGCTAAGGTTGTCATGGAAACCCTGGATGATGGAGCTCCTGTGATAGGTCTGTATGTAAAGAGAGGAAGACAGAGTGCTGGAAAGGCCTAGCATTTGTGACAGGCCTTTCCCTCTCTATCTCATTAACCACCTTCATCATCTAGTTAAGAGTTTGTTTTTAAAATGTTGTCATATTCTCCCGTTTCCCCTGTTTTCTCGCAGGTCTGTTTGTAGGACTAAAATGTTCATTTATACAATCTGAAACTCCTGCAGCTGCAACAAACAAGAGTCCATCAAGAAAAAAAGCTTTAAGTTAAACAGTGTGTTTACAATGATTGGATCACATAAATGAATACATATTGGTACAGGTTGTATTGCTGGATCTAATTATAGCACAGAAACCTTTTTCTGTTTGTTTAACGATAGTCTTTTCAGATGTTTGTTTAAGCCAGTGTAGACATTAACAGTGCAATTATGGATCATAATCTTCTTTTGCTGTTGGCAGTTATCGAAAGATCACCTACAAAAAAGAGTGACTCTTGTCTGATCAGGCTATCGTTTCCTTATCAATAGATCAGTGCTAAATGACACAGTCTCCAAACAGATATCATGGAGTGCTCCTTTCATAACTTGCAAATGTTCTAACTGTTCTCCAAAGGTTTGAAATAAAACTGATATATATTAAACTGGATATAAAAATATATATTTTTGTTTAAACTCTATTGTGTCTAAATTTTGATTTTCAATATTAATGTTAAATTATGTCTCACAATAAATTGCAAGTTCTTTGTTAAATACTTTTTGTAATGTATGAAATAGTAAACACACAGTATATACTGCATATGTTGTTTTGGAATGATATTGGACTCTGTATGAAGTAGAAGACACTACCCGAATGAAGAGCAATAATACTGAAACAAACTGCCTTACTCTTGTCACATCTTTTGTTTAGTTTACATCTAATAAGGCGTTTTCGACTAAGGGTGAAGTAAAACGTTTTAGATTATTTCTACTGATGGGGACCAAAAGCAAAATGAAATAAGGGAATAAATCATAAATAGTTTGGGTGGACTGTTTTCACCTACAAGGTGAATAGCAAAAACTAAGAAATATTTTCCACTCCTGGGAAGAGATTAGAGCCCTCATTGCTCAGTCAGTGTTTAGTTATTTAACAAGAATAGCATGGCTGAGGCTAAAAAGTGGTGCCTTCTCTCGAAAAGGCTATGGATAAGTGATTCCTGCTTTCTCTGTAATGCTGAGGATACACAGATCTTCTCCTCCTATAAGGCTGAGGATAAGAGATGAATGCTTTTTCCATAAGGCCCTCATCTAAACTCTTCACACAGCAAATAAGAACAAGCATTTTCTTCTAAATAAACAGTTATTACTGAAACCCCTGGAAAAGAACAATCATGTCAGTTATAATAATGGCCAGCAATCAATTTGTCCCCCATTACCAGCTGCAATCCAAAGTGAGTGATTTCAAGCCTTGTGGTTACGGACAGAATTGGCAAGTGGGCAGGTGCTGCTCGGTGGGGTCTCTAGAACTACACTAAAAATAGCACCAGGCAATGAGACGTTGCCAGGAGATCCTGTAATTTGCCAGCTTTGCACCAGCCTGACTGGATTCTGCAACTGCACTGGGTTTTCAACAGCAATGAGGTGCCTTTACTTTAATAATTTGAATTGTTTAAAAAATAAAATCTCTAAAAACACAATTATTTTTCTTTTGGTTAATGTTGGTATGGTAAATATATGTGCTTGCAATCACGCACCACTATCTTTGTCCTCAGGTCTTTCAGATTTTCACTGTCAAGACGACAATAGTGGAGTTTGTGACTGTTTTGGACTCTGGTATTCCCAGCACTTTCAGCAACAATGTCTGATTCCCTGGCAGTACAGAAACACACTGCAATGAAACACTAGCAAGAAGCTACAGCTTTTCTTTTGACCAGTCCCTGGGATTCATTACAAAAGCCTTTAAGGTTTATCTTACCGTGTTTTCAAAAGTAGCATTCTGATGGGGAGCATTTCTAAACATGACTTATAAAATACAGGACAGTGGCATGATTTGTGGTCATTTTACCAAACTTACTCCAATACACAAAAAAGGTTACATGCCAGTACAGTACATTGAAATGAATCTCAACAAAGATAGAGGGAACAGAATTTAAAGGGGCATTTTTTACCTGAATAGGCCTGTGCCAGGTCATTACCACAGAAAAGCACATCTTAAACGCTTCCTAGTTATGACTTTGCTGCTATTTCTGTAGCATACCTATACTGTATGTCTGTTTACTTGTGCTACTCCATGCTCAACCTATCTTCTAGGATTCTTCATTACTATAAGGTTTTCTGCCAATAAGGCAGGATTAAAAATAGGACTCTTAAGAGTCAAGAATGTATTTGTATGGTTTACTAATATGGTGTATTGATTGCCCTTTGTGTGTAGTACTTTGTCATTTTTTATTTCCTTAGTTCTGTATCTCTTTGCATTGACTGTGATGTACCATTATTACGCAGCAAAGGGCATCTTTTTGCAGATGCAGCAGTCTGATGTGAAAGGTCACACAGCTGCTCTTGACATTTCTGCTAATTATGCCTCCAAATGGAATGAAGGTGAACCTTGACTTCCAAGGGCATTATAAACATTCTAGTGATCACTGGGCTAATTACTCCCCTGTGTGCTGTCAGGGCTGTTTTATTTATGTCCTAAAGGAGGGAAGCACCATAAAGCCAATTTAATTTGAATCCATATATTATGCATAGGAGGCCTAAACAGTGCATAATCAGGAGATGAGCCATGTTAAGTACACAAGAAGCAGGACAAGGAAATCTTTTTTCAGGTGAAAACATTAACTAAAAACATTACTTTGGATTAGTGTACCGGGAGATGCATTAGAATATCAGATAAAATGTTTCAATTCATAGGTTAAATGCTTAGCAGTCACTCCTGCTGATATCTGAATGTAGATGTCTGTAATACCTACATTGTAACCAATGAACAGCTCAGACTTACTGAATTGAACCATGCTGAATTTCATCTCACTTTTGCTCTCTTGTACATAATGATGCGGTAGTAATTCCAATTTACAATCAACAGAATGGTTAAGTATCTTCCCTGTGCAATGTTCATTTAGATTACTGAGAAAAGTTTTGAGACTTCTAATTCCTGTAAAGTGAAAAACAAGGAATCAAACATGCTTTATGTTTCCTAAGCCTTCATACCAAACAGGACCCTCTGTTGACTAACCTGAAGTACACATTTCAGAAGAGTAATCATCATTATTATGTTCACAGAACACTACAGTTAAGTTCTAATAAAATATCACCAAAAAATCAAGATGAGCTGAAAGGCCCCCATCTGTCTGTAGAGTTGTCTTGTGTTCGAAACTTCATATTCTGATATTTAAAATTCAAATTTTTTCAACAGTCATTTTTTCCCCAAATTCCAGGCAGGTCAATAATTGTGTAGTCCAAGCCTTCTTAAGTATTTTAGCTGTTGAAGCACTGAAATTCAATCATTACTCTTCTCAAATCTTTTCACAAAAAACAGAAAAATACACTTCCACTGATCAGATTCAGTTCAGTCCTGCTCAGAAAACCAAATCTGAAACAAAATGGTCCTGGCTGAGCTCATTCGGCCTTACCACTGTCACGCAATGTGAGCACGTCTCTCTCTCCGAGTGTAAGATGGTTTTAATAAAACATAATTCGGAGAAGATGCCCACAAGAGAGTCACCAGTATGAATATATGATGCAATAAATTAACAAACCATGAAAACCCCTCCCCCTCACTAATCCATCAGAGTCAATAGTGTCATATGCTGTGTATGCACCTGCCCACCTGAGACCTAGAACTATGGACTACTGAGACATGTGACAGCAGCAGCAGGCTGGAGGAACACAGCCCTGTCACAGAGCCCTGGCATGAAGCCTACCTGCCCAAGGATTCTTACTCCAGCCAAGCATGGCCTCAAGAACATTCCAACCCATTTAACAAATCAATTCACCGTTTTATTTTTTTGTTTTTTTTCAGTCTTAATCTCCACAAGCACAACATAACATCTTTGGGCCTTAGGTAAAAAAAAAATGCTTAAGACATTTTTTTTCACCTAAAGAATATTGCCCGCATTAGGCAATTTCTATCAGTGTCTGATGTTGAGGGCCTGATTCATGCATTTTTAACATCAAGGCATGCTTTCTGTAATTCTTTGGTCTATGAGCTCCCTAGCATTCTTCTCAGGTATGTGCAATATTTCCAAAAACCCACAGCTAGACTAACTCACACCAGACCAGGTTTTAAAAATCTACCTCCAGGGCCTACAGTATGTCTGATTATCCTAATGGACATTCTATCCCGTATGTTCTTGTGTCATTTTTCCTTTTACTTTTATTGTACTTTTGTGAATTTGTGCTTTATCATAATGTACAGCTTCCTTGTGTTTGGAAAAGACACTTTTAAAACAAAATTTTATTATTGTTGTTGTTGTTATCATCATCACAGTTCAACATACATGATTGCTAAGTACAGGAATATAGTTTACTCGTAAGAGAAATGCAAACATTCCATTGCTGCAAACCCTTTCAAAACTCTGAAATAAAAGTGAAAATACTTCTGTTGAAAATAACTTTACTTCCCAACACACAACGACATTTCGCAAATGGAGTTTTTAATGAAAGTTCGGGAGGAATGAAGGCAGCCGAGCTCATTTGACACAGCTGCTGCAATTCCCACTAATTCTGACGTAAGCAACCTGTCTCCATCTATATCAAACGTCACCGTCTCCTCTTCCTCGTTCCTTTTCTGCATCCCTCCTCCACCCCCTCTCCACCTTTACAGCTGCCCAATTGGTCACATGGGGGTCCTATCCTCCCCGTCCAACGGCCGGGAGGTTGGCTCTCAGCCAAGCAGGTTACGCCAAATCTTCACATCCCAATAAACGATTCTAACTTCTCCCACACTTAGTCATTCCTCATGAATGTATTGTTCTGCTTATTTTTAACCACGTAGAATAATCGTGTTTCACAGATACAGTGAATGGAGAATAATTTCAGCGATGCTGAGCCTATAGTACACCAAGGCCAGCTGTGCTTAATATTTCAAGAAGGAAACAATTACCACAAAAGAAAATCTTAAATAATCAGCTGGTATTCAGGAAATCAGGAAAGTTTCAATAAAACTCACCATTACAGAACAATTAGCATTATTAAACATAATTACAGCAGGTGATCGTTCTTTTAACCATAAAGTAGTACACAGCAAACAGACATAGGTCATATATGGGAAAGATACAGACTGTAGCACCTCATGGAACGTACAGCCAGATTCTTAACACCACAAAGCTTAAATTGAACACAGCATGTTTACTTACTTTTTTTCAATTAACAGTTTTGGAACGAACCTGCAAAGTGAGTTTTTAACTTCTTTTTTATTTGGTCCAGTAAGTGATAAATTGAGTTGAACCCTGGGTTTTGGAATTTCTACAAATTAAAGGGACGTACTGTATATTTAGACAACGTTTCAAAACAACTTTTATTATAAATAATAAAACAACTTTTATTAGAAATTTTATTATAACAGATTTGAAAACAAATTTTAAGCAGCAAAGTCACTACATAGTAAAGAAAGGCTTGTGATGAAAAACAAGTTTGAGTACCAGCAGCTTTATTTTTAGTTACCAATTACCTTATCAGTGTCATTACTTCTAATGTAAGTCTTGTGTTGGTTTCATATCTGACAGGCTTATTGGCTTAGGCTCAGCATTTTCCTCACAGATGTGAGTTATTTATTCAGAGTGTTGTCGTTCGGAGGGAGTGTTGTCGTTGTACTCTGCTACACTGCTAGTCTATATCCATTTAGCATTAAAAACAGAATTAGGTTAAATTCATGGATAATGTTCCCACAGGAGGGTAGACTGAATACCTTTAGCAGGTAAGGGAACACTTTGAATTTTGTAGATCTGAATTTTGTTCAGATTGTAAGGTTTATCCATATTGAAGTCACAGTAATCTTTCCTACATTATCCTTTAGGATCTCATATCACTATGTCGGGTCCGAAATTTGATCAATTATAATTCTTTCCATGATGATTACAAGTCATATATCACGTGTACAGATCATTCCCCTCCACACACTTAACATATGTTAATCAGCACCACAGCAGTTCCCTAATCAAAGTGACTATATAAAAACATCAGAAGGCCCCCACTGGAATTCAGCCATATGCTTGTGTCCTTCAAGTCAGTGCTAGCACGGACTTGTTTACTGTTTAATTAGCTTGTCTTTCCTGTTGAATCTTGCAAATAATTCAGTAAAATAAATCAGCATGTAGGCTCTTCCACAAATGTGTTGCAAAGCTACATAATACCAGAAGTAATTTATAGATGTAATCATCTGCAGTAATCCATGTTCATGAATGCTGCTTTCACTTTCTACCTAACATGGACTTTTAACAGAATAAAGCAATTTGCATCATGCTCAGACTCCCCCATACTTGCTAAATTCACTGTGCTTTGGAGGCAAGGAGTGATTCAAATCTCATCACAGTCTCATTCACTCTCATTGACATTTTCTGTAGAAAAAACATCAAATGAGGGGTGGTACAAAATGAACAAGTGAGCAGAGTGATTAAAAACTGTCTCATTCATCCTCAGTGGCTGGTAATTGATCCCTTTAGTCACCACATAGCCTGTAGCAATGGGATAAAGACTCCTTTAAGGCAGTCTGTAAAATACATTTAGACCTGAGTTCTCCCTCATCCTCTATAGTTTCTCCCATGCCAGGGACTAAACCTAAATAGCATTGCTTAAACAGGGTTCTCACAATCCCTCGTCTTTGATAAACAAAGGAGACGTATCTTGGTCTCTGTGTGAGCTCATCCAGTAAGTGGTGACATCGCAAATAAATAATGCAAAAAGAGAAATGAATAAATAAACAGTTGCCAGAATTTGTAGGCATTTCATGTTGTGTATAAGGAACCTTCATTTTGACTCACCACAGAAGGACACGATGTGACTACTGTCCTCATGTACAAACTTTCGGGTCACTGCCTCCTCCATAATCTGCTTCACCTAAGGGAGAGAACACCATCAGCAATCAACAGCAGGTTTTTCTCTTGTTTTCTTTGTCGTACTTTTCAAACACGGACGACAGTGCAGTTTAAAATCTCAAGTGCTTCCAAAAAGTAGGAGACATGTAACAATATGAACAATTAGATTTAGGTCTTGGGTCAATAACAAATGAGATTTCACGCTTGTCCTACAAAAATGTCTTATTTCAAGCTGGGACTTTCGAGTTTGAGGCTTGCTTGTGCACTTTTTGTCTTTTTTCAACAAAGCTTCTACTGAAAAATGGAATACTAATTATTCTCCTGAAATCCCACACAGGGAATCTGGCTTGGAAAATGCCCAAGATCAAAGAGTGTGAAAGGATAAGATGAGTACTGGTTGCCTAATGGAACATCATCAATACCCATCCATTCCAGTGCCAATTTATGTCTCCTTTTGCAAAGTTTCACGGTGCCAGCAAATTCTGAAGGAAAAGCATGAGTATTCTCTTACAGATTGCCTCCAGTAACATGAGTCACATCAATAAACGTACTTCATAATGGCTTCCTGCCCAATTTTGGGGTTGTAACAAGTATCAATCAATCAATAATTCCTTATACTTATTTAATTATTTTCTGGACACTCCACTCAAAGCACTTTACAGGTAATGGGGACTCCCCTTCACCACCACCAGTGTGAAACACCCACCTAGATGATGCGATGGCAGCCAGAGTGCGCCAGTACCCTCACCACACATTAGCTATCAGTAGGAAGGAGAGCAGAGTGATGAAGCCAATTCAAAGATTCAAGAACACTTCAGTACAATGAAAACAATATCTTCTTGATGATTTAACCACGATGAATCTGTTTATCAGAAAAACAGCTCCTCTAAAAACAGCTTTGAGGAGGTCGGAATGATACAAAACAAACTGGCAAGACAGGAGAAAGAGATGACAGGTTTGAAGTCATAATTAAAGTGATGGGATGTGACATCGAGGGCACCAGCTGTTGGTGTTAGGGGCTTAATGTTAGCATTTGCCCACACTTCCATATAGTCAGAACAGCTATTCTGATTCTTCTTGCCCCTGAGCTCTGTTATTTTATGTTTCAGCATTCCTTCAAGGTCAGGATTTTGTCTGTATAGCTAACATCTAACATTTAAAATTCCTTTTCACATTCAAAACATGTATTCAGCCCTGCTCTGCCCTGGTCAGGATTCAATCAATCCCTGAGGGTGGGCTCAGAGCTAGACTCCACAACACCAGCTCTTCAGCTGTGGGAGAACTCTACACAGTCTAGGTTTCAAAGGAGGTGACTTCGCTATCTGTAACCTGCTCGGCACCACAGAGCCCCATTACACTTGCACCTAAAATCTTCAATAGCAAACTTTTATACTGTCTGTTCACTTTATTCCCCTAGTAGCCAGAGCACACAGCACTACAGCTCTTAATTCTGTATAAAAGCACAAAAGCCAGCATGACTATTGCATTCACGATTAATTGTGGCTACACATGACTTCAGCTCAGCTGCAAAAATGTGTGTTTCCTCCATTAAGACTGCTATTGAATCCTTTTTTAGGTGCTGTGCTGCAGCTTCCAGTTTAAAATAAAACCCTCTTCAAACTTATGCTAATTCTACATCCACAGCTGCCAACATTTTCCCTTTATCAGTAAGCTTTTAAGATGGGGAGTTGCATTCTTTTCAATTAAAAATACCCATTTGATGTGCATTCTGGTAACAGACGTCCTAAAGAAATGTAACTGAATTCAGTCTGTGGATGGATAATGGTGTGTAAAAGAGCAGTTCTGTTTGTATGGCTCCAACACTATGAAGTAAAGATCTAGTTTCATTGAGCTATAGGTAAAATGCAGGACTTATTTAGATAATAAATTATCATTTTAGACTGTTTGAGACTTCGTATGTTTCTATTTAATTCACAACATACACCACTGAGGAGTACCAACCTCAAAAATAGGTAAAATTTAAAGATTCAATCATCACTTTTCCTGTGCTTATTAGTAATTATCCTAATGCCTAAACAGCAAAAACCTTGACCTTTAATGTCTATAGGTGTCCTTGACAAACCTTTTGACTTATACATACACAATAGGATGCTCTTTTGATAATCTTTTGTCAGCTGACCTTTTGTCCAGAATCAACCGCTAAAATCGGAGGATACTACACTGTAGCTCAACACGTTCTTAGGATTCCTTGAAAACACAGGTGTATCATGAGCAACCATACACCAGCACCACTCCTCCTTCCTATACCATGAGCTGTGAAGGTCAAAGGGCAGTGGTGGATACAAGTCAGGCAAACAGGCTCACTCATTCCAGCGACTCATGCTCTTCCCACACCCCACACACAGACACACGTACAGTACTAACATTGTCACTGCACACTGACATCCTCACAATCCCTTAATGTGCCTGAAGGAAAGCAATTATGAACTCAATTTTTAAATTATGATAAAGGCATTATTAATTCTTTACACTTGGAATGATGCCTAAAAACCACAATTTGGAATGCTCTGTAATCAAAGGAGCAAACTCATCTGTACAGGTACCATACAGACTTCACCCTGGAATCATGCCAATGCAATCTTCTGATGTTAAATAGATGTCTTCCTTTCTCCTGAACTTCTGATTTTCCTTTGAAACACAGCAATGTGCTGCAAATCTTCACTGCTAAACATATGTGTTGATTTGCAGAACCTTGTTAAAACTTGACAGTGTAAAATGGTCTACAGGCCTTGAATTGAAAAGTGTGATATTACAGGAAATGAAAGAAATAACTCTGTCATTCAAAGCTCAGCCAGAGCTCTCATATATTAAATCTGCAGCTGATAATTAAATTGTTAAATATAAATAAAAATATGCCATATTTAGACTGTCCCCATTTCAAACGGAGCTTTCAAAAATTTCTACTCCAGTGAAAAGCATTTTTTCTTTTGAAAAGCTACAACAAAACATACAGATTTTATGTCTCGTTTTCATTGGATTTTTACTACTAAACCTGATGAAAATTTTGCTCAACAGAAAAAATCATCATGAACAGTAGCCAAAAGAAAAACATAGCATGCTACAGGAAAATTAAGTAAAAATATGCACAGGCAGAAAATGTGTGGTTTCATTCTCTCAGTTTCCAAATAAATTTTTCATTGACTACATTGCTGATCCAGTGGCAGCTCAATGTAACCATAAAAATGCAACCCTCACTATTATTATTACAGAAAGCCTAGTTATATTAGTGATTAAACTTACAGGCCAGGAAATTACTGTACAAGGTTTCTGAGATTTATTATATCTTTCTTATCCTAATAAAACAAAAGGTAAAATAAGAGAATCAATTTCAGAGTACAAGTGATTAAGCAATGAATGGACATTTCTGGGATCCATTCATAACTTTCCTTTTTGACAGCCAGGGAGTGTCACCTGGTAATAACATGGCAGTAAAAAAGGTTTGATAACACAGGATATAGCATATCTTATAACACTTGGACACTCTGGTAAAACTGAAGTACTAGAACCTGGGTAGGGAGATGCAGGGACCAGCACAAAGCAGATCCGCCCTGACTGGATAATTCATATACTGGCAAGCCCTGGTATTTCTGAAGCTGTGAGCAGGAAATGAACAGGAAGCCTAAAGTGAGCTATCTTTTTTGCTACGAGAGAAGAAACTATGTGTTCTGCTCAGTGTGCCATGGTGAGGATGAATGACTCACTGCAAGCCTGCCTGCTCACAGTCAGAGGGGTGGGGGCCTGCACACCGCTCCCCAGCCTCTAAATGGAATGGGGTGCAGATTACAGCCGTGAAAATTAGTCAAAGAGATATGAAGAGATATGGGGGCTTAAGGCTTCCTCAAAGCACAGCTCCAGTGTCCTTTTGTGCAAGAAGAAAATCAGTAAAACAAAAACAATTTGAGCTGGATCGCAATTAGATTAGCAAAGCAAACACTGAACAGCAGTCTGAGGACGAGTCTTGTGTAGTTGGAGACAGGCTAAACACAAGAATCGTGTCCATTTCATTCCTCCTCATCTTTTTGCAAACAGTTGCCGAAGTCCCTGTCAGTGTATAACACTGGGACAAACTTTGACCTGATATTATGCCTAGCTTGTAAACTTTTGAAAACACATTTAAGTTCCGAAATAAAGCAAGCATTTTTGTTTATGTGGTGCTTACATATCCAGACACATAAATGCACGTTAATGAGTCTCTTGAGAGACAGAAAAGGGAACTTGTCAATATGTTGCTTAATTAGCATCAGAAAAAGGATCCAGATGTTGCACACATGTAAGGAAGTAGCTCACAATACAGTTTTCTTGGTCTTCTGTTTCTTTTGAGAGTATGAACAAAAGAACATTTCAGGCTGGCAAACCCACTGATTTTACAGCAATGCGCTACTCACCGCAGAAAAAAATGCCATGGTTTTCTCACAACTAACAGAAGCTTTCAAATTCAAAAGATTCCAGATATATCCAGAAACTTGCTATAAGAGCAGATTTCAGATTTCACTGATATACTGTACATATCTAATTCAGGGAGCACCTTTGCTTGATTAATTGTGCTTTAAACGTTTTTTATATAAGGAATAATAATATTAATTATAATATGAAGGAAATTATAACACTATGCATTGTACTTACATAACAAGGAAAGTAGTAGCTCCAAAGGTGGTGATAAGAAGGCTTCGGATTGAAGTCCAGGCTCACTCTCTCACCCTCACTTTCCCTCAGTCACTCTCTCACTCTCTCAGCTTACATGACTTTGACAGAAATCCCAGCATCGCTCATTCTCAAATCCGAATCAAAATCAGCAGAAAAAAAAAATTAAGCTGGGTTGGCATGAAAAACACCTCTCAATGCACTGTAAAAGCATTTTTTCTCCGTTAAGTCATAACCTTGCATGACACTATGGTGTATATGTCCTCTAGTCCATTTTCATAAAAAAACATTATTAATACTTATATTGCATACAGTATATATATAATAATAACAATGATTATAATAATGATAATTATATTT